GTGTGTGTGTCTAGAAGTATTTTCATAGACTCCACAACATTTTTACAATGAGAAAGCTTTGAGGAGTGGCAAGATTTCAAATAATTTCATTTTTTATGAAAATGTGCTGAATATAATTTAGTGGCTAGCAATCTCATATATACTTTTATTTGCTGCACAGAATGATTTTAATAGCTATGATTTTAACAGATACTTTACTATTAATAGTAGTCATATTATTCAGAGAACTCTATTTGTTATAATCAAGATAATGAAAAGCAAAAATAAACATTGCTGATTATCTGAATATTTTAGTAAAATTTGGTAAATAGGCTATTTCTTAAAAGTGATTTCTCTTCTGTTAAACATATGTACTTTATTTAGGTTTTGAGGCTTAGGGATTTAAGAAAACTGGTATTTTTCTATTCCCTCTCTCTTGCTCTTTCACCCCTTACTCCACTCCCTCTCTACAATAATGGATGAGAGATAAGGTGAAAACTCTTTGCTCCTATAAAGTTTATTTAGAAAATAGTTTGCGGTAACTTACTAAGTAAATATTTTGGATGACCATAATATTTACATTATAAGTTATATACCATTCAAGATATTTATTAAAAAACAAAATCCAACAAGGTCTACTATGATGGCATATATAATAATTGTTAGCTATAGGATAATCTAGGTAGGGCTATTTATTCCTTATTAATTCATATCTGTTAGTACACTAAAGTATAACTAAAGAACAATAAATATTACTGATGACCCACATATAAACATCTCTGTGTCAGAAAATTATCTCAAATGTTGAACTGTTGCTTGTCATATCTAGATGGCCATCTTTCTTTGATGTCTTTTTATAACCTAAATCTCACATTTCGGGGTCCTTGTGTGATGTAAAGTTATTTACCAAAAAATGGAAAACCAACTAAAATAATAGAATTTAGTCACTGCTTTATAATAATTATAAATAATAATAAATAATAATAATAATAAAGCAGTTAGTAATGGTAAGATTAGCAGCAGCAGTAACACTACTAGCAGTAATAGTAAAATACTATTGCTACTACTTGGTGTGTACTTTTATTAGTACTAGTAATAGAGGGATCATAGTAGAGGGTTTTACTGTTCACATGCATTTTACAATTCTTCACAGCAATTTTGTGAGCAAGTAGGGTTGTTTTACTTCCAAAGTAAACTATAATATAATGGCTATATTATAGTTCTTCTTCTTCTTCTTCCAAAGATCACCGATTACCATTAAATAAATTTAATGTCAACTTATTTAATGCAAAAAATAGACTTTGTCTCATGATGCGTTTCAGGATCTACTCTTATGATGAATTAAATTAGAATTCAATTTAATTAAAACAACGTTGGAGGATTTCTTAGGTCTTTCTTGGATACAAATAATTTTCTTTTAAATCATTTTTTAAAAACTGACCAGTACAGAAGTGGTAGCCTCAGAGTATGTATACAATAAGACTCATCCACCTAGGGATTCCCAGCATGAGGTGACTTGTTATAGGAAACACTGAAGTAAAATTTTAACAGGGTGGTCCCAAGGAAAGGGCAGTTTCCAAGGGAGGGTGGAGCTGAGTAGGGAGAAGAAGCATTTTGGATGATCATAATATTTACATTATAAGTTATATACCATTTAAGATATTCATTAAAAAACAAAATCCAACAAGGTCTACTATGATGGCATATATAATAATTGTTAGCTATAGGATAATCTAGGTAGGGCTATTTATTCCTTATTAATTCATATCTGGAGAAGAGACTGGAGAGACTGGAAAGGAAGGAAGCAGGATGGAGAGCCAGAAGGAGACCTGGAGGAGGCACCTGGAGCAGAGGGAAACGTGAAGATACTGCGCTTGCCTTTTGGTTGTGGACTGAGTGACACAGATGTGGGTGAAAGACCCATGGGGAGGACAACGACAACTTTTATCTTAATTTTGTTTTGCTCTTTTCCCTCCAGACTTGTTTGGTTGTTTCTGATCCTTTTCTGTGGGTCCCCACTGGAAGATGCTTTGGACTTGTGGCAGGCTTTGGGGCCTTGCTCTGGGCCAATCCTGCTTGGGTGGACTTTTACCCATGAGGGGATGGGTGATTTTGGGTGCTTGATTTAGAAGCTATATTCTTTGCCTTTCCTGTATTGTTTACTAATTGTATTGAAGTTCCTTTTAATTAAAGTCTCATATGATTTGTGTTGATGAGGCAGATGGCAGAACCTATTTAGAGCAGGCAGGTTTGTGGGGTCTGGGGTGGCCCTCTCCCTGCCCTGTTCTTCCCAGTTTCTCTGCATCTGGAGGGAGCCCATGTGATGACAGAGGCAGAGATTGGAGAGATGCAGCTGCGTGCCAAGCAAAGTCAAGGAATGCCGGGAGCCACCAGAAGAGGCAAGGAAGGATTCTTTCCTGGAAATCATGTCCCCTCCAACACCTTGATTTTGGACTTCAGTCTTCAGAATTATGGGAGGATATTTAATCCACTCAATCTGTGGCATTTTGTTACCCTGTCCTAGGAAACAAACGTAATTGGAAAGATACTGGGTAGCTCAAAGAGTTGAGGACAGAACTAAAGAATCATGCCTTGACATGAAGGAAACTACCATCTCTGAGGATCCCAGCAGCTGAGCTTGTGCATGAGCTCTCCCTCAGGCAATCTGCTTCCAGTGGCCGTTTAACCTTGTGTACCTTGCTCAAGAGTCTAACTCTCTGGAGAAAGCCTCTGACCCAGCTTATCATGTGTCTTTCCCAGCTGCCCGCAACCCGGGGACCAGAGAGCAGGCAACTTCCCAAAGGAAAACACCCCAGGCAGGCAAAAACAAAGGGTGACCACTACACACAATCCATAGCAAAGTCCTTTTTGGGAGAAGTCCTGTTGAATTCTACTCCTGTACTCCGTGAGGGAGTGGGTGGTGACAGTTGTTGAGAAAGATTATCCTGGCACCTATATGCAGAATGGTTTGGAGTAAGACCAGCCAGACAGCTGATGACATCATCTGAATGTGAAGTTAAGGGAGCATGGGTGGCTGTGTGAAGGAAAGAACACTCTAGTTTTGTACTCACTCAGTGATATTTTAATATAGACTCATTGAAGGTTGTGGTAGCAAGACCAAGACAATGCCTTTATTTTCTGACTCCAGCTATCCGCCTAATTTTTTTACTTCTTTTGGGCATCATATGATTCAGAAAGCATTTTTTTTTTTTTTTTTGGCTATTTGTCTACCCAGTTTTATGAGACATCAAGACTTAATTTTCACTGTTCCAGGAGCTGGGAGCAGGTCATTTTTCCTTTACATGAGACCCCTCAGAGAACCCAGGCCCACAATGCCTGAGTACAAATGCGTCATGTGTGCCCAAGACCAGGAAAAGAAATAGGAAGATTCACAGGCCAAGAGGAGCATTTCTGATTTTCACTGTTAGGGGCCTGAGTATCCTGCTGGTGGTGGGGAGGCGATGGAACTGTCTGGACAGAGAGGGGACAGCTCCTTGCTCAGTGGGTCCAGCAGGTGTATCTCAGGGGCAGGAACCAGCTACTTGTCCTGTCACCTTAGGTGGCCCCTAACATCCCAACATCTGGCTTTTGTGTCCCATCTGTGTGTGGGAGCAGTTAAGAGCAGTGCTTGACATGTGTGGCTAGTGATTCAGGGACCTGGCTGAAGGAAAAAAGTTGCTAATAACAGCAGTTACACTCTGCTTGTGTAAAAATTACTTGGAGGGGGATGGGAGGGAGTATCTTCGTACCATGTAATTTTTTATACTTTTGAACTACATGACTATATTATTAAAATTTTTTTAAATAAACTTCATTATTTAAAATGCTTATTGAGCCCAGAGAACTAATTTCTCATATGTGACTTCCAGTGTGTCTTACTTATGTTCAAATGTGTCTTTTTAAAGTATTTTATTGCTATCCATGCTATTGAGATTTTAGTGCCTCAACTCACACCCACTATTTTTATTCAGACCCTTCTCTTTTTGTTGTAAAATAAATGTGCATTAGTCATCCTTAATCCCAATAGATCCAATTAAAAAAAATACAGATTGTATTTACCAGTATTAAAATGATACAAATGATGAAATGAAATTTTCCCATTCATTTTAGATCACACAGTTAAGAATTTTATTTTCAAAAAGCCAGAACATTTTTTTATTACTTTCAACTTACTTCATCCCGGCCACTCCCACCAAGTTCCCCCGGTCTTCAGCTCATGTGTTTTGCATTATTTTTGTTCCACCCATGATCCTTCCACTCCCGCTTCCTTTCTCTTTGTGCTTCTGTCCCACTTCCCTCACTGGTCACCAACCTTCTCACTGGTCAGCTCAACCTCACCTCCTTCACCACTTCAGGAGTCACAGCAGCTGGTGGCTTGGTGAACCTAGTCATGTGAATTCTGGAAGGTAGAGTGTCAGCTTCTTCCCTGACAAATAAGGCCTAATTCCTATACTGATTTCTCCTCTGAAGGCCTCTAAAACTCAAATAAATGGAATTTGATGGATCTTGCTTGTTTTGAAACACAACAGAGGGTGATTACAATGTAGAATTCTTTTGCTTTGCGTTACCCACTTCAATATATGGGAAAGTGAACAACAAATTGTTTTTGAAACTGATACTTTCTTAAGCAAGTAGAATAAAATAAAGGGTTTGGTGATAACACATTGAAAATGTTTTTGCATTTCCTCTTTGAATTCTACATGAGGAGAATCCCACTCCTTTTCTGTCAAATGCACATACATGGACCCATACCAAACTTTGGTAAAAACAAACCAAACGATTCCAAACTTTCTAGAACTCTTGTGGTATTATAACACTATGGCCACTGAATCAAACAAATCACTGGGGAAAGTAATCATATTTGTCTACTGAGATGTGTCCTTCATTCCGACTATAACCCATATTACAAATTCTGTTAAGTTGGATGGTCACAGAAAGGAAAAATTTGTTTTAACAGCAATATTTACATCATATTTTCAGAAACAAATCAGCACTGACATTGCTTAATGTGGCTACTGCAGTGTTTGGTGGCCTCTAGGCTGGATAGTCTAAGTAAATAATGATTCATTCATTCCTCTTCTTGATGTAATCAGATTTGAATAATGTTTCTAAATTTTGTCATTTTGTTCACAACAGTATAGGAGTATCAGTTTGGGGTGCAGTTAGGATTAAAAAGCCATCTTTTCACTTGTTAAAACCTGAAAATAAGAAAATAGAATAATTATAAAGAAAGTGTGCAAATTTCTCAATTTTTGTGAGGACAATAGTTGAAGACTTGTAAATTTTTTACAGCTATGAATAAAAACATTTAGGTACTTATTTTCCTTTAGCATCCATGTCCTCATTTATAAAATAAGAAGCTAGATAAGATTGTGCTTTTTTAGCTCAGGTTCAAAATGTTTGGCAGGAACACAAGTATACGATTTTGTGCTATGGATGTAATAAGGTTAATGTTTAACACTTGTATATAAAGCAAATCTATGAGAACCGAACTACTTTGAAAAATACAAATGTTTGAAATTGTAGGTAAAGGATGACAGTTAAAGACACAGAATGTAATTTATATCTGGCATTTTGTTTTAATTGCATAGTATGGAGAAAATTCTGACACACGAATTAGTTCTAAGTGGTAAAGTGGCAAGAGGTTATTTTGCTTTTTTTTTTTTTTGGCTTTTAAATTTGTCTTGCAATCTGAAGATGGCTTCATTTGCAAAGTCTGTACAAATTCTCTTTTTTTTAAACATTTATTTATTTATGCATACAAGAGATGGGGTACAGGCCAGAGATGCAGGGGTTGAGAGGATTCACCAGAGACAGAGTGGGGAACAGAACAAGCGGATCCATGGAAATACACTGCTGAGGGGAGCAGCGGGCAAGACAGGAGAGGTCTGCTTCGCCATGTGGGTTGCTCCCTGGCTGGCCAGGGATCGAACTCGTGCTGCAGAGGCTGTGGACTGCCCCAGAGTGGGGTGCTTAACCCGTTGCACCACTAGGGAGGCCCCTGTACAAAATCTTGACAACCCAATTCATTCTTTGGTGGTCTCCAAAGTGTTTTTAAAATTTTAGTATTAACAAATCTGAGTGTGTGTGTCCCTCTGTATGTGTAGTTACACTTTATTGAGTACTAGTGTCAGGCACAATGCTGTGCACTTTGTGTCTTGCTGGATATAAGCATCAGAGTGAATTTGCAACTGTAGCCACATGTAATGTTGGGGGGTGGGAAGGGAGAAGGAGGAGAAAGAAAAAGGGGTAGAAGGGGGACGGGGAGTGAGGAGAGAATAATCAAATAGGTATTCTGCTTTTCATACCTGGGTGTATGTTTTCAGGTTAGTATTTTCTGATAATTTCAGATATGATTTAAAATGTTGACATATTGGTTTTTGTTGTTCTTGTGAAAGGAGAAACAAAAACTTTAATCAATTATTTAGTGTGATTTAGCCAAAGTCTCAATGCAAATTTTTCTTATCTAACAAAACACAATGGAATTAAATATACATATGTTAATGCTGGCTGGTTGTTTCGGACATTTAATTGGAAAGTTAGATTGGTGACCAAACTTTGCCTTCTCATATCTCTTCTACATTCAGTTTTTCTGTTGTTGGCCATTAATGTGCAGAAAAGCAAAAGCTTAATTTTCTAACACTGAAAATGTTTCTTTTTGTCAGCATTTATATAGTTTAGGTGGCCACTCTCCAAAGCCTTCAGTGCTCTACATGTTGTGTTAAGTAGCATTACCAAGTTGCAGTAGTTGAACTCAGTGGAAAAACGCTTGCAAACAGCGCTTGTTAACTACTAATGCAGTAATCAATAGATTTCAATTTGGTGTTTTGCATTGAATTTGTGATTGTCAAAAGGATCAGGGAGTAGGATCTTCAGAACATCTTAATCTGTAGCATTCTCATATTTTATTTGAAAATAAACAGAGAAGCTGCTATGTGGCAGCACCAAAGTCGTTTATGTTTAGTGAAAAAAGGTTAAAATGATGCATAAAATTTAAAAATGAAACTTAATATACATCTAAATTTCCACTGAATACAATCTGAAAGAACACTGGATAGCTAATCCTTTTTTTTTTTTTTTTTTTTTAGTATTTACCTTTTAGCTCCTTGAACTTACCTGTTAGGGAATGAGAGCATGTTAAGCTATAGGGATAGACCAAGGTTTAAATGTCTTAGGGTCATCTCTTGGGATCTAAGAAAGAATGCAAATAAAACACTTAATATCATAATACCATTGCAATATGTCACCAGGAAAATTATGTTAAATATGTAGTTTTGAAAACTTTTCTGATGGGAGGAAGCAGAATTTTCCTGGGGAATTGGATTGTACCTTTCAAACGACAACTGAAAAGTTGGTAGGTGTTGTGATTGTGCTACATTTACTATTGCTAAGAGGGCACTTTGATTAGTTACCTTTTTGCATCCCAGATGTGAATCCCCAAAAACCATGTATCCTATGCCAACGCTTGGGGGAGGAGGATAGAGAAGGGAAAGTGATCAGCTGAGAGTTGTGTTTGGGCTAGAGTCTACATACCTACTCTGTAGGTGACCTGAGAAGAGCTAATCATTAGCCAAATAGTGCCTATGGTACAGTGCCATTGTTAGGGGGAGAGGATGTCCTGAGCTAATTCCATGCAGGCTTTGTGGGGGACTCCACCCCCACTCCAGACCAAAGCCATCAAGACACTGGGAAAGACAAATCCCATCACCACCAAAGGGAAGGTGGCTGGGACCTGAGGGTGGAGTTAAGCAGATAGGTTTGGTATAAAAACCAGACACGTGGGTCTTGGGGGGCTCACTCTCTCGCTGGCCTCCTGGCTTCACGGCTCTGCCCTATAACACCCTTGCTAGTTAAAACCCCAGGCTTAAGTCACTCTCTTGGGCTACAGAAAGTACTTGTTTGTCCTTCTTGTGGTCCTCAGTGTCTCATTTCTCTGCTGGGAATTCCCCCCTCTTTGATTTGACTGAAAAGCAGAACATGCACTTCTCTGTTCTTGTCATGTTTTTGTTTTAAAGGTAGACTTTCAGTAACAAGGTGTTAAAAATAAAAACAACTTTCTGCAAATAATGAAAAGTTGTGAAAGTATCAAAAAGCTTTGCCCCTAATACTTATTTCTGAAAAATAAAAAAGAAGACAAAAAGACAAAAACAAAAAACAACCCATATCTTAAATAGGCAGGTTATCTTTACAAATTCTATTCTTACTGTTTACTTTTAATCTGTATTGAAATGTAAGTGGAGGCCTAGTTTACTCTTCTCACAGGGATTTCCTTTATTCTCTTAACAACTTCTGTGGGGATTGCTTGGTTATCTTATTTAGAATCAGCCTGTTCTACCCAGGCTGGGTTGGATACGGGCCAAAGCTCCTCAGTCCAGTTTTAGGTAGATTCCAGTTAGTTTTTCTACTAAAGGTGATGGCATTTTTTAGTTTCTTCCAAAACCTGTTTTCCTATTAGTTTCGTCAGACCAGGGCTCCAGAAAAGCCCTTCTGCTTTGGGGCTTAACGCCACACTCATTCTCTTGCTACCTTGGCCTTCTTGGTTCTCTATTATTCCTTAACTCCTTGAGTGAGGATATAACTTTCTTTTTTGACCTCAAAGGCCCAGCCTTAGCACTTAAGCTGCCTTCATTGGCCTTTTGTGATTTCCTTCTCTTTATCTTCTCACTTGCATGGTGCCATCACCCCCTTCCTCCTCCTGCATTCTCTCTGCTTGGTTTCTGATATTTTTAATTAAGGAAATATATTCACCATGAGTCAAGACTGATTCTGCTTTTAATTAGATTTCAGCTTCTGAGCTCTATCTGGGCCCCATCTCACTGGTCTCAAGGTCAATGGTGGTTGCTCTCAGTCCAGGATTCTTCATTGTGCAGCAAAAGATAAACTCAGTAGGCCTGCTCTGTCCAAACCCTGCACATTTCAGAGAAAGGCTTAGCCCTTGACCAGATCCTGGGAGATAATACCTCAACCTTTGAAATATTTTGCCTAGTAAGTGTATCTTTGTTACTTGAGACTGAGGGCCATGTGGTATCATTTGACCTCTAGAAGGACTGGACACTGAGTAACTAAGTGACTCAAGTCAGCTGTGCAGGTTTTCTATGCCTGTGTGATAAATCTCTAGTAAGAATTCTGGCACCAAAGCTCAGGTGAGCTGCCCTAGTTGGCAAAACTTTGTGCATCTTCTCATACATTGTTGTTGGGAGAATTAAGTGCTGTCTGTATTATCCTATGGGAGAAAGGCATCTGGAAGCTTTCATCTGTGCACTCTGTTCTGCTTTTTCCTTTGTTGATGTTAATTTGTATCCTTTCACTAAAATAAACCATAACTATGAGTTTAACAGATTTTTTTTTAAATTCTGAGAGTTCATTGAGTATATCATCGAAACTGAAGGTGTTCTGGTGAGTCATTCATCTTCATCATCACCACCATTACCATTATCACTGCCATCATCACCATCATCCACAATGTATGTTGACTATCTATTATGTGTGACAACTGCTAAATATTTTTCACATATTATCCAGTCCTTATAATAACACTTTAAATTAAGTACAATTATTATCTCCATGTACCTTTCATCCTACTTTATATATATGGAAAATGAGTGATTAGAGAAGTAAAAGAAATCATCAAAGGCGGAGCTGAGATTCCAACCCAGGTCCGTCTGACTCCAGGACCTATGTCTTAACCACTAAGCTAAAACAGTGCATCACCAATCTTTTCCCTGACCAGAGAAGATGGCTGCCCATTTCCTGTTTTACATTCAGCATCATTCTCCCCACCACCACCTTCTTACTTAATCTGAGTGATGCCTCCAGTTTTGCCCTCTTTTTTTTTTTTTAGGTGCCCTCCCTTCCTCTTTTTCTCACAACCAAAGAAGTACTCTTCCAGAGACCAGGAAGGAGAGCTTTTAGATAGAAAAATATGTGGTAACAGTATTAGACAATTCCCCATTCAGTGTTCTGAAAGGTCACTGTGTGAATTATCAGTCACCAAGTATTTCAGGGAACAAGATGCAGCCCCTGTATCCTGGGAAGAACATAGTCAATGGGGAACCAGTTTCACAGCCTGTTAGAATGCCAATAAAATTTCTCCCAAGAAAGTGTGAGGGGTAGTGAGGAGAAGAATGAAATGAAGAATGAGTGCATGCCTGTCTGAGTGTGTGCATGCACCTGTGCATAGGTGCATGTGAGCCAGCGTGTGTGCATGTGCGAATGTGTGCACACATGAGGACAGGATGACGGCTCAGCATTCTGAGGAAGATGCTGGGTCGGGTGGGGGGACGGAGTCTCGGTGCTGAGTCATCTCCTGAGCCATGCTGTGATGTCTGTGCTCCATCTCACAGACCCATGTGTCTGAGTGTTTGTGCTGCTTTCAGGCCCTGCCAATTGTCTGTGGCTTAGCTTCCAACAGAACAGACTGGAGACAACATGTTTCCACTTGTTGGAAACAACACTGGAAATAGAATGCAGACTTGTGGGATATGGAGCACACCTCCTCCCACTCAGAGAAATGCAAGGCTGTGCATAGGTTATGGGTTGAGGACTAGTATTTGGGGGGTGACTGAGCTGAGAGTGCTGTAGGTAAACCAGGTTGGCAGCACACAGGAAATATGTTCTGCTCCTTCATCTGGCAGGAAGGTCTCCCTTTACCAAACCAACTAGGTGGCACTTTTAAGGCTCTGGGCATCTAAAATGCAAAGGAAGAAGGAGGGGACAATCTTCTCCACATGGATAGAGACAGTAGCAGAGTTACAGAAGGATGAGAGTAGGAGGAAGGACGTTGTATCAGGATAAGGGTCTCCAGACACTACCCAACCTTACAGAATAAGAGGGCAAGACAGGCCTTGCCATTTGGAATTGGGCTAGAGTGAAAGAACTTTTCCCCATTAAGTTACGTAAGTCAGACCCCAATGTAACACATGGCATAGCAATTGACTGTGTTTGCAAAAATTTCTTACGAGTCAGCATCATAAATCTCCCCCTTCAAAATGCGGGCTGAGCTGAATGGTGTTTACAAATGTATTTCTAAGCTGAGTTGTCTGATTTTAGCTACTGGGAGATGGAAACCGAATCTTCTACTTGGCTTTACATGGCTTTAACTATGGCGACCCACACAAGCCATGCTTTCATAGTTACTTTAATAACTTTTTCTGTTAGTGAGAATAAGGCAAAAGGTTTTTATGTCTGTCTTGTCAAATTTTCCAAGGTAATATTTTTCTATTCTTTAAGGATGTGGTGTCCCAAATGTCTCTAGTTCCTAAATATTTTTTTAAAAAACACAATCACTATTTCTGAAGAAAAATCCTTGTTTGAAAGTGTTAATTAGGTATTTCCTATGCAGTTTTAGGGGAAATTGACTTTTTTTCCCTAATGGAATTTTAAATGACCATACAAAACACATAATCCAAGAAACACATTTTTCTTTCTCCCACCACCAAAAGGGAAGTTCTGTCTCTATATGAGCAGTTTTTCTGGCCCTGTCTGACTGTCAGGCTGCTCTTCCGGCTCTGAGGAGAAACCACCTCCAGCAACCTGAGAAGGGATGCATATGAAAGCAAGAATCACAAACTGCTGATGGAGGTAACCAAAGCCATAGGTATCAAAATCTTTTGATACAGTAAAGGCTTGTTTAAATAGAACTTCTTGCAACAAGCTCTAGCCTTCTTACTGCTTCTTTATGGAAGCTTGAAGCTAATTTTCCATGAAAATGAGACTGCTAGTCTTAAGAGTTGTTTTTTCTGCCCAGAGCAGGTCAACTTGATTTAATATGGGAACTCTTTTTAAGGCCTTTGGGAGAGGCATATTTTGAGGAACGTTGTTAATAGTTAGGTGTTTTGGTGGAGACCTTAACTCTAATATTTACAGAATGACTTGTATTTACATAGTAATTATAAATGCATTATTTTATTAAACTCCAAAAAGAAGTTCTGAGTGGTTGACCATCATTACTATTTAAAAAAAAAGCTACAAGTAGGCTTTATTTGCTTTATAGTTAGAAAGAAGTTAATTAAAGAGGAGGTTTTGGACTTTCCACTGTTTATTTTCTAGCACCTGACTTTTTTTCCTGTCAGAACAAATTTTGTATTGCTGACATTATTCAAAAGCCAAATACAGTGCTGGTATTTGTATTTCTCAAAAAACAAAAAAATTTTTTTTTGCATAACACAGTATTCTATGCCACTGTAAATCACTGTGTATTTCAATTTAAAAAACCATGTTGTATTGTAGTTCAATCAAATGTAGATTCTGATACAGGTTTAGATATGTTCCAAGATGCTTTAAGGAGACCAGCCTGTGTGAGGAGACAGGGTGTCAGAACTCCAGGAGGACTGCTTGTGTATGAACCATAATTTCTAAAGCTCTAAAGCAGACCTGGATCATGAGAGAGAGGCTGGGTGCCAGGAAAGCAGCTGATCGAAAGAACTATCCAGTTTCATCCTACTGATGTGAAGATAAGTGGTGTGGTCACACATTTCTATTTCTTTTCTTTCTTTGCTAATGAGAACAATTGCAGCCTTTCAGTTACAAGTTTTTTTTTTTCTACCAGAGAGGCAAGATCAGAAAGCTATGAAGATGGAAATTTGTGAGAACTGCTTAGTCCCAGGCTACTTTAAATCCATTCAAACTACCACAGGGCCTTTGCATTAGCTATTCTCTGCCTGGAACACAACATGACCAACTTTATGCTTGCTCCCTCACTGCATTCCGGCCTCGGCTCACATGTGAATACCCCAGAGAAAAGTTCTCAAATGAGCTATTTCAAGTAATCCAAAATAATGTCCTACTCACATTCTAGCTCCCTACTCTTCCAGTTTGCTTAACAGTAATTTTCACCACCTGAAATTATATTGTGCTTTTGTTTGCTTGTTTACTTTCTGACATCCCCCAAAGAGTATAAGCTCCAGGCAGGCAGGACTTGTTTGGTTCACAATTTCTTTAGGCCCCCAGCAGTGCCTGATACATGGCAGCTGCTCAATACCCACATTAGATGAATGAATGATTGTATGATGAATGATCTCAGTTGGGGTCTCTTTAATTTTAAAAAAAGGTAGAGGCTAAGCTAACAGTTTTGTAATAGTTTTGTTCTATTGACGAATGGGGTGACCCAGCATTGATAATGCACTTATAGTTCATAGGAATTATTTGTCTTTCTTTCCTGCTACACTGTAAACAACTTGGGAGCAGGGACCTGGGAGTCTGGATCACCCCTATACTCTTGGTACCTGATACTATGTAAGAAGGAAAGTATAAAATTCATTTCTAGAATTTGATTAAAATATGAAAGGTGAGAAGGAGAAGAGAGAAGGGGTTCCTAGCAGCAGGAAGAGCTTAGCGAAGACCTCTGTCCTTGATAACAGGAACAGTCAGATGAAGGTACTTGTGGCTGGGGTAGAGCAAGAGGGGGCAGGGAACTAAGGGTGGCTGGAGATGGAGTAGGGTTGGCTACACTGGAACTTCACAGGCTTACAGACATGGCTGGTTAAAAGTTTTAGCTTTATCTTAGGAGTGAAAAAGGACCTTTTTTGCCTTGTGCACGTGCTAGTGACATGATCGTATTTGTCACACAATAAATCTCTGCTCCAGTCCGCGTGGGAAGACCAGGCAGGAGGCTGAGCTGACCAGGCTAGAGAGCTGGCCATTGGACTTAGTCTATCTGGATGGTAAGCTCCAAGAATGCAGCTTGCTCTGTGCCATTCATAGGAATATTCCCAGCACTGAGAACAGTGCCTGTCACCTCACAGATACCCAACCAGTGTTTGTTTAGTGAATGAATGACATAGTGGTTAGAAATCAAGAAAATAGTGTTGTAATTACTAGGAGTTAAAACTAACGGGACATGATGAGGACTGGGTGCTGAGTATGAGAAAGAAAAGTCAACTCCTACCATTCTGTTTTGTGTAACAATGGATAGAGGTGTGTTGCCATTTTCTGTGACAGGAAGTAGCAGAGGAATCTATATTTTGTGTGTTTCTTATCCTCTTTGTTACACTGAGAGTCAGGACCTCCTCGCTGTCCCCCCTGGGCAGGCCCTGCTGAAGGTGGCTGCACTCTTTATGTTGGTGTACAGCTGAGGAGCTCTTGCATCCCTGAAACCTTATCAAGGATTTCAACAGGCCTATAGTTTTATCATGTCAAATATATGCGAAGTCAGTGGAATGGCCAGGAATATTGTAGGTCAGGAAAAGTATGAAGGATAAATGATCACTCTCAATAAGCCTCAATAACCAGAGGCTTCCTATTGAGAAGTTAAAATGACACCCACCTCTGCCTCCAAAACTTTATTCCAGTGTCTGTGGATAAAAATGATAAGTTTGGCCAGGTGTTTTCTTTTTAGTTTTAAGCAACTATTTTCTGAGTGATATTGTATGGGGAAAGTATCTTCTCAATCCAGATTTCCTGTGAATAAAAGCTCAACAGTGTCACTCCTAATTATACTGTTCAAATCTTTTCAGATATGTTAGGGATATCCTGATTTTGTTAAGTAAGTATGTAAATAAGGTATATGTAGGTATAAAGATACATGATGGTGAAAGTATGTGTATGCATGTGTGCATTTACAAATATATACACACACTAAAATGGTATGGTTATTTCTAATTAGTGAGATTATGACTGTTTTTAATTTTCCTCTTTATTTTCCATAATGGACATGTGTTACTTTTATAAAGATACAAACACTGTTTTTAATATCACACCTTATTTGTAACATGAGGTGCTACTCAGAAACCATGTATCTATTTATGTTTAGTCCTTAGCTCACTTGAACCATCAGATTTAGGAGTAAACATGGATTTCACAAACAGACCAAGTAGTCAACAGGCTGAGTCTCAAAAGATGAAGGAAATCAAAGTGATTCACTTTGATTTGTGACAGAGTTGCTTTGCCTGACAACTGGACTATTAAAAATGACCTAGAATCCTGGAAATGAAGGAATTTGTTTTCTAGGAGCCAGACCATTTGAAGACTGAATATGTTAAGCTTAGGCAAGAAGAGATTAGAAGAATCTTTTTGTTGTGTTCTGATGTTGGTTTCCTTAATCTGCCCACTTCAGAAAAGGCTATTTTTTTTTTTTAACTGAAAATGTAATTGAGAACGATCTTTTTTTTTTTTTAATATACTTTTTTTTTTTTTAAATAGAGGCATGTTTTATTTATTTATTTGTTTGTTTGTTTGCTTGTTTTCTTTATACATGCACTGGGTACAGTCAGAAGCACGGGAGGGTGAGAGAATTCACCAGAGCCAGAGCGGGGAGCAGAGCAGGCAGAATGACGAAGTACACTGCTGAGGGGAGCAGCGGGCGGCAGGAGAGGTCTGCGCGCCATGTGGGACCCTCCTCTGGTGGCCGGGGAGCAGCCGGGGATCGAACTGGTGCCGCAGAGGCCGCGGGCAGCTTCGCAACCCAGCGCTCAACCGCTGCGCCACCGGGGAGGCCCGAGAACGATCTTTTAAAGGTTAGACATGCATAAGTTTTTGTTTGGGGTAGAGGCCACATGACTCTAGTTACTGTACCTCTAGTGCTATTGGGAATGAGCAGATACAGCCCACAAGGCCCAAATCAGCCCTGATGAGAAACTCCTGCATGGAGGTAGCCAACTCCCTGGCCTTGGTCGCGCGAGGACCTGAAATTACTGGAATCATTTCTGTGTAGACACTGCCATCAGCAAATGGCAATTTGAGGAGCAGAGTCATTGTCTGAGAAAACTTGGAATGAAATTACAGGGTGGTTGGTGTTATTGGAAAAGTTGAGCGAACAGTTGAGTATAACTTGGGAATGGGTCATGAAATGGATTATTTAGGAAAAGAGCGGTATCATTATGACACTCCCTTTTAAGCAGTATTTAGGAAGTAAAAAATCAAGAATCATTTTTTTTTTTTCTCAAGGAGGTAAATATACTATACTGGAGCTAGACAGTTTTGGTTTGAATCTTGACCTTGGGCAAATTACTATATCTGTTTCTTCAGTAGTAAAATGAGGGAAATAAGTGTTATTCCTTGATAGAGTTATGGTCATGATTAATGAGATAATACATGCGAAAGTACAGTGCTGAGTGAATGCTGACTGTGCTTGGGGTTGCTGCATGCACGTGTATGTGTATATGTATATACACATGTATAGGGCAGGTGAGTCTCCTGTGTCCTCTCTTCTGGGCTGGCAGGCATTGTCATGAAATGGAATGAAGTAGATAAACGGCAGTTGGCAATAAGATCATGTGATGTCTAAAGGATGGGTAGACTGTGTGTTCTTCATGTTTGTGTGGGGAATATAAGAGTGACATGATCGATTGCAGCTATGTCACACTTGGGTTATTATTTATGTTTGTTTTTTATTGAAGGATGAGAGAGATTCATAGGCTAGAAGGAGGGAATATTTATAAGAGCTTGGTGAAATCAGTTAGTTGTTTCACAGTTAACTTAGTTTTGAAGCACAATAAATTATCGCACTTCAGGACTGCTTAGGTGGTCATATTGAATAACTGATGGGGAAATGCTTTTTAAAAGTTGAAATTAGTACATATACAAAAGATAGCTGTATGACTTATTTTTGTCATCTTATAATTGAATGATTTTGTATCTTATAATTTGATTAGACACAGATGCAATTATAAATTTACCTAAAAGCTCTAAGACACAGGATACAGAAAGATCACCATTTAGGACAATAAGCAGTGGTCCCATACATACCATCTCTGTGAACCGATCTGCACAGGCCATTCTAACCCACTCTGGCGTGGCAGGGCTCTTCACTATGAAGTCCCCAGCCACATCTCTTTCTCTGCGTGCCATGGCCACAGCATCAACGATGGCAAAGAACACAGATGACCCCAGGAACATCCCGGACTCCCCAGGCCCTGCAAGAAATCACATTTGCTTCAGCAGCTTCTATGCTAGACTAAAAGACACCAGAGGTCATCAGTCAGGTCCTGTTCTATTGTCTCTCCAAAGACTGACACAGTATCTTGCATAAAATAAAAGGTTCTCAATGACTGTTTGTTGATGGATTTACAGACTGAAGTCTGTGTGCTCTTCAAAATCCCATTACCACTCAAACCTCTCGTGTTTAATCCTCTCTTGTCTTTAGTTAGGTTAAATCTTTGCTCAATGGAAAAGGGTGTGTGTGTGTGCATGTATGTGTGGTGAGGACAGGTTACCCTATTTAGAAAAACACATTTAATGATTTGAACTGGCCAACTTCATGAGTGGAGTTAAATATGCCTTATGACTCCAAGATTAGGGGAGACTGGGTGATCTGGGAGAAAGAGCACCTACAGATTTTGGTGCCAGATGATAGGTTGCAAATCCATCATCTGCAAGAAACAGGGAGGTAATATAAATGAGTGATTTGGGCAGGTGAAGGACAATAAGGAAAAATGGACACTATGGTGAAGTAGAGATACCCTCACATCTTGCCTTAAAGGAGCTGCCTTCTAGAAATGCAGCCCAAGTGATCAGATGATCCAACTTTTCAAGAGAATTTAGACATTTGTATTTTAATGTAAACGTCCCTAACTTTTAAAAACTCTGTGCAGGTCAAAGAAAATACCTGGGCAGGTTAGATTTGGCCAGTTGGCTCCCAATTTGTAACCCCTGACTTAAGAGAGGCAAGCCCTAGCTTTAATCCTGGTCCTCGCTCCTTGCATCTCTGGGTGAGATATCACTCCCAGCCCCGTTTCTTTCTCAGTGAAATGTGGGCGGTATCAACTGACAGGGTGTAGTAAAGTTCAGCAAATGCAAATGTATTCAGCACCTTGCCTGGGGCCTGGCTGGCCTCTGTCATTATCATATAGCAAACCTGGGACTTTTCTGAGGGCCTGCTGTGAGCGGCTGTCACAAGGACCCTAAGGGTCCTCCTGCCTGCCCTGTTATTCTTCCTGGCCTGACAACTGCTCTCTATGGGTGCTGAGCTTCCTTTTACATTTTTTCTCTTGAGTGATTTCCAGTCTAGTGAGAATCTAATGGCCCGCTGACTGTCTTTCCTTTCAAATTTATCCTCCTCTTATCCCCTCTCCCCATACACCCATCGCTATACACCTGAAAGGAGGTCCTGGGTTGGAAATGGGGTGCAGTTTGAAAATGACAAAATTCTGGCATATATGTGGATTAATTACCAACCCTAGTAAGAAGTTCCCCAAAAGAGTAACGAAAAATTTAACAAAACACCTCAAATCTAAATGAAGTTTCTACTTCCAGGGTAGTTTTCCCATAATTTGTATACAGTAATGTGAGCAAGTGCTGATCTTTATTTTAATTTGCAATTTTACTACTTTAGCAATGACTAAGCATTGATGTCTTTGTTTCCCAACACTGTGGACATTTTGAGCCAGGTAATTCTTTGTTGGTGGTGAGGGAGGTGTGGGGGTGTCTGCTTTGTATACTGATATTTGTTTAGCAGCTTCCATCCCTGGCCCCGACCCACTAGAAGGAACATCTCCCTTCCAATTGCAACAACAATATCTCCTGACACTGTCCAGTGTTCCTTGGGGAGGGAAGGAAAATTGCCCTCACCTCCCATTGAGAACCAATGCTTAGATCTGTAACAGGGTGGTTCCCAGGAAAGGGGAATGTTCCAGGTTTCCTGCTCCACCCAAGGGAGGGTGGAGCTAAGCAGGGAGAGAATAAGCTGCAGAGGAGATGGAGGAAGGAAGGAAGCAGGATGGAGCCAGAAAGAGACCTGGAGGAGGCACATAGAACAGAGGGACACGTGAAGAAACTGTGTTTGCTTTTTGGTTGTGGACTGGGTGACACAGATGTGAGTGAGAGACCCGTGGGGAGGTGACAATGGCAGTTTTTGTCTTGATTTTGATTTTGCTCTTTTCCCTCTAGACTTGTCTGGTTGTTTTTGATCCTTTTCTGTGGGTCCCCACTGGAAGATGCTTTAGACTTGTGGCAGGCTTTGGGGCCTTGCTCTGGGCCAATCCCATTTGGATGGACTTTTACCCATGAGGGGACGGGTAACTTTGGGTGCTTGATTTAGAAACTATATTCTTTGCCTTTCCTGTATTGTTTCCTAATTGTATTAAAGTTCCTTCCCATTAAAGTCTCATTTGTTTTGTGTTGATGTGGTGCATGGCAGAAGCTATTTAGAGCAGGCAGGTTTGCAGGGTCTGGGGTGCCTCTCTCCTTGCCCTATAATAAATTCACATCTGGGCAGGGCTCAAGACCCTGGCTCCCTCACACGTGAATGATTTGCCTAAGTTCATAGTGAGCTTCTGGGGCTGGGGCAGGAACCTAGGTCTTCTGTGGCCTCAGTCCAAGATTCTTTCCATGCTGCCTCTGCTTTCTAAGATTTTAGTGCCATCGTGCTTCAATCCCATTTAATATTTTAGTCTAAGGCGCTTAAGTAAAAATGTTATTCTCCCTGAGCAAAGCTTTTTGATGAATGTAAAGCTTTCAGTGAAAGAGGATATTAATAAATAAAATATTTGGCCTAGAATTGCCATTGGGTGAATCATTTCTTTTCTCTGAATCTCACTTTTCTTTTACAGTCTATCCAAATTTTGTCCCGATAAAGGTTGATCTTTATTTTTTATTTTGTCCACCTGCTCTCACTTACAACACTAGGGCTGGGGAGCTTACCTTGGATGAATAGATGGTGAGTGGGGTTGTTGATGACGGCAACAAGGAGATGTTGAACTCCTCTGGGACGTCAGTGATGGTGGGGATTTTGTACTCATCCGGGCCTCGAGTATACAGGACACCTTCCGGGGAATAGTTCAGCTCTTCAGTGGTATAAAGGCCCATCCCCTGAATAAATGCACCTTCAATCTGAAGGAGGGCAATGTCAGGCTTTGTGACAGTGTATGCCTTTTAGAAGGCTTTGACCTACCCCCCATGAGTCTCAGGAAGGGCATCTTCTAAGTGGCCAAGCACCTACCTGCCCAATATCAATGGCTGGATTTAGGCTATAACCAGCGTCCATGACAATGTCCGTTCTGATTTTCTGTCAAAAATTAAAATGACCTCATCATAAAAATTTGAAGGAAAATACTGTTTTAAGGTTTATTCTGTTAAAAAGAAGACAGTAGGCCCCAACCGGAGTCACTTATGCTGAAACCAAGACTTAGCATCTAACTTAATTGTGATTTCAACCCCTCACAGTCCAGGCATTTTAAACCAGTAAGTTTGAAATTTCCAGATCAGTACTAGTGAGGTAAACTACCTGAAAAGACCCTCCCACTCCTTCCTTTAAGGGAAGGTAATCTTGGCCTGAAATGATTCTTTTCTTTTGTTAAAAGCCTCTTTGTCCCAACTTCTTTCTGCTTATAAAAGCCTTCTAGTTTGTATAAATCCTTGGAGCATCTTTCTAATTGCTAGGTAGGTTGCTGCTGCCTAACTCATAGATTGTTTAATAAAGCCAATTAGGTATTCAGTTTTAGTTGGGTGAAAACTTTTTTTTTTTTAAATAATTCAAATGGTCTCCAGTTATTCCAGAATCCCTACTAACTGATTAACACTGCTTTGAAACCCATGAACATTAGAGGTGGCAAGACATCTGCCAAGCTCTTCAAATCTAGGACTGCACGTAACTACAGAAGGTCTTTCCATTCATGGTTTTTTGACACCTAAGTGACTCCAAAGTCCATGGTTTGTTGGTGTGCCTGAAGACCAGTTAGTAAATAATTGAGCTGATTGTTCATCTGATTCTCTGTTCATCTGATTCTCAACTTGGATTTACTGTTCTAACATAACTCATGAGCTCACCTAGTTCTAATGATAGTTTTATTGAGGAACTCATATAGCTGCATTGGCATGTGTGAAAGTGGGGGTTCTACATGACCTTAGAACATATGAAAGGCAAATTTTGAGACCACTTTTGACTTTGCTAATCTACTTCCTTCCCTGAGAAACATCACCATCTGTTCTGTCCCAAGCCAGGAGCATGCACATTGTCAAGAAGACACAGAGAGCCCCTCAGTAACTGTGGTCTATTTCAGGAATCTTTGAGCTTTCCTTCTGCCCTTACTTATGGAACTTGTTCTGCCAATATCATCCTTCTCTGTCTAGGCTCAATGCCATGGCTTCTAATTTAGGTCTGTGATTCTCTATTGACTCAAATGCTGGCCTCTGGGACAACCTATATGGGCACTGGGACCCGCCTTCACTCACCTCTTGCCCCAACCTATTTCTTTAGGACCGATGATACTCTTGGGATAATTGAGAGAAACATTTTTACATTGTTATGCACTTTCAAAATGTCTATTTTAGACAATGTACTAAATTGCCTATGCCTTCAGTTTTGATAACTTAGCCTTTTTTTTGGAGTATAACTCCCCTCCTTTTTTTTGGCAAAACTTTGGAATTGGAATAAAAAAAACTTGATACATTTTAGGCTGTCATGAATAATTTCTTTTTGACTACTTTTCAAATGGAAATTCAGGATAAGTCAGATTCTCTAGACTTTCCCATGGAAATGAAAGAATCCTGTTCTTATTGTACAAGTGTCACATAATAAAATTATGTAGGTGATATTATTGCTGTTTTACTGAGAAAATCATATATCCAAGGTGACATATATGAATTTGAGGGGATTTAATATACAATGCAATACTGTTGTTTCATCTTGCCAAGAGGAAAGTTATATTTGACTTACCCTGTGAGCTCCTGTCAGACAGTCAATTTCAACCTCAGAACAGGCAGCTCCATAAACATAGTATGGAAATGGGTCTCCCTCTCCCTTCTTCCAGTCCATGAAAGCCTTGTAGCCCCTGACGGAAAAAAATAAAGCCCTTTAGCTTGGTGGTGGTTGTGGTAGTAGTAGTAGTAGTAGTAGTAGTAGTAGTAGTAGTAGTAGTAGTAGTAGTGTGTATACAATGTCTATTCATTTAAAAAATACCAAAGTTATAAGATTGTTGTTCATTTCAGCTGCCTTTTAAACTTATCTAAACAGCTACGTATATTTACAATCTAACTCATTACAACATAACTATCATTTGCCCTTATTTTTTTTTTTTTCCCTGGGGCAGCTTTTCCTCCCTGCTTGTGTCTATGCAAGTGTCTTTCACTGTTTTATCCCTTTGCTAATAAACCTGCCCTTTAAATATAACTAATGTCTCTGTCTTGTGAAACTCGCCTGGGAAACTTGCTGTGTGCCACTGAACTGGGAGCTCTGGAGAAAGCTTTCCCAGAGTGAACCCAAGGACCCGCACTCCAAACACAGACTCCAAAACCACAACAAAACCATTTGACATTTATCTTTCTCCTTGTGACTTATTTTGCTTAGCATAATCCCTTCAAACTCGATCTATGTTGCTGCAAAGGGCATGAGTTTATCTTCTTTTGTTCACTGAGTAGTATTCCATTATGAATATATACTACATCTTGATCCTTGCATCTGCTTTGGGGCATTTAGGTTGTTCCATGTTTGGCTATTGTAAATAGTGCTGCAATAAACATAGGAGTGCAGGTTTCCTTTCAGATTAATGTTTTTGTGTCCTTTAGGTAGAGTACTAGGCAATGCAAGCACTGGGTCATATGGTAGAGCCATTTTTAGTGTTCTGAGAAACCTCTACAACTCTTTCCACAGTGGCTGGACCAGTTTGAGTTCCCACCATCAGCAGTGTAAGAGGGTTCCTTTCTCTCCACATCCTCAGCAGCATTTGTTGTTTCTATTTTTTTTTAATGTGGCATTTGCCGTTGTTTTAAAGAGGATGCTTGGTGTGCTGCAGTTGGCATGCTAAAAAGAATTGTTTGGTCCGAACTTTTCAGTAAGTGATTTCAGGTTTGAGCGATAGCTATCATGCTGAGAATCTCAACTGACTTTTATTGATATCCTCAGAGGAACCCCTTAGACTGTAATAAGCAAACTTATAGAAGACTGATGCTAATTCAATGTGTTCATTTAAAATGGAAGATGTACAGAGGGCTGAATTGCTCTCATTTTGGGTTACAGAATTCAGAAATTTAGAAGATATTATGTACACAGCACTGGGATATGCTGTTACCTTCTTTCTTTTCTTCTTTTTTCTTTCTTTCTTTTCTTTTCTTTCTTTCCTTCTTTCTTCTTCTTTCTTTCTTTTCCCTCCCTCCCTCCCTCCCTTCCTTCCCTTCTGATTTACTTATGCATACAAGAACCGGGGTACAGGCCAGATGCACGGGATGGTGAGAGGATTTACCAGAGACAGAGTTGGGAGCAGAACAGGCAGACTGACTGAAATACACTGCTGAGGGGAGCAGCGGGCAAGACAGGAGAGGTCTGCCGCGCCATGTGGGATTCTGCGGACAGCTTCACAGCACTGTGCTCAACCGCCTACACTACAAGTGAGGCCCTCTTTCTTTGTTTATGAGATTTGCTTTATGTGTGTGTGCGTGTAGTTTCTTGCTTTTGTTTCATTAGATTGTAAACTGATGTCATACACTTCCTGAACTGATAACTAGCTCTCCTTTCTGCGCTTCATCCAATTAACATGCATTTCCTGAGTGTCCCCCACTGCCAGACACTCCTCAAACCCTTCAAGGAGCCTCAAGATAAAGAGGTTTTAATTAGGGCCTCCCTGGTGGTGCAGGCGGTTGAGCGCAGTGCTGTGAAGCTGTCCGCAGCCTCTGCAGTGCTGGTTCGATCCCCGCCAGCCTCAGAACAACCCACATGGCATGCAGACCTCTCCTGTCCCCCACTGCTCCCCTCAGAAGTGTACTTCGGTCGATCTGCCTGTTCTGTTCCCTGCTCTGTCTCTGGTGAATCCTCTTACCCTCTTACACATCTGGCCTGTACCCTGGTTCTTGTATAAATAAAATAAATCTTTAAAATAAATAAATAAATAAATAAATAAAAAGCTTTTAATTAGTAAAAGGAGGGAGATTTGCAAAATTGAGTTGCACGTTATTTCTAATGACGTCTCTGTACTACTCATGATAAAAACGATAGTAAATAACAGTGTTGTAATAGATGTTGTAAGTCATGCTTTAATTTTTTTTAAACTTACTAGGGGTATTTTTATGATTTAATATTTCTTTGAATATAACTCAAAGGTCTATGTGAAGTCATAAAATTTTGGGCCTATAAGGGACTTCGGAGATCACATCATAAAAACTTGTTACACAAACGAGGGAATTTAGGCCCAGAACAAAGGGATGGTTTTATATTTTCTCAGTTAAATAAAAGCATCATTGTGCCCCCAAACAGATGACTAGATAAAAAAAGATGTGGCATATATACACAATGGAATACTATTCAGCAATCAAAAAAGACAAACTCATGCCATTCACAGCAACATGGATGGAGCGGGAAGGGATCATGCTCAGTGAAATAAGACAGAAGGAAAAAGAAAAATATTGGATGGTTTCACTTATAGGAGGAATATAAGGGAACCTAACAAGGGACCAGGAGAAACCAAAACCAAAAATAAAATTAGCAGGCAAAAGCTAAAACAGGACATTCAATAGGGGAGGGAAAAGGAGAGGGATCAGAACAGGGGAGGGAAAGAGCACAAAGACTATGACAGTTTACAGGTTACATGGTGGGATTTTTATGGGGGTTACACCTGAGAGGAGAAAGCAAACACTGTACAACAATGAACAATGATGTAAATAATACATATAAAAATTAAAAAAAATCAAAGCGTTATTGTAATTTTTACCTGAAGTATCCAGTGGCTGAAAGACTGATTCTTTGTTCAAAAGCAGCTTGTATCTGTAGAATGGGCATATTTGGTCAAAATGAAATAAACATACCAGGCCTCCTTGGTGGCACAAGGGGTTAAGATGCACCCTATGAAGCTATCCACAGCCACTGCAGCATGAGTTTGATCCCCTGGCCAGCGAGCTACCCACATGGTGAGCAGACCTCTCCTGACTCTCCCACTGCTCCCTTCAGCAGTATATTTCAGTCAGTCTGCCTGTTCTGTTCCCCACTCTGTCTCTGGTGAATCCTCTCGCCCCCCACACCTCTGGACTGTACCACAGTTCTTGTATGCATAAATAAATGTTTAAAAAAATGAAATAAGGCCCTCCCTTGGTGGCACAGCGGTTGAGCGCTGGGCTGAGAAGCTGCCCGCAGCCTCTGCAGCGCCGGTTCGATCCCAGCCACCAGGGATCTGGTGTGACAGATCTCTCCTGTTGTGCCCACTGCTCCCCTCAGCAGTGTATTTCGTCACTCTGCCTATTCTGTTCTCTGCTCTGGCTCTGGTGAATTCTCTCACCCTCCCACACTTCTGATTGTACCCAGTGCTTGTATAAATAAATAAATAAATCTTTAAAAAAAAAGAAATAAATATACCATAGAATAAATAAACACAAAAATACCCTATATATCAAAATTGATATCCGATCATTTTTGGTGCTATGTTACCAATAATAAAACTCATCATTTTTACTTCAGTTGGTACACTAACAGTTTCCTTCTGATTGAGTTCAGAAGCCTGAATTAAACAAATAAAATAGAATCCTGGTACACATTTATGGTTCAGAGCTTAGGTTACAAGGTATTAGGGGTTTCATTTCTAATGTTAAGACTAGTAAGTGTGTGTGTGTGTGTGTGTGTGTGTGTGTATGTGTGTGTGTAACTGTGAGAAAACTCTTCTAACAAAATAAGAGTATTGTAAAGTTGGATTAAATATCATTTCCCTTGAGCCATATTCAATAGCAGTTATACTTTTTAGTTTTCCTCCCCCTTCTCAAAACATAAATATTTTTTTCACGGCTTCAGAAGACTCAGTCTTTTCCTTTTCCTATAGAAGGAGGGTGGGTGTGACCTTCTGGCATTGTCCATACACCTCATTTCCCCTGTCAGGGATGCTGGTCCCTGAGAGCTCGCTCCACAGGCACCTGCTCATGTAATCATGGAGCGGCCTTCTCAACATTTGGTGATGCTATCCTTCTGCAGAAACCCACTGTCAGAAGAGCTGTCTCCACACAGGGTGGCATGCCTGGTGCTCTTAGTCCCGCTTTGGATGGTTTTTTCATTTGTAGTAACAATGAGAGGAAAACACTTACCCAGTCTTCCCAGGTACCTTCTGGATTTTTCTTAATGACAGGTTCAAGGCGTTTCAGAAGGATCTGACAGGCATTCTTGATGGAATAAAGAAGTGAAATCCCCATTAGGGAGGAGCCAGGTAGTTAGATTTGTGTGGAAGAATGTCAATAGATAATTGACTAGGTCCCCTTATGGTTCCCTTTTGGTCCTGGGAATTTTAATTATATTCATGTCCTTAATGTCTTCTCTTTTTCTACATTATTTACTTATATCTTCTTTCATATTTTCCAGTCATAAATAAAATTGGAACAAAATGTCTTATTTTCATTCATATTTGTGCTTTCCAATCTGTACCGATGACATGTCAATATCCCTCTGGGTCTAAAACATGAGTCAACTTTTTGTCCATCTTCCCATCTATTCATCCTCCCACCATCAAACTATTGCAATGAAGGACTTTGCTTTAGTTGTGAGGTAAGAAAATAGTGAAATCTTATAATAACAACCTAGACCCACAAAATTTCTGACTTAAGATAAATCTAAAACTCAGTACCCTTGAAGGTGTATTGGCACTTAATTTGTGTTGACAACTCCCATAAATACCGAAATATGCAAGTCTTGTGTTTGATCCCACCCCAAGTTGATCTGATGAGTTTAAGATTCTCCACTTTGTTCTGAGAAAAAGGACTCTGGTGTATGAGACCCTAAGAGGAGACCCTACAAAATAAGACAGATTTGAAAGTGACTTCCCTCCGTGGCATAAGTGCTGTGTCCTGGGAGTGAGGGACTGTGCTTCCCCACAACACTTCTGTTATAAAGCAGCTTATAATAGAAACAGATAAATAGATACTGCTTTAAAGTATATGCAAACAGGGCCTCCCCGGTGGTGCAGCGGTTTGGTGCAGCGGTTTGAGTGCAGCGCTGTGAAGCTGTCCGCAGCCTAAGCTGTCCACAGCCTCTGCAGTACGGGTTTGATTCCTGGCCTGCCAGGGAGATACCCGCATGGTGCGGCAGACCTCTCCTGCTTTGCCTGCTGCTCCCCTCAGCAGTGTTTTAGGTCCTTCTGCCTGTTCTTCTCCCTGCTCTGTCTCTGGTGAATTCTCTCACCGCCTTGCACCTCTGGCCTGTATCCCAGTGCTTGTATAAATAAATAAATCTTTAAAAAAAAATAAAGTATGTGCAAACAGGATTTTGAATTAAAGAATATGAAGTCATGGTTCTACTCTGCATAAGTAAAGATGTAACAATTTTAAAAAATTTACATGGGCCAAAAAATAATTCCAAAGAAAAAGGATGAATACTCTGATAGACCTCCACTGAGGCAGACACTTGAATTGTACTGTATCTACATAGCTGGGGTTCTGCCTGCTAGCTGCCTGCAGGAACTTGTCAGGGGAAACTTGTATAGCTCTGCATTACTTGGTACCCAGATTTCTTCTATCTGTGTCTCCCAGTGACAGAGACTACCTGTTTCCCAAAATCCATTCTTCTATTCTTTTTTTAAAAAGATTTATTTATTTATACAAGCACAGGGGTACAGGCCAGAGGCATGGGAGGGTGAGAGAATTCACCAGAGACAGAGTAGGAGCAGAACAGGCAGACAGACTGAAGACACTGCTGAGGGGAGCAGTGGGTGAGACAGGAGAGGTCTGCCGAGCCATGTGGGTACCTCCCTGGTGGGCCGGGAATTGAACCTGTGCTGCAGAGGCTGCGGACAGCTTTAGAGCACTGCACTCAACCCGCTGTGCCACCGGGGAGGCCCCATTCTCCCATTCTTCCAAAGAGTCTGTGCCTGTGGTTTCCAACTACTCTATATTTTCCCAACATTCCCTGCAGTTCCATGTGGGCTGAGACTAATTCTGCTAGTGGTTGATGAGTGGAAATGACTGGCATCATTTCCAGGTCTGAAGCCCCTATTTTCCCCCTTCTCAGGCTCACTGGAATGATATTGGTCAGGGCAACCTCGGAAGACACATGAGGAAGATGGAGGTATTGATATCAAGCTGGGGGCTAGAAGGACAGAACACTCCCTCTGGACTGTTACATGTGCAAGAAAAGGACTTTTGATATAGTGGGTCTATTTGTCACTGCAATCTAGCCTATTCTAGATAACATACTTCCAAAATTTGGGCTATACCAAACCTATGTTTAGTGAGATAAGTGACTTCTCTGAAGCCAACCACTTGTCTCTGTATCCAGCTATGAAAGTTGAAGGTGTGGAAAAAGCACAGGGGGGAAGACAGGAGGAGGCACCTGCACTGCTTTGCCATTGACATCTGCACCGACAGATGCTGCAGTAGTAATTGTGTTTGGTACCGTGGCTGTGCTTGTTTCACAGATGTGCATTTGAGAGATGGGTATCTTTAATTCACGGCTGGCCACCTATGAGAAAGAAATATTTTCAAGTCCAACAAGAACTTTTATGAAGATTTGAATCACTATTTTTCTTAATTAAAAAAATAATTTTTATTTATTTATTTATTTATTTGTTTGGTTTTTGTTTATACATGCACTGGGTACAGTCAGAAGCGCGGGAGGGTGAGAGAATTCACCAGAGCCAGAGCAGGGAGCAGAGCAGGCAGAAGGACCGAAGTACACTGCTGAGGGGAGCAGCGGGCGGCAGGAGAGGTCTGCGCGCCATGTGGGACCCTCCTCTGATGGCCGGGGAGCAGCCAGGGATCGAACCGGCGCCGCAGAGGCCGCGGGCAGCTTCGCAACCCAGCGCTCAACCGCTGCGCCACCGGGGAGGCCCTAAAAAAATAATTTTTTTACTATCTCCATGATCTGTCCTTTAAATCCTAAAGTCAAGTGTCTTATAAACATTAAACTCCCTTTTAACAGAGCCTAATGCTGATTTTAAAGTGTCTTTTGGATAGTATTTCACTGTGTTTTCCATTTAAAATTAGTGTATTTATAATGTTAAGGATTCTTTTTATTCTAAGTTTTACAAATGTAGGGAGTAGGTCATTGAAAATTTCAAATCTATTTGGTCACAGTGGCAGAAAGAGAGAAAGAGAGCGAGACAGACAGACAGACAGACTGATTAGATGGACTGACAAATCTGTTAGCATGAGAGCCTTAAGGGCTTTTCTTCATCCTTGTCCTCACCCCACCTTAACTTTCCTCTCCCTTTCTATTTATTTTTGCTTGTTTGTATTTCTCCAATATTTGCTGCTTACTTTTTAATTTTCTGTTCATTTCCTTCCAGTGTCTAGCAGATATATGGAAATAAGATATTGAATCAAGAAGAAATGAAAAGAATGGGAGGGAAGGAAAAGCATTTTGGCTGCTGTTGCAAAAACACTTTCCTCAGATTTCTGTAGGGAAGTACCTGTTTTTCTTCAGACTAATGCCATTGAATGAAGAAGTCTCCCCAGCAAGATGCAAAATAGGGGAAAGAAAGGACTATTTTATTCATTCTTGGTCATGAAAATACAGACGAAATCTCTTGTTCCATGTTAACAGAAAGGCCAGGTGGAGCTAGTGTTGTAAATGTCTGTATTGAGGGCCTTCACATGGGCTCTATAGGATCCCCTTGTAATGTGTCTCACATTTGTTTTTCTTTTTTGCAATGGCCATATTATTTTCACAATTGATAGGCTTTGTTACGGCACAGGAGATTTGCCTCTGACAACCTCTGACTTATAGCAGGCTAGCTAACATTGACAAAGGAAAACTAGTTCCTTTCTCCAACCAATTACTCATCAGTACCAGGAAATGTCTCTGATTGGCCTAGCTTAGTATGTGCCTTCTTCCTGGACCAATCCATGAAACCGTCAGGGTTCAGGAACCAAGGTTGAGCAGCCCAGGGTCCTATGTTTTTATCTTTGGCTCAATTTGGTGCAAGGGAGAATGAGGCTAAAAGGGACCAGAATTGAGGTCTTCTTCAGAACAATAGGGAATGTGTGAGGCAGATTCCAAAGGAGCTGAGGGATTGAATAGCTAAAAGCTGCAGATGTATACTTTAACATTCTAATAAAGTTGTCATAAAATTAAGGATATTCAATTTAAAGGATTATTATTTTTTTCTCCTGAGATAATATTTTCTTAATTTGTGTGTATGTGGGTGTCAAATTATCCTTTAAACATTGATGAAATAGTTTTCAAAACTTGTCAAAATAAAGCATTAGCAACCTAACATTGTCTTGACTTTAAACATTATATACATTGGTCTCAAAATAGAAAAGCTGAAGGTCCCACTCTAGGTAAGCCCACATGGCCGCCTATCACAGCGCTGGAGGGGCTCAGTAGTGGTGTCTACAAACCCATCCCAGCACCAGGGGTATTTGCAAACGCATGGGATTTCTGCCACCTCACTCCATTTGATGTGTAAAAAACTTTTCAGTAGTCAAGATCTTAGCGTTTGAATACAGGAAGTTGTCATCCTCTCTCAAATTAGTGTCAAATGTCAGTCATGTCAATAATGAATATAGAGAGTAAAGACTAGTTTTTACTTATTTTACCTGTAGCATTTTGGTGTGAATACCTTGTCCCAGTTCCTTGCCTCCATGTGTGACCAATACAGACCCGTCTGTGTAGATGTGAACCAGTGCAGCTGCCTAGAAAAACAAGGCAAGAGGCACAGCTGAGTTCAAGATGGTGATTTGGGGGGTTCAACATAAAAAATGAGGTAGTGATGGATCACGGGTGCTATGGTAGTGGGAGAACTCTGGGGAAAACACCTGGGTGGAGAAATCAAATAATGTACAAAAATGAACAAGGGTATAAGAAAATAAATAATTATAAAAAAATACGAGGTAGTAAACACCATTCTCACAGAGTAGGAGTGTCAGAGAAGCAGCTTTTCTGGTAAGATTCTGAAGCTTACTTCCGTTTTACGCAAAAGTCACCTGTAAATATCACTCCTATTTAGGAACCTCGTTTCTGCAGGAGCTCCTTTGGATACTCAGGAGTTGTGACTAATCTCTTCCAACTATTTGAAAGTCATTGCACTGCTTAAAATCTCTGACCAAACAGTAAACTGGCTAATTAAACATTTGTAAGTACATATTATGTGCCAAACTGTGTTCAGCTCTAGATAGGTAGAGGTGAATAGGATGTGATTCTTCCTCAAGTAACTCTCAGTCTACTGGGCACACAGGCTGGACAGCAGAGTCACTGGAGTGTAGAATGACTTGGGAGATAAGGGGTATGGCATAAAGGGTGCTGGGAGACCTGGAAAAAGAGTCAACTGCTTCTGTGGGGCCTGGGGAAGTTTTCTCCTAAGTGGTAGCTGGAAAGAACCTGGAGGGAAGGGCTTTGTCACCAGGCAAGGTAGGCAAAGATGGGTGCTATGCTTTCATTCACTGGGGAACACCAGAAGCCCCAAGAAACTGGGAGAGGCAAAGGATTCTTCCCTGGAGACTTCAGAAGGAGCGAGACCCTGTTGACACCTTAATTTTGAACTTTCAGCCTCCAGACTGTGAGAGAATACATTTGTTGTTTTAAGCCAAGTTTATGGTACTTTGTTACAGCTGCCACAGAAAGGAAATAGATTCCACAAGCTCTTTTATGGGAGTCTCTTGGAGGAAGGACACCTGGTCATCTTTGTGTCCTGTAGACACTTGGAGGAGGTCTGAATCACAGAGACACTAAATAAATATTTGTCAAACTAGATGAATGGAAATGTGGTATTTTTCCTTCCAAGGGGAGAAGGAAATAGGATTTCAGTCTATTCCCGGCTGAGCTGCCTGGAGGCCCAGGGTGGTGTGGAGGAGCTGAAGGGCATCAAAGCTTGTAGGTGCTAAGAATAGTATTGATTCACTGTGGGCCTTTGACTGGCTGAGTGCTGCTCATAGCTAGTTTAGAAAGTAGCTGTTCCAGCTTGGTGAGTCATCAGCTGACCTGGAATAACTTTTCAACTTCAAGCCAGATGATTCTTAGGTACATCAGTTTGGAACTCTGTGAGGCAGCTAGAAACCTTTCAAATGGAGACTTAAAGTCATGGCTTGATTTAAAGACTTTCTTTTCTTTTTTTGTGGCAAGACTAGAAGTTGACTCCTGTGGAGTATGGCCTGTGGAACTAGGCAAGGGGCAGCCATAGGGGGAGGGGGGAGGAATGGTATAAAACTTGTGAAATTTGCTGCCTTCTGAATACTAATGAGCCCATTCTTGAGGGGGACAAATAGCTTTATGAAGGACAGGTTGCCAGAAAAACCAAGACTGTGGCTAGAGGGTTACATCTTTCAGGCTTACCCTCCAGCCTCTGGGGAGGGAGAAGGATTAGAGGTTGAGTCCAACCCCCAATGGCCAATGATTTCATCAGTTGTGGTTATGTAACGAAATCTCCAGAAAAATGGGATTTTACCTTAAGTAAATTACTTTCCTGAGTTCAGAGTTGTTTTGTTGAACCATCAAACCTAAGGGTGTGGGTACTGGAAAAAACCCTGAACTTAGTAGTTATCAAAGTGTGAGTAGACTGGACACCCGAGTGCACTGGTGTCTGAAATGGGGGTGCTCTTAATGACAGTTCTTGACCTATGGAGTCTGCCCTAATTCTGGGTAGGTAAGTGTCAGAATTGAATTGAATTGTTGGATGACCAGGTGGTGTCAGGGAACTGGAGACTTGATGCAGCTAACCAGGATCTCTTACATCCCTGCTATGGACCCAGTCTTGTCTTATAGATAGATGTGACAGCTAACCTCATGCCTCTTGATAGAATGGGCACACTGGACATGACAGGTGTGTGATTCAGAGTCTGGGGAGTTCTGCTAGCAGAGGAAGCACAGCCTTCAAGGCTGGGCTGGGATATCCCAGGAGGGGCTCAGAGCTGATCTGCATAACTACACAGAGTTCTAGAAGCCCTGCCAGGCTTCAAATTTATTATCTCATTAAATCCTCATCTGTCTTCAAAGAGGGTTATTCTCATTTTTCACTTGAGGGAACTGAGGCTCAGAGAGGTTATACAACTTGCTTAATGTCACACAGCTAATAAGTGGCATATCAAGGTTTCTCAGGTTCACCTGACTTTAGTTGATTAGGGATTTGGGGCAACTGCTTTAGTTCCTAGGAAGTATTTTCTTCGGCAGGGAAGCTTTTGTGGGATGCACACCTGTGTATTCATTGGGTAGTCGGGTATGATTGGAAGAATGCTTTCAGTAGTATATACACAAGGGAGATCTAATGCACTTGGATTTGATTTTAGATTTAGATCTAATGTGTAAAAATTTTTCCAGTTGCAATTTTTTCTACTTTTGGAGCAAGATAATGGAGGAGGCAATAACCTTTTCCAGTTTTCTAAATAGCTTTCCTGTATATGACCCATTGCCAGGAAGACTCATCTGTACCAGTCCTTGTGCTGTTTACCGGATTCATTTATGTGCTGCCCTTCCTCCCCCTTTCTGGATAGGACTTGTAGGGTAAGGAAAAATGTCAGGCTTTTTGCCCTCCCGCCTTCAGGATAGATGACGGAACCCTGCGATCCTGAATGCATGCCTGATGGCGGGCACCTGGAGTAGGGTGTGGGCATAGGTAGATGGGATTTGACTGGGCTTTTAAGGGCAGCGTCACGGGGATGCCAGCAGAAGCTGAGAGAGAAGCCAAGAAGCCCAGAGAGAGAGAGAGAGAGAGAGAGAGAATGCTGGAGAGCCCAGATAGAGTGAAGACTTGCTGGGGGCTGGGAGGCCTGCCAGCCTCCCGGCCCCCCAGCAACCCTGCCTGCTGTGTACCTGGTAAACCCCAATAAAAGACCTGCAAAAAACCACTGAGAACTCTGACTCCTCCTTTACCCGGTCTGCTGGATCAGAAAACCTGCTCAGTGGTCAGTCCTGATCTTACAGGACTCTAAGTGACTTGCCTCTTTTTGTAAATCAGCTGGTGAGAGTTTTTGGCCCTCTCCTCTTCCCCCTCCCCATTTTTCTACTAGATTTAACATACCTTCCTGGGGGAAAGGGCTTGAAACAGCCAGCTAGTCTGGACAAATGGAATGAATTCTCTGCATAAGATGTAGGAGCACCTTGAAATCCTGCCACATGTTGGTGGCACAGAGCAGGAGAGCTCTCCATTTCTGCATTAGTCACAGGACCCCCTCAGCTCAGACAGCACAGCACCCCAGGCCTTGTGGGCTCCTGTTCCCTTTCTGGACAGCAGGGTGTCACCTCCGGTCAGTTCTCCATCTTGGCAGTCATGCCATTTTGGGTCCTATGCCTGCTGAGGCCCTTGTCTGCCAAGGGCACACTTTCCTACTGCAGTGGTGAAAGTGCTTGCGGATGGGGGCTGCTCAGGAGCATCTGTCCGTCTCTCAGGTGCTGGAGGTGGGGAGCAGCACGGGTCTCAGTGCCCTGGGAAATGTGACACTCTTCTAGTCAACACAAGCTGATTAGGCCAGGCGTGTGCCCCACATGAGGGTTACATCCCATGTCACCTGGTGGAGTCTCACCTGATGATAACTTGTTGTGCCAAAGCCGACGGAAAACTTCATGGGGACTATAGCAATGCCTTTCTTCTTCCAGTAGTTCTTCTTGTTGAATTCCTCCACCTCTACTCTTCTGCTGTGGAAGGAAGACTTTTCCAGGCATTCGTTCCAACACCTTATCAGGTTCTCAGGGTTGAATGCTTGTTTGTAGATGGTTTTATCCACAGTTTTGTACATGTTTTTCTCCCGAACCTGAAGTGGGTGGGAAATCGAGTCAATAATTAGGGTGAGACAGAAAACTGACTGGAACACAGAGGCTGGAGAAGCACAAACTTTGGTGGGAAGAAGAGAGCTTCTTTCTTCTTTGAAAAGCATGTGCTTTTGATGGAGGATAAGAATAGAAAAACTGGAAAGGACATACAAGGTCAAGAACCTAACTGACATAAGAAGGTAGGGGTAGAAGGGATTAGCATAATCCATTAACCCACTTATAGAAACCAAGACCCTTAGGCATTAACACCTAGATCAGGAGGCGCAATGCCCAGAAACTATCAAACTGCTATAGGGAGTGTCAGGGGCACAAACCTTCCGCCCACGAAGATGAGCCCCTTCCTGAAGATGATAAAAACTAATGCTGCCCCCACAATGGGGCAGCAGCCCGTCTGCCAACCTGTGCCTATGCAGGTGCTCCTTTTCACCAACTCTGACCCTCTGCAGAGCAGCAGCCTCCCTGCCTGCCCATGACCTGCACCACACTGGGGCTTCCCACTGACCTCCCTCAGCGGAGGCAGCTCTCCTCAAGGCCGCCCGCCTGCGACGATGCAGGCCTGTCAGCAATCCTGTCTCTTTCAGGGCAGCTCTTCCAGCCTGCTTGTGTCTATGCAAGTGTCTTTTACTCTTCTGTCCCTTTCCCTAATAAACCTGCTCTTGTCCATATAACTAATGTCTCTGTCTCGTGGAGAAACTCGCCTGGGAATCTTGCCTGGGAAACTTTCTGCGTGCTGCTGAATGGGGCACTCTGGTGAAACCTTTCCCAGAGTGACCCAAGGACCCCACACTCCAAACCCAGTGACTCCGAAGAAAAAAACAACAAACCCATCACTTTCACAAAAATACTTCTTATCCCTTCTTCCATGCACCCATCAGGCTTCCTGGTGGAAGCAGAGGGCAGTGGTCGTGGCTAATCTGTTAGGGTAGCGGGATGGAGGGGCCGAAGGAAGCAGATTTTCCTGTTTCCCTATGAGCTTCAGAGGATGGAGCAGAATTGGTGGATGGTTTATTAAAGCAAGGATTTATTGTCCTTACTAAGAATTTGTTCTGCTAGAGGAATAACAGTGCAACTAATGACAAAGAGCAGATCTCTAAACCTTCAAATTGCCTTTGGAATGTGCGGTGAAATCTTTTTAAAAATTTATTTGAATATGGGTGTGTCATGTGCTGGAAGTTTGCAACACTTAACAAAGGAGAGTCCTCTGAGATATGCTCAGGAGTTTTTCATTATCCCATCTCACTCCAAAACAAAAAGGAAGCATGATTATCAGTCGTGACCTTGAGATAATACTATCCAGTTTGTGAAAACATTTTAACTCATTTGATTCTTGCAGAAACTGTGAGATGCTCTTGGATAGGGAAGCAGAACCACAGAGAGATGGCCTTTCTTTGTTTGAGCTGTTGTACCTTCCAGGACCTAATGTCTATCATTCTTCAAGGTTTACCTCAAGTGCCATCTTTCTGACTCTTCTCCCCACAAGCCAATGTGATGTTTTTCTCCTCTGTAGCCACAGAACACTTTATGTGCCTTCTCTTAGGAGAGCTACTGTCTTTCTGGTGCAATGTTTTGACGGCCCCTTGTCTGGAGGGAATACCCGGACAATCACAATCACAAGGCTGGTGGTCCTCCCTGTTGACTCTATGGATGCAGGGGTTTAAGGGACAACATCTAGGGAGTCCTCAGTGGATCAGAGGTCCATATTGGAGAAGCAGGATAGACGTAGAAAGCAAACTGGGGCCTGACTGGAATGTATGAGCTGCCGGTCTCTGGTCTGCAGACTGCACATACTCTGCACTTTCTAGGATATTGCACAAAATAAATATTTTTGAAAGGTATTCTCATGGCAGTACCTCTCAAAAATTTTCAAGTGACCCAGTAATTCTATTTCTGTCAGTTTATCCTGCAGCTAAACACAATAGGGCACAGCTATAACCCTTGGTATCTCTGTACTGAGATGTTTACTGCAGTGTCACTTTAATAGCCCCCAATGGGTAATCACCTGAATGTATAGCAATACAATAGTTCAGTGGCTCCATAAGGCACAGCACTTCCATACTACATCGTCATGAAAAAGAATGAGGTAGATAATTCTGACACAGGAAGCTGGCCATGGCATAGTGTCAAGTAGAAAAAGTACCCACAGATACTTTAGGTTCCTTCTCTAGGGTAGTGAAGAGATAAGCCTATTGGAATAATGTGTTTAGGATGGTCTCCTCTTGGTAGAGAAGTATATCCACAAACACACATTATATGTCACTGTTTACACATGTATGTATGAATATAGATGGATGGGTAAATATAGAGAAAGGATTGGAACAATAAACATGGCTCTGGCAGTGGTTACCGTCAACCAACAGGGATGGGGGGTTGAGAAGGGTCAGGTTCACCTTTTATTTTAATTACTTCAGTGAGGCTTAGGTTTAAAAAGTAATTATTTTTGTAAAAATTTAAAAAATAAAGGAGTCTCTGCATAAGGAGGGAGGACATACAGGGAGGTAAGTTCTTCCAGGGGCTGCTTAATTGGTCTTGCGTTCTGAGACAGGGCTAATTTACCTGGTTTTTCTAGGGTGTTTTTTTTTTTTTTTTGGCAGCTGGTTCCCCTGAGACTCCTGAGACTTCAGCGACCCAAGGTGGGCCTGGGTTATAACCTTGGTTAGGATCTCACCTTTTCTGGCAGAAGGCCACATTTGGCCGCCACGGCTGTGATGCAAGATTCTGTCACCAGGGTTCCTTGCGGAAAGCCGAATCCACGAAAAGCTGTATTGGATGGCAAATTTGTCTTGCACGCGTGGCCCCGGAACCTGAGGTTGCGGATTTTATATGCATTTTCCAGCTTTAGTGTAAGAAATTCTATTAACTAAAGTAAAAGAGATTCTCATATAGCGGACCAATATTTTTTCTCTAAAAGTCAATACAGAGTCCAACAGCTTGTGGAACTTGGTAAATACTTGAGGAAGCATGCTCCCTAAAGACTCATCTAGAAACCTGGCATTCTATGTACTACCAAGGCCAGACTGGCTCTGAGTACATACCAGCTCTGATTCATCCAGCGTGCACCCTCCGTTAACGAAACACTCGATGTCCAGTGCTTTGATCCTCCCACTGTTCATGAATCCTACCTGTCAGCAAAGGACCGACACTTCATGACAGGTTTACAATTCACACATCAGAGCCTAATCACAGCCCAGCTTCACTGTTGGTTGGGACTGAGCAAAACTCCGCTCCTGCTGCTTGGTTGTGTACCACGCCCAGCTATCCCCTTGTTTTTCAGTGCTGCTCTGCCCAAAACCTCCTGTTCTGCAACCATCCCAAGCCAGGTAGGTTCACTGTCAGTTCAGGGAAACTTGGAGCCCTTGGCATCACCCCCATGGGTTTTCTAATAGTACAAGGGGAAACAAGCCAGCAGGAGACAGCAACTTGGGTCCCTCTGTGAATCTCTATATGCCCTTTCCTCTCGTAGCTGTTCTCTACCGCTCTCCACTGCACCTTCCTCTGCCAAACGGTACTCTGTGACACCGCCCTTATATGCTCAGTCTCTGAGCTCAGGTGTGCTCACTTAGGCATGCCCACACCATACTCCAGGTGTCCACCATCAGGCATGTGTCCCTGAACCCACGCTCTAAAGCGACTCCTGCATTCAAGGCTGCAGGTGATAGCCAAAGAGACCAACAGTGCAAAAGCCTGAGCAATCTTCATTTACCTTATACCTCCTCTGAGCTAAAATTCCTTTCCTTTCAATGGGTATTTTTTTGGTTTCATAGTCAGCATGGAATTCTAAAGTCCTTGATTTACTACTGGCATATCATGGCTAACCTCATTTCCCTTATTCTTGGAAAATTCTCCTGCACTTTTTACCGACTTCCCTTATAATCGAGCCTGTAGTTTTCCCCTGGTGGAAGTCTCTGGAATTCCGGAGTGTGTTGGGATGAACCTCATTGTCAGTTGCTGGGTCAGGGAACAGACAGGGCATGCCTGCCCTCATTTCACTGAGCTGGTGAAGCGCTGTGCCATCAATTGAGGGTGTACCAGATGTGAGCTGTGCTGCCTTTACTACTGGGACTCAAGCAAGGCAGCTGTTGTGGTTCTGACGTTGCCACTCCCCTCCCACCCACCTAGATGAGTTTGTCTGCCCAGAGTGAAAAGATAAATTCCCACTCTCTATTGTGGTTCTACCAAAAAAGAATTGGCCCTGATAGCTTTGTCTTTCTGAAAACTGGGATAAATACATCTGAAGGAACTCTACAATTATAGGGTTATTATTATCTACTCCAAGGGAAATGTTGGCCAATAAACCAGAGCAGCTAGGAAATGTACAGAACCCCACAAGTTCAGAATTTATGGTAATTTTGCCAAATGCAAGGTTGAAGTTTACCTTTGACTTTTCAAAAGCTTGCTAAAAAATAAAATACTATAATGTAGCAGAGAGAATTCTTAAACTGTTTAATATAAACTTTTCCAGAATCTGGAACCCTCTATTCACATACAAAGAGCATTATGTTATTAAAAAAACTAGCAACAACAAATGTTGGCGAGGGTGTGGAGAAAAAGGAACTCTTCTGCACTGTTGGTGGGAGTGCAAACTGGTCCAACCACTATGGAGAGCTGTGTGGAGATTTCTGGACCTACTAAACATAGAGCTTCCATATGATCCAGCAATTCCACTCCTAGGTATTTACCCAAAGGACACAGAAACATCAATTCCAAAGAGCACCTGCACCCCTATGTTTATAGCAGCACTGTTTACAATAGCTAAGCTTTGGAAACAACCCAAATGCCCAAAAGTAGATGACTGGATCAAGAAGATGTGGTACATATATACCATGGAATATTACTCAGCATTCAAAAAAGATAAACACATGCAATTTGCAGCAACATGGATGGCGCTGGAAGGGATCATGCTCAGCGAAATAAGCCAAAAAGAAAAAGAAAAATACCGGATGGTCTCACTCATAGCAGGAATCTAGAAAACTTAAATAAGGGACCAGGAAAATGAATATAAGAAAGTGAAAATCAAAATCAACAAAAAACTATGAACCAGAGACACTTTTTGGGGGGTGGGGGGCGGGAGGGGAAGGATTGGGGTCAGAATGGGGCGTTTGCAATTGTATGGGGGAATATAAAAATAAAATTTAAGATTAAAAAAAACAAAAACAACAAAAAAAAAACAAAGAGCATTATGTTAATCAACAAATAGTTCTGAATAATTGAGCAAAATTTTGTTAGCTAATTTCAAATGAGGCTATCTGTGTACATATTGTTATATTGGGAGTAGAACTATATTTCATTAAAAATAAAATAAAATTAGGATTTTTCAAAAAGTGATTATTTTCTCTTACATTTATTTACATTTTATGTTAACATAATTACCGAAATAGCTATAGTCTCGACCTATAGTCTAGAACTTAATATCTAAGTATTGGTAGTAAGACAATTTCAAAACTGATATAAGTGAAGCCTGATTTATAATTTAGGCCCAAACCAAACACTCAATAGCCATCATAACACCAATTGCCACCACCCCAGAACATGCCTCAACATAATTCTTTGTGCCATAAGATAATAGCAGTTGCATTAATTTCTGCACGTTTGAAGGCAAATGAAAATTTAATGGGCAACTACAATCCTTTCCCCTCTAATTACAGAAATGACTATGCCAATGGAAGAAATAAAATTGTGCTGTGGTGTGGAAAGTTATGATTTCAGTAATACAAGGGAGATAATCATTTAATAACAAAGCAATGACAAAGTTAGATGGAAAATCTAGCTACATGTGTATTATTAGCAATTCCCAAATAAAGCATGTTTGATATAGAAGTAGTATATTAGAACTCTTCTAAGAGCTCAATCATAAATTTGAAAAGTAGGTTGTAAACCAGTAGCCAGGTATTTATTAATAGGGTCTATGCTATAGCTGCATTAAAAATGCATGAATGTGGTTTGAAATAACTTTAGATGATATCCTGGTTAGTGGATTCTTTTTTCTATTTGCAAAGAGCTTTTGTGATACTTTCATACCAGGTAGAGGAAACGTTTGAAAAAATGACATGATAGTTAAAATGGTCAATTTGTTGCCAATCATTTTTACTGCAAAATAGTATTTTTATAGTAAAAAAGTTTTGGTGTAGCAATGTTTGTAGCTTCTTTCATTATTTTCTTTTTAGCTTTTGAGGAATTAATATCATAAATCCTTATTCTCCCAGCAGTCTTTATCATTATTTGAAATTATATTCTTATCATTCAATTGCTTCATAATTCAATGCTAGATTCAAACTTCCTTATAAATATATTCAAATACATGATTTCCTCATTTAATATTTTAGATTCTAAGATTATTTTTAGAAATTAGCAAAAATAAAAATAATATAAAAGGATAAAGCCACTCAAATAAAATGAGGTATATTAATAATTTCATCTTTAATACTCACTTTATATTTTCCAAATAATGGGTGTCTTCCCCCAGTTATTAACATGTCATCTTCACGATCAAGAACAAGACGAATGGGGCGTCCAGTTCTCAAGAACAAATTGTAATTAGTCAGTTTCTCCACCCACTCACTCATCCATGCAACCACCCATCTGTCTGTCTCCCCATCTACCTCCGACCCACCTGTTTATCCATCCCCTTATTTAACTATTTAATGACCCACCTATTTATCCACCTTTATATCCATCCATCTACCATTCAGCCTTCTGCCCACTTATCTAACTACTCAGTCACTGATCCACCCCACATATGTTTGTTGAGCAAATAAAGTGGGGTAGGCATATATGGCTGCATTTCTCCTGTCTCTGCACTCTGTAATTCACTGGTCAGAGATTTAGCTAAAGGCATTAATGTCACATGTCAATTCACTTGTGTTCTATGGATTCAAATTTGACCTCACTCAGATCCAGCCATTTTGCAGGTTCCAACCATTAGTTACAAAGGAGAAAGAGTGTCAACAGGGTAATGCAAACATAACACAATTGGAAGAATATGGTCAAGTGTTTGTTCTAGGATGTCTGGGTTAGAATCTTCACTTTTGCCCATGAATGATGCTATATTGGCCAAGTTGGGCCCTTGGGTAACTAGGGACTTCGATCTTTCTGTATCCTGGGGTAGTTTCCCAGACTTTGGAGGGCAGTGCCATCATCTGGTGTGCTGGCAAAAATGTCAATTCCTGGAACTTAGCACTAGAATTCTGCTTCAATAGGTTGGAGAGGTGCCCTAGAAACTGCACTTTTTTCAGTGGTGCTGATGCTTGATTCTTTAGGTACATATTAGAAACTATGATTCTATAGGTTTCCTCGTCTTCCTTGGTTGCCAGTTCTGTCTCCTGACTGGTTCTGATTTAGTGGGTCTGAGATGAGGAAATAGCAATTTCTATGTCAGGAAATGCTTATTATCACTTTTGGGATGACTTAAAACATGGCAGGCGTGAGCTAAGGTAGCTTAAGCCACGATTCCCACACCTGGCTCAATGGTAGAACCAATAGGGAAATTTTATTTATTTATTTAAAATTTTTTTTAAGATTGATTTATTTATGCATATAAGAACTGGGGTACAGGACAGAGGTGTGGATGGTGAGAGGATTCACCAGAGACAGAGTGGGGAACAGAACAGGCAGATTGGCTGAAATACGCTGCTGAGAGGAGCAGCGGGAGAGTCAAGAGGGGTCTGCTGCGCCATGTGGGTTGCTCCCTAGCCGGCCGGGGGATCGAACTCATGCTGCAGTGGCTGCAGACGCTTCACAGGCTGCATCTTAACCCCTTGCACCACCAGGGAGGCCCCAATAGGGAAATTTTAATATGCTGATGCCTTGGTCAATAGGGGATAGCCTAGGCACTGAAGTTTAAGGGTTCCCAAGTTGATTGTAATGTACAGTTATATTTGCGAGGTCTTAATGGCACAAAGGCTGGTGGGAATGCAATGAATTGACTATCCCTCGCTGGTGCCTTGGTGGATATGAATAGAGAGGGGTTCATTTTGGAAGGACTAGAAGCAGGATTCAGATCCTGTTTCTTCCTATCTCTCATTGCAGAATGAGAGGTGCTTTGGGACCTAGCTCTGAACAACACAGATATTGTCAAAGGAAGCAGGACCTTTGAACTTTGCAGGCTGATAGGGGCTATGACAAAGTACAAAGGAAACAGCTATAGAAAATGAACAACAAATATTAAAGTCAGCATCATGTACAGCTGAGTAGGGAAGGATGGAGCCTTCTGGTTGGGGTTAGCCAGGGAGTTCTCTCTGAGAATGTCATCTTGCCAGGAAGCACACACTGAAGATTAGCCCTTCCCAGGCACAGGGAAGCAAAGGGTGGGAGCCTCTCTCTCCTCATCCCACTTTGTCTGCCATCGAGGGTAGGAAGCAAAAGTGAGGACTCAGTGCCTCCCCACACCCCCCCACCGCCTTCCTTTAGCATTCCACCTGGGCAGGTGACGTGGTCCACCCCTAATGGAAAACTTTCCCCTGAACTTAGGGACTTTTCTTTTCCAAAGTCCTACGTATATTTGACTTTTCCAATAGCTCTAGAGGTTTCGTTACCTACATTTTATGAAGAAAAGGAGTCAAGAAGTTGAGTTGGCCAAGGATACGTGGTTTTAAGCCAGCAGCCCAAGTGACTGTCAAGCCTCTGATCTGCTCTCAGCCTCCTGCATTTTATACCTTCCTCCATTCTCCAGGGAACTTACTTGATAGCACCCAGGGCTGCAATAGCTCCGAATGCAGCAGGTTTTATTATCTTCCCGCCAAAAGCACCACCCACTCGCTTTACATGACAAATAATCCTGTTGCTGGGGATATCCAAAGTAGAGGACACTGCTTTCTGTAAAAGTGAGATAATGGCAAGATTTTACAAGAGTGAAATGACAAAATGTTTTCAGAAACATAATATCACAACAAAATTCACCCACAACTACAGTTAGCAAAAAAAATTTTTTTTTGAGCTAGTCTGAATCTGTCTTGTGGAGAGCTATTGAGTTCATAAACATCATTAATTTATATAGAACAGTCTTTCCAGGAGGAAAACGGTATTTTTCTGAAGGGAAACTGTCAGAGTCCTGGATTCCTGTCAGAAGCTGGATTCCAGACTGTGCTCAGGCCTAAATTCCTAAAGAGGTGAAAACGAGCAAACTTCCCATCATCTATTAAAGAAGAAATGTTTGCAGCCCAAACCTGGTGCACTTTGTGACTGGGGAAATGAAAATGTGCTATAAAGCGACATTTACTCCAATGGTTATCTGTAGTGATTTTTTTTTTTAGAGAAAAATCAAGTATAGAAACAATTTAGTGTTGTCACCTAATCACAGAGTTTATTTAAGCATGATGCAAATAAATACGTTCTTTAAACCTAAAGAGCCTGTGGTGTGTAATTGACTTGACCTGGGAAAAATAAAATGTTCTGGGTTCTTAGCTGCTCTACTGATCTCCAATACCTGCATTCAAAGTTTTTGCAGGTATAAAATAACTGTCCACTGTGAGACTGTGGGGATTAAAGGCCATGATGGAATCAGGAAGTTGGGTCCGGGGTAACCTGGACCTCACCTGCACGAGGGCTGCATCCTGTGTTGACACATAAATGTCCAGCTCTTTGTCCTCTGTCTTTGGAATAACAAGCACCCTCTGTGTTTCCATGTAAAAATGTTCCTGTCCTCCAACATGGACCTCTCCTGTTAAGTATAAGCACAGGGAAATTCCTGAGAGTTGGAGGCTGCCATTTTGGGGAAGTCAAAAGCAAGTGGGGTCTATGGATTGATCAGCCTGGCTTTGTCTTGACCAAGGAATTGAAGGATCAGGCATTGCTCCTGCGGCCATGGAGGCCAATCTGTTTCAGAAACTATAGTTTTGGGTAACAATCTAAAAGTACAAAGTTTTGTTGTTTATTCTGTCTTTGACGAAGGATTTTTTCTTCTAAATTTCTATCGCTCTCTACCCAAAGCAACACACAAATTCTCATACATACATGCCCACGATTTGAGAGGATGAGATATAAGGGAATTTTGGTAAAGTGCCAAGACTTTAGAAGATGGTCTTTCTGAGAGGAAATCACATGTTCTCAATGCCTGCCTCAGAACAGAATGGCAAGAAATTTCTATTAAGTAGCCTGAGTTGCTTACCTTCAACAATTTGATCGACATTTTCAAATGCTTCCTCAATGTTTCCTTGTTCAAGTTTCTTTACAGGGCAGAAGAATGAGTTGTGTTTAATGGCATCCTGAGTGACAGAAAAACAAACAAACAAACACAAAAGCCAATGCTTTTTATTTTTTCTTCCATTGACAAGTTTTCCTGTCATCAAAAGTTAAACTCCTGAAAGTCTATGTGGATACAAGAAAGTAGCTACACAATGGGGGAGTTCTAGAAGGGCAGGTTCACCATGGGGACTAGGTCTCGGTGGGAATGTCATCCAGATGGCAGAGAAAACTGATGGGTTAGAGAAGCATTAAGAACTGAGATCTGGGGCCCTCCTTGGTGGCACAAGGGGTTAAGTGTCAGTATTATCAAGCTGTCTGCAGGCACTGTAGCACAAGTTTGATCTCTGGCCAGGGAGCTACCCACATGGCACAGCAGACCTCTCCTGCCTCACCTGCTGTTCCCCGCAGCAGTGTATTTCAGTCAATCCACCTGTTTTGTTCCCCACTCTGTCTCTGGTGAATCATCTCACCCCCTGCACCTTAGGCCTGTACCCCATCTCTTGTATGCATAAATAAATAAATATTAAAAAAAAAGAACTGAGATCTGGTCCTGGATGATGAACAGCCATTTCTCACTGTGGCTGTGCAGCGAACAGGCAATAGGTCCACCCAATAGTATGGGTGAGGGTCTGGGTCCTCCCTTTTGATGCTCTCTCAGAAGAAAAATACAGTTGGTCCTTGAACAACACAGGTTTGAACTGCTCATCTACTTATATGTGGATTTTCTTGCAAACAGATGATATCAACTTGTGTTGATAAATACAGTACAGTACTGCAAATGTGTTTTCTTTTCCTTGTGACTTTTTTAAAAAAAGATTTATTTATGCATATATATAATACAGAAAGGTTAAGTAAATTACCTAAGGTTGCACAGCTATTAAGAGGAGCAACTGAATTCAAACCTGGCAGTTTGTCTTTAGAACTCATGCTTTTAGACACCCCTACCTTACCCTGCCTATTATTTATATAGTCATAGAAATGGGTGTATGGATGAGCATGTATTGATATGTATTACTATTTTGTTAGGCCTGTACCCCAGCTTCACAAAAGGATTTTTTTTTGCTGACTTGACAATTCTAATCTGAGGGGACTCTAGGTCTCTAACTATTTGAGTCCCAGGATATTTCATGGGTGTGTCCTTGCTCCTTCAGGAAGGGGGATTAGATTTGAAATTTCAAAACCCAGTTCAGGATCCTAGGAGAACTCAAGGAAGGGAAGTGAGCCAACAAAAATGGTCAGGACTTCTTGCAAACTTGGCAAAGTGGGGATTTGGAACAGAGTTCATTTCACTGAGAAAGATCAAGAAACATGACCTTTTCAACACTTTGAGTATTGAGCAAGTTGTACCTTCACAGCATGTTTAAAATGTTCAAATGGTTTACTAGTGCTTTTGAAAAAAATATTTTTGATTACAAGCACACAAATAAGCAAACTTTTTTTCTAAATTTTTTTTAAATCTTTTTTTTTTTTTTTTATAGAGGCATGTTTTTATTTATTTATTTGTTTGTTTGTTCGTTCGTTTTGTTTATACATGCACTGGGTACAGTCAGAAGCGCGGGAGGGTGAGAGAATTCACCAGAGCCAGAGCGGGGAGCAGAGCAGGCAGAAGGACCGAAGTACACTGCTGAGGGGAGCAGCGGGCGGCAGGAGAGGTCTGCGCGCCATGTGGGACCCTCCTCCTGTGGCCGGGGAGCAGCCGGGGATCGAACCGGCGCCGCAGAGGTCGCCGGCAGCTTTGCAACCCAGCGCTCAACCGCTGCGCCACCGGGGAGGCCCAGCAAACTTTTTTTCAACTCAACTATTCCAAACTGGAAACTGCAAACCCTACCCACACCTGCATTTTCTATTCCAACCTCATTCTTTGTGCTGAAAATAGCATTTGCATTCCACCAGCTAGACCCAGAAATGAGAGTGAAATTTCTGTGGAGTTAGATCACGAAAAGTCCACTGCTATGGGGCTGTACCTTGAAAACTTTATTGTTCTCAATAGCATTCTCATCATCTTTCTCAAGTAAAAGAACCCCCAATACCTGGTCACATAGAATAAAATCTACATTTCTTAGCTCTCCTTGCAGTTAGGTGTGGCTTGTGACTAGGTTCTAAGCAATGAGATGTGGGAGGGCATACACAACTTGTGGCAAGTGTGCTCACGAGGAGGAGGCATGCCTTTCTTCATCACCTCATTCTCTCTGCTGTCTGGAATGTGGACTTGATGTCCAGAGCTTCAGTAGCCACAGTGGGCCAAAGTGTGACCCAGAGAATGGAAACCACACAAGATGGAGCAAGTAGACAGAAAGAGCCCGACTCTCTGACACATGAGTCCTGGACTGACCCCTTCTAGATGTTTTGGATGTGAGAAAGAAACTTTGGTTATGTTCTCTTTCCCCCATTTTTGGGATCCAAAGATAATTTCAATTCATACCAGTAATATTTTCCAGAGAAAGTTGATTTTCCCAGAGCAAGCCAGTGACAAGAAATAATTAAAACACTAAATTAGTCTTGCATTAAGAAATTTACAAGGAACTTTTAACTGTACAACCTGACAGGAGACACCAGCCATCCCTGCTTACCTCGATGGTCAAGATGACGGGCTCAAGATCTTCATAGACAATCTTTATCTTTTTAATTGCTCGCTTTGCTTGTACAGCTGTCTCTGCAACCACAGCACAGATGATCTGACCCACGCAAAATACCTGCAGAAAGTACAAGCACAAAGCTGGTGGACAATTTTTGGTAGAAGTACATGCAGGTCAATAGAGTTTTAAAAAAACTCTATTGTTTTTTTTTTTTTGTTTTTTTTTTAAAACTCTACCAGTGAATAGAGTTTTGGTTATCTATTTCCCCTGCTATCTGAAAGTAGATTATTTCTGTTGGATATACTTCTATAGGTTATTTTGTGGTATGGGAATGCTATACCTATTAATTTATATGGAAAAATTTATGAACATTCCCAGACTTATCAAATCATACCAAACAGGAGTGTTCTACTTTTGGGTAGTGATGGGGGAAAGTCTACCATTGTTGAGCAATGATAACCAAATTGGAGCCAAATTCAATTACACTGTTTGGTTAAAAATTTAAAACAAAATAATGAAAAAAATAATTTGAATAATACACAGTTCCATTGATCATCTTACTCAATGTAAAATGAATGAGCCCCAGAGTAGATGTGATATTGACTTTGATATGAAGTCATGGTGTCATTTTTGAGTTTAAAGATAAAGATAGTGTTTCTTAAATAATATGTTTCTGGACTGACCTGTGTCCTCTCCCACTCTCCCCCATTCATAGGTTGAAGCCCGAAGCCCCAATGTGACTACATCTGGAGATAGAGACTTTAAGGAAGACATTAAGGTTAAATGAGGCCACGAGGGAGAACTCTAATCCAATGTGACTGGTGGCATTATAAGACGAGGAAGAGACACTAGGGAGGTTTGTTCACAGAGAAAAGGTACATGAGGACACATGGCGAAGGAGGCTATCTGTAAGCCAGCAAGAAAGACTTCGGGAAGAAACCAGATCTGCCAATACCTTGATCTTGTACTTTTCAGCCTCTAGAGCTATGAGAAAATAAAATCTGTTTGTTTTTTTTTTTTTTTTTTTTTTAACAGCAGCTAGTATGTGAGCTTGTTATGACAGTACGAACAGATAAATGATGGTCCATTTTTTCATCTGAAGTTAACCGAAAGATTGTTGATTCATTCCGTGGCTGGAGAAAGAACAGTCTGTGTGGGGCTCACTGATACGTGACAGTAATAGTGAACTTATGGAGAGTTGTCATAGGCACATGCTGCTGTCAACGCTTTACATGTGTTACGTCATTTAAAACTCACAGGACACAAATAGGTGATTACTCCCAAATTACCTATGTGATACCCAAGGTCACACAGCAAGTGAGTGCAGAATGCAGCATGAACCAGGGTCCTCTGGCTCAGAAAGCATGTGCTCAGTGAGTGACTGTAGAATTGAACAGAAAGGGCAATGATGCAAGAGCAGTTTTATTTAAAGTGGAGTATGCACAGGCAGGTGGGAGTTGTGTGTGGGGGCGCTGGGTCAGGAAGGCAGGGAGTTTAGTGCAAATAGTAGGAAGTGTTTGTATTTTTTGTATTTCTAGAGTATTCTAACTTGCTACTGCTTAGTTCCTGCATTTATTCTTCAGATGAGGGTAAATGGACTCCAGAGCACATTGTGGGAAAACTAGAACTTTGTTTTTCTGAAATGTTTCTTTTGACTATATTATTTCCTGAATCTAGATGAGTAGGTCTGTCTGAATGAAGATGTTAGGGGTAGGGAGAAGCTGGAAAAATTGACAGAGAGGTGGGAGGTAACAGAAGGCCAAATGGAGGTGAAACTTTGGTGATTGTCTGCACAAAGATAATGATTCGGAAAGTGTGCTCAGTACCTGATTTACAGCCAATAATCTATCATCTTCCACACCGTTGGTGCCTGGAATATCATCCGCCGTTATCACATCAACCACCCCGGGTAGCTCAAGGGCTTCAGAAAAATCTATTGATCTACAAAAGGGGATATATTTAAGAAGGGTCCAGCAAGCTTGAAGGGTCCCCCACCTAGGCACTGACCAGTCACAGTCCACCTGCCATGTAGCAGGGTTCTGGAAGCCCCTGCTGGACCAGGGGTAACAAGTTAGCAGTTGGAAAGGTGACTGGGGAGGGACCAGTGTGGCTGTGGCAAGGATGTCCATGGGAAGCCTAGGACAGTGGCCACTTACTATTCAGTGTTTTATCACCAGCTGACCATCAGCCCTACTCAGAGTTACTCTGTGGGTCCCGCTGAAGCTGCAGTTTTGGGGGGCAGTGAGTGTTGTGAAGTTAGAATGGAAGCAAGGGGCCCATAACTATGGTTTTCATTTTATCTCATGATGGTCATTTCCGGATCCCTGCCCTTCCTCTCCTGGGACTGGTGACCTTTTTCTTTACACTTTCCATTTTCTATGCTTTGGGTTTAGGGCACTGCAGGCAAAAGGGCACATTCCTCTGACAGAATGCCCAGGTGTACTTTTCGAGGCTTTTTGAAAGCTTTGTATTTACTCACGTGATTTTTGCATGGGCTCGGGTACTGGTCACCAAAGCCATGAAAAGTTCTTTATCCACCATGGGGATGTCGTCACAAAATGTGGCTTCCCCCGTGGCATGTTTGAGACCTGACAGGTGCATGAGGGGGCGTCCGACTGGATCTTGGAGGGGTTGTTGAGAATCCACACTCTGTAGAGGAAAACAAGAGTTATCTTGATCGTCAGAAGTGACCTGGCCAGTTATCAACACGCCTGACTCAGGATTGAGAAATCAGATGGTCACCCTTGGGCAACAAACACTGGAGAGGGTCAGATGATGAGCGTGGCAACTGAATGATGTAACTAGACTGGGGAATTGTCGTTTCAGTCATGTGGCAATGCCTAAGAGAGGGCCAACCTGCTGGCAAATTGTGAAGGAGGTTAAGCACCCTCGGGCTTCTGCTTTGGCATCTTCTTTTCCCAAGCGTGCCTGTACCCCTTTCTCTGGGTCTCCCTGCCCTGCTTTCTCACCTCCCCAGCAATTAACCTGTTCACATATAAAGTGCTGGTGATGATAAGGCCAAAGTCATATTATTTCTGAGGTTGAAGAACTAAAATCTAAGCCAAAAGCTTGAGCATTGACTTGACAGGGCTTCTGGTGGGGTGGGATGCTCTGGCAATGGAGTCCTCCCAGATCTGGACTGAGGTACCTGAGGTGCCCCTATAAACAGCACAAAACCATCACTGGTAGTATAAGGAAGTGGAGAAAGTAGATTCTGGAAGCCTTCTCAGGGAGGGTCTGTGTGTGATGTGGGGAGGGGCTATACTCTAATAGATGGTAATAGATACTTTGTAAATTGTCCTACAGGAAGAGTGAGTTGGATTACTGGCCAGCCTCTTGTTTTGCTGACTGCAGATTGAACATTTGCAATCAGGACTGGAGGCTGAACCTTGCTACTCCTCTGCTCTGTCCTCCCCCATACCTAGTTCAACTGCTAGTCAACAAATGCCAGAGAGCCTCAGTTTGAGGAGACTATCAATAATTAGCTTGTACATGAGTCAGATGGTTGGTTGCAGGTGGTTTAGCTCAGAGTACATCCAGCAGTCACTCTGGTTGAGCTCAGAGCTCAGGATCTCCCTGACTTGGCCCAACAAAGGTGAATGTGCAAGCAATGGCTGGAAAGCCAGAACTAAAAGCTACAGCTCTCAAGAGCTGGCTTCTTCACAGTTGCAACTTCTCGCAGTTTCTAGGTTTCAGTTAAATGAAGCTCACTGACCTGGTACCTGCAGACTCCTTGGGGTAATGTGACTGGGAAATCTTCTACAGCACTTAGGAACCGGTCTGAGATTTCAGGGTAACGGCCACTTTCCTGAGAGAGACAATTCCAAGTAAAGATAGGTTGGTTGTGCACAATGAAGTAGGCTTTTTTTATGAGAAAATGACTTGGTTAATGAGTCCTAGGCCAGGGTAGCCTGGATGACCAAAATCCACATGTCCGCCCAGGATTTCACTTTTTAATGAAGGCTTCTTGTCCTCCTGCCCTTTCTACATAACGAGAAACTGGACCGACCAGTTTGTGTCTGATCCTCAAGTCACGGGAGGAGGAGAGGCTGCCAGTGAGCTGGCTGCTGGCAGAGGCACAGGGGAAAGGAGAAATTTGGGGCTGAATAAACCAGAATGAACTGAAGTTTGTTGTACACAGAAGAGCCCAGAGATTGATGGTTTTTCTCAGCAATTCAGCTTTTTCCAGGAGACAGCAAAATTAGGGAGACTCACTGGGTATCACTGAAACACATCAAGTATCTTGGTTCAGAAATTAAATGGCAGTGAGGATTATCCTGGTGAGTGTGACCCGGGAGGGTCTTCATCTGAGTAAATGAAAACCAGATACTTTCAGAACATGGGGCTGCTGGGGTGGGGTGTGATCCGAGAACAGGGGATACAACATAGGTCGAGAGGTGTAATTACAGTAGGGGAAGAAATAGAGAGAATGTTTTAATTTGCTTAACTTATTCCAGAAATCTACAATCAAAAAATGTCAAAGAAGTTACTTAAATATTAGCATGCACTTTAGTTTTGGTATTTTTGAAAAATGCAATTTTATTTTAGTTGAATATAAAATTGTGGACTAGGCAACTAATCTGTTGCTCCACGAAGCAGATCAGTGGCTGCCTGGGAGGAGAGGTGGAAAGGTTGACTGCAAAAAGACTGCAAAAGATACTTTTTGGGGTGATGGAAATGCTTTATATGACGTTTGAGGTGGTGGCTACATGGGTATATGCATTTGTCAAAACTCACTGAATTTAAATAGGTGGGTTATGTTATATGGACTTTTACTTCAGTACAGTCTATTTCAAAAGGAAAAAAATTGCAAACCCGAGGTTGAGGCACTGCTCAGGGCAGGCAGTTAGCAACTGTGGATTGAAGACATGTGAGCCTCATGGAACCCTACGGGAAAAATGGCTGGAACTGACAAGGCCTGGCCCAGAACAGGTGACAGGTAATGGCAGAGGCTGCTCACAAGAGTGTTTGCTATAGTTGTGGGAAAGCTGTGAGCTATGGGTGCACGGGGCACGGGAAAGCCAGGGCACTTACAGGCACACAGAACAGCTTGGCTAGCCTCTTCAGCTCTTGCAGAACTTCTAGGTAGAATTTAAAGAGGAAACTGATCACCAAAGTCCGCTTGAATTCCACCTTTCCCCCAGGAGCCCAGCCTGGGAGGGAGATTTCGTCCAAAAGCAGCCTGCAAGCCTCATCCAGCATGATTTCATTCCAGCGCCTGGCAGGGTTAGAGGCAGGAAAGAACCATTTAAAGAGCAGTGCCTGTCTGTGGCGTGCTGTAGATATTAGATGGTGGCCAAAGACCCCAGAGTCTCCTTTAAAGAGCTGGAAGGGAAGTTAGACATCACCTGAGTCCTTCAGGAACATAGAGGCCTGGGAGCTGCCCAAAGGCCATGGCAGGGTGAGGATGGGAACTGGTTCCATTCTAGAAAGAACCAAGCAGGCTGAAGAGCCAGAACATGCTGGAACCTGGTATTAAATAAATAGTCCACTAGGACCAATTCCATTATGAACCAGATAGGACGCTGACTGGCGCTCCGCCTGTACTAAGGAAGAAATGGAGGTGCCTGAGCAGGGGGAGAGGGAGGTGCTCCTTGGAGGCTGCACTTTGTGAGCTTGCTGGAATGTTGACGTGCATGAAAACTGGACTCAGTCCTGGGCCATTTTTTGTTGTATTCCTTACCTGAAGAGTAACATCCAATTAATCAAAGTAAGGTTTGATTTATTTAGCCAGACTACAGAAAGAACAAGCAGTGATCCTACATATAGGAGTTTCCATCTTTCCCGGGTTTTACAAACACTTTCTGGAGCCAGATTTTCACTTTCTTTTTTTTTCCTTTTCTTTCTTTCTTTTTTTTTTTTTTTGCATCAGGTTTCACCCCCAGGGCTCACTGCTTGCCTTCCAATGAGCTGCTGGCAGGATTTCTGTGCACTGAGGGTGGCAGCCCCCACCCCTCCGTAAGCGATGCTCAGGTCCTCAATGGTGTCTGTGCCTTCTTTGAAAAGGACTCGCATGCCAGCATTCACGTCAGCCAAGGCATTTTGCTGGCAGTAAGCCTGTCGGAAGGCTGCCACAAACTCCCCCTGTGGAGATGGAAACATTTGGGGTTATTCCATATGTCAAAACTAGGAGCATGATTTCTGCTCCTGGTGCCACTAATAAATCACTTAGACTCAATCAAAAGGGACACGGAGGACACTTGGCACAAGTAGATGACAACTTGGTGCCTTCCTGTTCTGAATATTGACCTCCCAAAGGCCTGTCCCCGATGCCAGACACCCTCAGGGAACTGGGGTCATCATGCACGTTTCCTCTGTGGCCAGATACTCCCCACAGGTGGTGGTGGACATGCACACGGGAACATTTTCAAACGCTCTTACTTCCAAGTGCCATCTCCTCTGGTCTTCAGGCACCTCTATCCCTTGCGAGGATGGAGGATCCCTCCTAACACAGGTGCTTTCAAAGGTGATTTGCTTAAAGGGTGTCCACCCCATTTCTTGGTTTGTTGACTCCTTCACTTTTCTACTTTGCTCATAAGGAACTGAATACAACCTTCCACCAGTGGACTAGCAGATGTTGTCTCAGAAGCAAGTCAGAAAGGTGATGGCTGCCCTACTGCCCTGGACACCTGACTGCCACTCAAGACACAGGTCAATGAAGATGGGCTATGCCCATGCGAGTGCCCGTCTGCGTGGCCCTGGGCACATGCGTGTTTGAGTCTGCCTGTTTTTCTGTCTGGGGGCTTTACACAGACACACATTTGACTTGCCTGAGGAACACATTTCAAAGTTTCCGTTCCCAAGGAAAAATAAATGAAGCTTATACATGGTTGAGAGTATGATTTAAAACAAGACTTCCTATGTAGCCAAGCTGACATCTGGCTTTTAATGATTGTGTGTGTGTGTGTGTGTGTGTGTGTGTGTGTGTGTGTGTGTATGTCATTGCCTCTCTCTGGAAGGATTGTCCTCTCAGAGTCAGGTACAGCTTTGGAGAGAGAGCGGTCAGGGAGTGAGGACAGAGGGGGCTCTTTGTAACTGACTGGGTGGTCCCATCTACCCCAGGGGTCCTGTTAGGACATCTGGAGGCCCTTAGTTTCCATGAACTGTGGGTTAGGCAGGGCGGCACATTTCATAGCTCGAGAACTTTAATTGGGCTGACAGGAGGGGGCGTGGACCCACTCCAAGCCCTCAGCAGACCCCACCCCACAGCTGAAACAACAACCCCAAATCCACACCCTGGAGCTGCTGGCTTGGGATGTCTGAGGGCCTTGGTGCTAGGCCAGCCCACAGTGGACAGGAAACAGGTTTTCAGGGCAGAATTCTTTTCCTTCCATCTGTTTTCAGATTACTAAAGATGAATAGGCTCAGTTATGAAAAGGGAAAAGCCATTTTTAAAGGAAGCCAGTGAAATTCTTACCTTTTGAGAGTGAGGGATAAACACAGATTCTAGAATTTCCTCTGGCTTAAGGTCTGCAGTTGCCAACCCAGCAAGAAAATGTTCGTTGAGAGGAATCTGCCTTGTACCTTCTGTTGAAGAAAATGACATTTCCACACAGTTGCAATAAGGAGTGGGAGATTATTCTGTACTTTTAAATGTCAGCAGCAAAGAAGAAAAGGTCGCCTTCCTCTGCACCACTCAAAAAGAGGTCTGAGTATGTGACAGTCCAGGGCTCCGGGTTTGGTCCCCCACACAGGGTGGGGTTCCCTGCATGGGGTGCGGGTGCGGTGGGGTGGGGGTGTGTGGTCAAAGCTCCATGACATTTCCTCCTCTCTCCTCAACCACACGCTGTGTGAACCAGGTTCCTCCCGCCTCTAAGGCCTGCCAGGCCTTTGTGGTTCTCACCTTCCCCCCTGAGGCTGGTTCACTAAATCTAACCCATTCCATCCAATGATCAAAGTAGGGGTGTAACTTAAGCAAGACAGGGTTTATTTCCACTGTTAACAGAATTCAAATCATTGCATTGGCTTTTTGTTCTTGCTCCTGCTGTTGTCTCCTCAACTGGGCACTTACACCTTTAAGTGAACAATTCACAAAGCAGCCTTTCAGCCCAATTGTTACCACTCAATGTTGGAGCAGTGCCATCTGGCTTTAAAACGTCGATTGTAGCTCCACAGACGTGCATCAGGAGATCAAACTACAGCCCAGAGACTGACCTGGCTCAATTCCAGGCAAAGTGCTGATTGGAACATAGGTATAGTGGAGAGGGTGGCTGGACCCCTGCTGACCTTTCCTGACCCATCCTGCTGCAGGGCTAGCAATCTGATATACTGCCTGCACTGGAGCTCCACGTTGGTGGTGCCTTGGCAGAGCTGGGCAAACATCTCAAGCCAAAGGTAATGGCCACCACCCAGAAGAACTTGTTCCTGCTCCCGCACCCACTAGAGCTGCAGTGTAGCTACGGCCTGCCCTCCTTGCCAGCCCAGTGCTCTGAGTCTAGGCCTCTTTTCTCCTGGTCTTTGGGGATCAAGCTGAGGTTGTGTCTGGTCACGAGCCTGGAGGACTCTGCACAGAGGCTTATAGGGTCAGGCAGGGGTGAGGCCTTTTGTCTCCTCGCTTCTGGAGGAGCCCCATGCAAAGCTGAACAGGGTCATGAGAACTTTTTCTTCTTCAGCAAGTCTTCCCAACCTTTTGACTTCCACCCTCCAGCAAACACCACCAGGAGGGTCACATGCCTGTAATGTCATTCTTGCTTAGACACACCCCAGAGTTCTTGCGGGGCAATGTGATTGTTCTCCCTGCACCCCAGTGCCTGGGACTGCGAGACCCACAGGAGGCGTGAATGACTGGGTGGGATAGATTCACAGCGGGAGTGGGTATTTGATGGTGTGGGTGAGGAAAGGGGGTGTCGGAGGCTCTGGGAGGTGGCCTGGTGCAGAAGGGGCAAGCACATCTATTTGGGAGTCAGATAGGCTTGGGTTCCAGTCCCACACAAGTCCTTGAAAGTGACCTCAGTGGGGTGGTTGGACAGATTGGATGTGCTGTGTGTAGTGTCCGCACAGCCAATGTTAGCTGAAGGGGAGTTAGCATCTTAGGAACAGCCAGAGGCAGAGTGAGGGCTGAGCACTTGCTAGCAAGTAACAATGCTTTCTTCCTGCCCTCTTGTCTGCCTTGGGGCCAGAAAGGGGAGGGGCAGGAAGAGGAGGAGGGAGCCATCCTCAGTTGGGTGCTCACTCAACTTCTTTACCTCAGCCTCTGCACCCCAGCCTGGGTTTGGACTGGAGGTGTGTTGGGCCGTGGCACTGAACGGAAGTCCTAACTCCCCCTCACCCTCACCACTTGCATCAATTTGCCTTCTTCCTCCAGGAACCTGAGCTCCCCATGGTGAATTGAAAGCCAGAGACCTGGTTCTGGCTTCAAGCAACTCCTTAAACAACAAACAAGACAAAAGATTTTTAGGTGCCATTCAAAAGTGCTTACCTTCTGATACCAGTTTGAGGGTAGTGTTGCCCACAGCCAGAATTGGATTCAGATCTGAGTAGTAATGGCGGCTTATAATATGTCCCCCTAAGGACTAAGGAGAGGGAGTTACAGTCTTGGACATTCTATTGCTCAAATCCTATGCCCTGGACACCTGCTCATGGTTTCTGTGGTAGTGAAAATGTCAAAAGGAATCTCATCGCCTTTGCAGAGGGCACTCATTCAGACTGAGGGCTCCCTGTGACGCACTCCTTTGCTGGGAGAGGAATTGATTGTAGCAACATTCACATGTTATGTTCCACACACTGCCTAGCTCTGCACATACATTTCTTGCTCCATCCAGTGAGACTGATGACAACCCCCATTTACAAATAGAGACACTGGGCACAGTGAGATTCAGTGGCTAATTCTGACCTGCCCCTTTGGCCTCAACTCCAGTGAAGGTGCTCAGTCCCAGAGATGCTGTCCTGCTGGGGCATGCAGGAGCCTCATCTCACACAGCCACTGGAATGCCAGTCTCTACTTGGCCAAGTGGGGGTGCTGGGCAACCACACCACTGACAGACAGTTGCTCTCTTCCTCTCCTTGGGAGACCCCACTCTGACCTGGTTGAGCAGCTCAGAATTCAGGAGGGAAACAATTGGCCTTTTAAGGTAATACCCTGCTACCTCCATAGGGTGGAAACTACAGTGACCACCTGGGTTGCTGTGGTCTGGGCTTATTTCCCTTGAGCTGAAAGACGACTCCCTGGGTGCTAAGCTATCAGTCACACTTCTACCCTTTGGATCATATGTAATGAATCACTTCTGACATCAGGCGTCTACAAATATTCGAAGGAGGATCTCATGATCCCCCTGACTGTCCCCTCCCCCATCATTGCTCTTCCTGCTATGGTTGCAACCCCTCACTTTCCTTCTATGATCTCTTTACCAGGGTGTCACAGTTCTTAGCAGGGTGAGAGAATATTCTGGAATCACCTGATGAACTTTTTCAGAGGAAACATGTCCTCTCCTAATTCCCCTTACACCAGGGATTTTTAATATACCCTTTGGGGCGTGTAGACTGGGAGCAAGTTCACTTTGAAAACCTTTGTCTTTTCTGCTTTCTTCTGAGGTGAAGAATAACCAGACCTTAAAGTGTGCCTTCCAGACCTGGACATTAGACTCCATCTGTAGTCTGAATAGTCTAGAGTAGATGACCTTTCTTATTTTAGATACTATACTTCTGGTAATGCAGCCTGAGACTAAATTAGGTTCTTTAACGTCTTATCTAAAATTAGCAAAACCATAATATACTTTTCCTACCCATGTTGCTACTTGGCTGTTCTGTTGAACTTGACTTAGAGACTATTTTAAATGTTATCAAATATTTGTTAAATATTTATCACACCCATTGTTTCAGTCTGCTCAGACCACTATGCATTCCGATTCTGCCAGTGCCTATTCAACATTTCAGGGAGATTAAGGGATAGGTGAGGGGTGCCTGATGATTAGCCCAAGGACCTACTGCCATGTTCCGGATCTGTTGGCCCGCCAGACACTTGAGGTGTTTCAGGAGAGCTCGGTATGTCTGAGTTTTCTCATCTGGGAGCTCGGAAATCGTCTCAGCCAAGATGTCCTTCATCTGGGCCAGGCTACAGCCGGCACCTATGGTCAGCCCTGGAATGCAAATTGTTGTCAAATGGTGTGGAAGGAGCAGGTGAGATGCAGTGTGGTGGCTCTTGGTGCTGGTGCGCAGAGAATCTCTGGGAGCTCAAAAATAGTTCAGACACCCCAGGCCCAGATCATTAAGTCAGAATCACTGGGCTTGGGCATTTTTCAAAGGCTCCCCAGGTGGTTTTCTCTTGCAGCCAGGGTGTGGAAGCCCTAAACTGATTTACACTTTTCTGTGGACAAATCCAAGGACAAAAAGGTTAGAGAGAAGGAACGATAGTAACAACTAGCAGGTGGCAGACTCTATTAGAACTTTCCATGACTCCCTGCATGACTTGACTGGCCCAGTGAAATATGCAAAGATGTTTTATGATAAAGAGGAAAAGGGAGGAAAAAATCTGACATTAAGATAATGGCAAACGTCTTTCAATAGCTTAATCACTGTCTAAAATCAATAATGATTTTTCATTGGGTAGTACATACAGGTATTGAATTATAATGAAATATACCTAAAACCTATATAATATCATAAACTAATATCATAAACTATTCTTGCTTCAATACAATTATTTAAAAACTTAAAAATAAATCATTAAAGAAAAATATGTTTGTTTTGTTCATGACAGTTTTCCTAGAAACTATTGCAATGTCTATCATATAACATAACTGCACTGAATATTTATTAAATTGATTAAATAAATGAGAAGAAAATGCACACCCACACTATGTTGATTCAACAATGCTTTGACAGACTATATTAAGCCTTTCCTGGGAGTCTTGATACTCAAAATCTTAAACACCAGTTCCATGACATTCACTGGTCAGTCAATGAACACTGCACATGCCTGTAGCTACCCCCGGTACTATGTTGGGTGTTGTTGAGTTGGGGTGTTGGAGGCCCCCCAGGGAGGTACCAGGGAATCAGGAACTATGGGAGACAATCCAGAGAATTGAGCCAATGCTGTCTGCTCACTGGCCAGGAAGTTATTTCAAAATTTTAACAGCCATCCCGGCCATCCTGGTGAGTACTGGATATTAGTACTGACTTCAGGGTTTCTTTAGAGTGGGAATGTAAAGTTCATCTCAATCCTTCAAAGTGAAGAAATCACTCAAGCCATTGGGTTTAGGGAGCTGGTTTAGTTGGTCTTTTAGAATTAATCCTTCACTTCCGCAGAGTTTGCAGATGAATCACTGACATGCAGAGTCTTATTTGATCACTTCCAGGGCTGAGTTCTAACTGCAATTAGTTTATTTTTATCTGGTTGTGGCTAGGTTTTAATTTTTTCTTTTGGATTAATCTTCAGGAATGTTTTACCTTCCCACAAAGCTTTATTTTATTGACATTAAAAATATACTTGCTGCAAGTTTCCCACTCCTGCTAACATACCCAAATAATAACCACTTATAATATAAACTAACCTAAATGATCAGGGAAACCATTAGCTGCTCCTTATTATCCTTATCTTAAGCAAATCTTACCTAGAAGTAACTAGCCTGTTCCTCTTCCCTGGAGGTGTCAACCCTGAGTTCTCATCCTGTTTCTGTTTCAACATCTCACCAAAGGCCCTCGGTAAATGGGTTCTCATTCCACACCCACCAGCAATGGCTTCCTCTCAGCACAGGGTCCATTGGAACGTGGTTTTTAATTTCTGTAAAAGTCCTGATCTTACCTTTGCTTACAGAGAGCTGGGAAGACCAACTGGTTCTTGTCATACCCTTTCTCTTACTCCGCAAACCCAGAGTCTTATTATTAATAGGGAAGAAACCAGAAACAAAAGACCTGTTCCTCCTCTCCATCATCATCATCATCATCATCATCATCATCATCATCATCATCATCATCATCATCACCATCATCATCTCTTCAAGGTCACAGACATCACACAGTGCAGGATGACCATCTCTTATTTGATACAGGTAGAAAAGGCCAGTATCAGCCCTGAGGGAGTGAACGGTTACCCATTTGCTGTATTGCCTGAGTTCTCATAAGTGTGGCTTTCAAAGTCAAGATCAACTATTCCATTCTAGGCCTGACACAGTTGTATTGAGAAAATTCTATTTATTGTACTTCTATTCTTATTTTATTCCATTTTTGGCCACAAAATCTAGCTTGCATTGCAATGGAGTTGAAAGGAGATTTAACTTTATTTGGTTTTTCAGAACTGGGTTTTGTTTGAAGTCCATGCTTCTCGGAGTTCATGGCTCCATGGGATAAAGATACAATAACTTTCTGGAATACTTACTATACTAAAGATTATGAGAAAAAATAGCTTACCGCACCAAGCAGGTGCATGATATGAATCAGCATGCAAAATTTAAATAAACATAAGTTTATTACCTGGGGAGAGCTGGTTGGGGAGGGGGCACATCTGGCTCTGTTGTGCCTCACCCCTACCAGTGTCCTTCATTCTTCAAGGCCTTAGGATAAGTTGACACTCATGGGAATGCCTCCATGGCCACTAGAGGGTACTCACGCTTTAATTTTAAGAGGCCCTGAGAAGGTACGTTGCTTGCTCAGATCTCAGGATCTGGCTCTACTTTGCCTGAAGAATCCAAACTAAACCATTCATTCAAATAGCCTATTGGACAGCTGATGGGGTGGATCTGGAGACCAGGGAGTGCAGTAGTGAAAATTGTTCTGAATTGGAATTGGGAGTTGTGTGGTTTGGGGATGGACTGCCAGCCAGTTGGGGACCACAGACAAGCCCACTTTCCTTTTTCATCTAGTGAGATAAAGAATGAGGTTACCTTGAAGATTTTTGATTGTACCTGAAGGGCCAGGGCAGATATAGGGACCCCCAAGGGATAGTGAAAAATCTTCCCTTCCCTTTAAACAGAGCAACAATTTTCATTTATTTATCTTATTAAAGATTTGTTTGAGGACAGGGAGGTGGTGCTAAAGAGAAGTTTGGAATCCATGGGCTTTATAATTACTCCTGGACTGAAGACTGGGGAAGGGTTTTCCTAGCTCAGCCTTCTGCTTAAACTAGTTGTCTATATTCCTAACCCACCCATTTTGCTATTCCCCTTCCTCTCTTCTCTCTTCTGACAACAGTAATATTTCAGGTCAATCTATGAGCATGCCCCTCTTTTTCTGTATGTCATTCAGGTGTGCTACCTGAGTTGCCTGAAGGCTGAAGCTGTGAAGTCACTGCAATGGACAAGATCGAGAAGAGTCCCTTCCTTCAAAAAATAGGCAGGGCAAGCTCAGGGAAGCTCTGGCTTGCTATGTGCTGCTGATGACTAGAGACCAGGAATGTAGGCCTCCTCTGGCATGATATGGCCAAGGCAGTTCCCCTCCCTTGTCCGCCACTGATCTCCCACAGACAGTGGCAAAGTCAATCTTGAGTAAAGCTTTCAGTTTAGTTAACCTTCTTGTTGCCTAAGTTAAGGAAGTCATTATTACCACTTCTGATTCACTCACTTATTATTATTATTTTTTTTTGTTAAATCATTTGTCTATCATTGACTGAGCACTTATATGCATGCCCAGTGCATGGGGGATGAGGGATGAAATAAAATAAGGATCTTTTTGTTAAAGGGTTTGCAGTATATCTCAAAGGCCAAGTCCTGCATGGCCAAGTTCCTACATCTGTCACCTTCCCTGGTGTAGTATCTGCATAGAGTGGGCTCTTAAGGATGTTGTAAGTGACTGGGGGTACTTGCCTGGGCAGGTCTTTGTCCCACTTGCTCCCTTGTCATTGTTCCCAGGAGACAAATATCATTCAAATAAAGACAACATTTTCTACTTTGCCCCTGCAAACATCCTCCTTCCTGAGACCTGACTGTTCAAACTGAGAGATAGCACCTATTCCCTCTATTGGTCTTCCCATCAAAGTCACACTGCGAATATATTGTCTTTGAAACACCATGGCATTTTATGGGCATGTGATTGCAAGGTCTTGAATGAGATCATCAAAGTTTTTGATGATAGTAAAGTTTCAAGGTGTAGACGTGATATCACATCAAAAAAAAAAAAAAGATGAAGATTTGGGAATAGTCCAAATAAAACACATGTATGAGGAGGTTCCAAATTATTTGGCAAGTGTAAGTTTAGGGCAGGTACCATTTGTTTCTTTGATATTTTTACTAAGAAGACCAGGAACTCACCATCACTTTTTTTAGACACCACACTCAGCTCAGAAATCCTAGCAGGAGAGAGGACAACTGAATGGAAATCCCCTTGAGATTTCATTGCAGGCCCTGAAAAGTAAATATTTTAGAGTGTTAGAAAAGAGAAAAATGCTTTTTGGGGGCATTGAAAGCTTCTATAAAAATATTCAGGGGACAATTAAAAAATGGGTTATAAATGTGTAGACATGTGAAAGTGGTGGCCATAGACCCTGATGTACATGTACATGTATAATAACATTATACACTTTATGACATGCTCTCCCTGTGTGGACTGATTTATACACTCACGACATATATAAAAATAGGCAATAAAATGGACAAGAGATTCTAAAAAAACTCTTGCATGTGGGCGCCAGGAAACGTAAAGAATATTTTTGATCGCTGAAACATGGAAAGAGGTCCATGTCCTTCATCAGGGGACTGGATGAGCAAACTGTCCCGTTCACTGGGTCTAGTGTAGTTACTGCAACAACAGAGGCGAATATTAGGTTAAGAATGGCAAATGAACATAGAAAATTTTGGAAGAATAATACTGTGTTATCTTAATTATGTAAAAAACTTAAAAACATGCAAAGCAAAAGGACATCTTGCTTAGGGATTAAAATATATATGGTTTATTTGTAAAAATAAAAAAGAGACTAAGCCGTACCATATTCAGACTAATGAGTGTCTCTGAGAGGAAGGAAGGGAAGGTGATATACTTTGTGTTTTTTTTTTTTAAGATTTATTTATTTATTTATACAAGCACTGGGTACAGTCAGAAGCGCGGGAGGGTGAGAGAATTCACCAGAGCCAGAGCAGGGAGCAAGAGCAGGCAGAAGGACTGAAGTACAGCAGCAGGTGGCAGGAGAGGTCTGTGCACCATGCAGGCCCCTCCTCTGGTGGCCGGGGAGCAGCTGGGGATTGAACCGACGCTGCAGCTTCGCAACCCAGCGCTCAACCGCTGCACCACCGGGGAGGCCCTTAGGTGATATACTTTGGAAGAGGCCTCTGGACCCTCAAAATTCTTGGTACAAATTCTCGTTCTTAAATTGGGTGTAGGTGATAACTGGATGTGCATTGTTAATATACCCACATGGATTTTATAAAACTCAATTAGATCAATTATTTAACAAAGCCAAAATAAAAAAGGATAAAATAAATAAAGTGATAAAACAAAACTGCTAGTACTATTTTTTCTCACACTTCAAGGGGGTATATGTACATCCAATTTTGGAGACCATTTTATTATAATATGATATGATATAATACCATATAGTAATATTATATGTGTAATATGTTTACATATTCTAATATATAGAATTGATATATAATTTCTATTCTATAGTTACATGTAATTACTATAGGTCTGTTAAAATTAGCATATTTTAACCATACATCATTACATTTTAATATTCTTATTATAAAAGATGAGACTTTTATCTTTAACCAGTAATTTTGTAGGCTGAGAGCAGAGAAGGGGATAGGAAGTCTGGTTTGGAATTATTCGTGGACTGTGACCATCACTTACCCAAGGAGGTGTTGCCCAGGATGAGAGGAGCTTCAGGGTGCTTCACTTTCAGCTCCAGGAGCTCCTTGAGGGTGCCAGGGGAGATCCAGGTAACCCTCTCTCCATAAAATGTCAGAGTTTGTTTTACTGGGTTTTCTGCCATTCTCTAAGAGCAAATAACAAGAGTGTGTTTTGTGTGCACACCTGTCTTCCTGGGTTATGCAAGTTCCCTTGTGGAGTTATGTTCCTTTAGAAAGATTTCATGTGTCCCGGGGTTCACTTGATCAAAAAAATATTCACTACACCTATCCATTGGAGAATGCCTTTAGTGTGAGGCTTCTTAAATGTAGCTCTTTGGAGACAAGGCACCTGTCACTGGCCCTTCAGTATTGTACATACTGTTACAGTATGTACATATCATTGTACTGTGCAATTAATTTAACATAATTTAGCATCATGGGTTAAAAATCATTCCGAAAGGAATGTCATGAGACTGGACATTTCCTCTGAAATCTAGACTGATAACCTGAAGGGTTACTGATGTCTTCTCTTAGGTCTGTAATAGACATTTCAAATTTAATATGCCTAAAACTTCATATCCCATCTCCCAAAAGCATTCCCCAAAAGGAAAAATATGCTGCTTCTTTAAGTCTCCCATCTCTGTAAACGGCCACCCTCCTTCCGGGGCTCTCTAGAGCTCTGGAAGGAGGTTTGACTCCTCTTTCTCTTATACACGCCACATCATTTCCATCAGCAAATCTCACTGACTCTTCTTCCAAAACACATCCAGAACCCACTCTCAGAGACCATCTGCAGCTGGCAGCCTGGTCCAGCCCCACCATCTCTCAGGATGGCATTAGTGCCCTGACCGGGCTCACTGTTCCTTCCCTTGTCCCACCTGCAGGCTGTTCCCATGCCAATAACTTAGACAACCCCAGATCCCAGGACAGCACTCAAGGAGCCTCCTCTGTCTGACCTCCTAGGTGGCTTCTTATCTCATGCAGAGTGAAAGAAAACAAGAGCTTAAGTCTGGCAAAGTCTGTTTCCCACCTCTCCCTCCCCAACCTCCACCCCACAGCTCAAGCTGAAGCTGGAGAAGCTCGCAGCTCTCTTATCTCCCCTAGTTCCTTGCACTCCAGATAGCTGACCTCTGCTTTGTCCTTTGATGAGGTCAGACCTTCTCCCAACCTTCACTCCTTTGCACTTGCTGCTCCATTGCCTGATTGTTCTCTTCCCACCATCTTCATAGCTGGCACCTTCACCTCCTTTGGGACTTCTTCAAGTGTTACTTTCTCAGAGAAGTTTTTTCTGTCCAGAATATTTAAAATTGCAACCCCCTGTACCTTACCCCCTTCTCGTTTTATATTTTTGTCCTTCTTATCAGCATCTCTTATCTATTATCTTGCTGATTGTCTCTCTCTCACCAGATTCAACTGTCTTGAGGGTACGTCTTTTTGTTAATTTTGTTTCCTCCTATATATTTAGTACTTAGAACAGTGCCTGGCACATTGCTAAATCAGTAACTTCTTGTTGAGTGAATGAATAAATAAATACACCAGAACTTCTTCAGAAATCAGTATTTTATAGGATGAGAAAACTGGATGCCCCAGAAGATAGAAGGGAGAGTGAAGAGAAGGGAGGGTCCTGGAAGTGCTCCTGGGGGCTCTGTTGGGAGTGGCTAGAAAGGCCAAGTTAGGTCCTCCCTGGTGGCCAGGGGTTAAGGCACAACCTGTGAAGCTATCCATAGTCTCTGCAGCACTAGTTTGATCCCCAGGCAGGGAGCTACCCACATGGCACAGCAGACCTCTCCTGACTCACCCGCTGCTCCTCTCTGCAGTGTATTTCAGTAGATGTGCCTGTTCTATTCCCCACTCTGTCTCTGGTGAATCCTCTCTCTGCCCCCCATACCTTTGGCCTGTACCCTAGTTCTTGTATGCATAAATAAATAAATCTTTTTTTTTAAAAAAAGGCCAAGTTAGAAGCTGAGCAAAGCTGGATCACTGGGGACAGTCCGCAGGGACACACTGCACATGGCAATGATGAGAGTAATGTGAAATCATTAAAATCAGCCTCACTGGGGACTCTGGGGAACGTGCCCAGGGGATCAGCCAAAGTTAGTGAACTGGGCAGAGATAGACATCTTGATCTAATGTAACATTTTCCTGATTTGACAACTTCCCAGGAAGGAAAGGGTTGTTTTACAAAACTGAGTTTATAACCAGTGACATTTAATCAAGCTTATGAAACATGCAACTTATCTTACCAAGAGTTCTGGGGGAAATATGAGCTCCTGGGTAGGGTCCAAGGGCTGAAACTCCTCTTTCGCAAATAACTCCGTGCTAATCTTTAAAAAGGGCAGAAGAAGATGGTACTGTCAGTCCAGAGCTATTGGAAACAGCATCATAATTCTTTACATTAATTAGGCAAAATGACATAACAATAATTCTCTTCTTATCCTTGTACAGGGAGATAGTACATACCATGGTTTTTAAATAAGAATCTCATTGTGAGAAATACTGATGTGCCACTAATATGATACTAAAGAGAAAAGTGTGCTATAAATTCTTCAGAGAGTACCCTGAGAAACACCAAAATAATAGAGATCAAATAAATATGGGAAATCTTCTCCCATAACCATCAGTCTCTCAAAGGATTCAAAATGCTAAAAGCTCTGAGAAATCTTTTAGCTTAAGTAAAAATGACTCTACGTATACATGCCCCCCACACATCTCTAATAACAATTGTTAATATTTATTGAGTGTTTTTACATATAGTAGTAATTTACTGAATCCTCCTAATAATTGTATTAGGAAACTAAATTGTACTTAGGAAACTAAAGCATAGAAGAAAGTTATCCAAACTGTAATCAAGTCTGAATCAGGTTTGCTTAGCTTTGGGAATACTTATTCCCAGGAAACATTCCAGCAGAGGTAAAGAGAATGGGGAGAGAAGCCTGGGAGGCAGGACTGACTTGGTGTCATGAAGAGGAGCACACACAGGTCCTGGGGCAACAGACCGGGCTCACCCTCAGCTGCGCAGTGACTCAAGTTTCTAAAAGACACTTGACCTATCTGAAGGTTAAATGGAAATAATGCCTACCTAGGTGAACTGGCCAGACATTTGCCCAATGCTCCCCTTCTTTTTCTATCTCTCTGGGATCTTCCCAGTTTCCAGAAGGGACATTTGTACCTGTTCCTATTAAGGTTTTTAATATTGTTAAGGTTTTTAGTAGTATTCAGGCCAACATCTGAATAAGCAGCCATTGCCCTATTTGGAATGAGAAGGGTCAGCAGTACCTGGGAAAAATAAGGTGCTGTATCTCTAAAACCTAGAAATAAGATGATGTCTGAGATTTAAAGTGCAAAACAAACATAATGAATCTGAGCTGAGAAATGAAAAGTTGGCCCCTCGAGGGCTAAACCAAGACTTAACATCACCCAATGGAAGATATTAACACAGTCTAGAGAGAAGGGAGAGTTGGGGGGCAGACACCTGCCTCCCACAGGTCTATTGCAGTGGAAGACAAGGCTTTCTGTGATGTTACCCTCCCGATTACTCAGCTTCCTGTGTCATGCTCACAAGGTGAACGCCTTGGTGAATTGTCCTATAGGAAAGGACGTGTGGCTCACAAGAGAACCATAAACTCCACATTAAAATTGTGTTCTCTTTATCACTGGGTACTGGAACATGTTCCAGGTTAAACTTCATGCTCTTTAGAGTTTGGGTGAGATGAGTCAGGTGGTCCCCAGGGCCTCATCATTATCCACAGTGAGTTCTAGAGAAGACCGCCATATTGAGGATCAGATTTTAGAATGGCTTGCCCCTTCCAAGGCACTGGTCCTCAGTGAAGAGGTCAGGGGGCTGCAGGCTACCTTCCCTAGAAACAACCCTCTATCCCATTGCACAAAATAAGACCAAAATAAGGGGCGAGTAGGAGGCCAGCAGTGGGAACACAGTTGGTCTGAGGGATAGAAATAAACCGATATAGGAGGGGGATGGTGGGCTCAGGTTAATCTAAAGCCAGCTCTGTTCTCTCAGATTTTCTTGTTTTAAGGAAGCAATTCTATTTTTTCCTGTATTCCAGTTTTTCTAAGTAATTCCTTTAAGAACTTGGCAGTGGGTCTTTTTGGAAACCAGAATCTCTGAGAGAGCAAAGCCAGGGTATGGGATGTTTTAGGCTGGACTTCTCAGCTGTGGGAGCCAAGAACTGGACCCAGGACTTTGGACAGGTTCCTCAGCCTCTCCAAGGTTGAGCAGCCTCTCTCTGCCAAGGAGGGAATCAACTTTATGGGCACAGGGCTGGGCACAAAAGCCATTTCCTGCACAAGGAGGGCCCTCACTGTGGTAAGGGGAGGTCTTTTTTCTTTTATTGGGGTGGATTTTTGTTTTGTGTTTCAGCCTTCTGGGCAGTGAAGGGGGCAGTAAGTGTGGGCTTCACCAGCACTCTACCCCACAATCAAACGAAAGTGCTGTCTTCCTGCCTGCACTTTGGACATTCATAAATAAAGCAGAGCATGACCATCAAACATAACTGACCCATTGTCAGCAGCCTGTGCCATAACGCCATGCTCTCAGTGGGAGGACAGAACCAAGGGACTCACATTGTCACTTTTCCTGCCAGGTGAGGAAGAGTCATTTTCTCCCTGATCCAAGCAGCATCTTCCTGTTCCTTTCTGTGAACAGCCATTTAACTCCTAAGAAGATGAAATATCATGAGATTAAAACTTACTAGTTAACTATGAACCAGAGACACTCTTTGGAGTAGGGGGAAGGAGGGATTGGGGTCAAAATTGGGGTTGCAATTGTATGGGGAATATAAAAATAAAAATAAAAATAAAATAAAATAAATTAAAGAAAAAAAATCTTACTAGTTAAATGGGTGTATGCCTTGAAGATCTGACTATTTAAATGAGACTCCACTCTCTTTTGGTCACTAATGGTGGGTTCTATTTGAGTAGGGATAGTCACAAGGTCTTCTTTTGTTTTATTTTTAAAAATAAAACTATACACATACAACACGAAATTATATGTTATATATAAATAATTATATATATAACATATACAACATATATAATGTAATAAAAATGTAATATAAAATAATAGAGTATAAAGAAGCATAAAGGAACCATTATTACCCAATTGCACTGATAATATTTTTACATAATATATATTTGGGATTGTGCTATATTTATAGTAGATATACTTTTTATTTTGGTTCCTTGATCATTTATTTGCCTATTGGTTCATTTACACTGTGAATCTTTTCCATATCATTAAAATGTCATTGAAATATAATTTTTCTAATTGTAAAATCTTCTGTCTTCTAGCTATTCCCTAATATTTTTGTAAAATTTGCTATTGATGTAGACTGAAATTGTTTCCTACATTTTATAGCTATCATATTACAGTGAACATTTCTTTTTATTACACATACAGTTTTGTGTACATCTCTGAATTTTTTCTTAGGTGAATCTTAGAGGCAGAATTAATAGATAAGATTTTTTCAGGGCATAACAATTTAACCATTCTTAGCATTTATAAGATGCATCAATGCTGAATGTTATCATTTATATAAAGGGTTTTAAAAAAGAAAAAGAAAAGAAAAATGGAAAAAAGAGGAAGCCTCCATTTTGGTACCAGCTTTCTCAGAAATTTGGAATCTACCTGGCACTACCTGGGAATGAATGGACAAAAGATTTTAAATCAGATTTCCATTTAAATCAGGTTGGCACTTTTATTTCCCATTTCTTATAAACTTACGTCTTCCATTTTCTTCCTCAAATAATTTATCTCAGTGTCTAGCAAAATACACTCTTTCAGATACCCCAGTTCTCTGTCTCTGGCCAAGTGTCCCATCCTTCCACCTTCCTAATTGTCCAAGAAGCAAATTGGTTGGGCCATGCAAACATGCTTCTTCTCTTACTCAAAACTCTGAAAACTTCCACAATGCGCCATGACTTAACCAGAACAGAGAAAGGCCAGTCTTCCTCTCACCTAGTAGATAGACGCCTCAGGTATTCCCTCTGGGACAAGGTCCTTGAGGCCTATTGGCTGTCAGGTGGTTATCCCACCACAATACAGAAGAAAGACAAGAAATGTGGATGACATCTACATTGCAAAGGAGAGATGTTTCCTTTAACTTCCTTCATAAGCGCTTTTCCATTTACACCAGCAATCTGAAGGCTTACAAAGTATGAATTTTATTTCTCAGCTCATCAACTTTGGTTCCCCTGTGTAGCAGTAAAAGTCTGGGATGTGCATACATAGAGGGCCTGCCTAGTTCTGGAAAGTGGCTGATCCCTGCTATTTCTCGAGCCAGGGCAAGAGAGCCACGGGAGGCTCCCGGTCTGTGACTTGGTGCTTTTCTCTTCACACCCTGGACTGTATTCTGTGCCCAGGTGAGCACTCCCATCTGAATGTCCAGGCTCTGTCCTTTACTTCTCAAAATAGCCAGTCATTGGCTACCCTTTGACTGAGGGGTGCACATGCCAGCTTTTATAATCTGCCCTAGAAAGATGGACTTGGGGAGAGGTTTTTTAGGCTTGGGAGGAACATGGTGTAGAGAGGAGGTGAAAGCAAGTCACCTTGGCCCCAGGGCTTTCTGAGAATGTTGGGGAGAACCCATGAGGGGCTGTCTAAGGGCAGCACTGCCCCCATTTATCCTGCTCTCAGCAGAGGCCAATCAGACCTGTCTGCTGGCTTGCTGCAAATGCTATTCATATATCAACAAACGCACTCAGTAACAGTAGTTACTCTTTGTAGAGTTTTTACCAAGAGTTACATGAGACTTTGTGGCAGTTTCTCCACCATTTCTCATTTGGCCTTCACAAAAACCCAGAGAGGTATCCTCATTCTGTAGAAGAAACTCCTTGCCATCTTTTACTTGGGTTGAATTTTGGATTTTACTCTGCTTTTTTGGCTTCTTCATCTGCTCATATTTTCCCTGCTAGTCTAGATTCTTGGAACTAATTTTGCCCCCAAGGCAACTTCCACACTTTTGCTTCTGTCCTTGCATCTTCTGGAGCCTTCCTATTTGTACGGTCCTGGTGCTTTATTTAACAGGTCATGGTAGATATCCGGGTGGTTGGTCACCTATTTCTACCTGTTTTCTAGGTGGAATATCAAAGGAAGTGCAACTTTCACCCACTCTTCAACAAATGGCTAAAACCCCCATGAATCAGCTGGCGCTAGCTCATTTGGTCTTCTTTCTCATTTGTTTAGATGGCCTAAAAAGTTCAATTTCTGTATTCCCAGCATTGACCAGTGTATCAGTCATTCTTGCTTGGTTGGTGTCCCCACAGCCAGCTACTCACCGCACAGAAGGTCCTCCCACTCTCCAGAATTGGCCGATACCCAGTGCAGCGGCAGAGGTTGCCTAATCAGAGAAGAAGTGTGGCTGTTACTAGGCTCTATCTTTATAGGTTTCTTTTGAGTCTTAAAACAGACCCAGGCTCTTTCTGAGGATTTTAAAATATCTACCAGATTGTCCATTTCTTTTTCCTCTTTTTAGAATATTGTCCATCTCCTCAATTCCAACTTTTTTCTCTTCCTTAAGATGATAGCTTATCAGATGAGCTCTGTTATTTTATCTATCTATCTATCTATCTATCTATCTATCTATCTATCTACCCATCCGTCCACCCATCCAACACTTATCTATTGGCAACAAGTATATTTCAGACACTATATAAGATATGTGGAATCCTAAAACATAGAAAGACCATTTCTAAAGCACTATATGAGCAAAGTATCATGTCTTGGACAGATTATAAATGCGCTTCAGTGGCTTTTAGATCATTGCATCAGAATTTCCTGGGGGTATCCATTAAAAATGCAGATCCTTGGCCTTTCAATTGTCTTGAGTCAAAACAGTGGGGTGCAGGGGTAGGCTCAGGAATCTGTACTTAAGAGCAGGATAATTTGGGGCCTTCTTGGTGGTGCAAGGGTTAATGTCTCAGTGCTATCAAGCTATTGCCAGTCACTGCAATCCCTGGCCAGGGAGTTAACCCACATGGCGCTGCAGACCTTTTCTGTCTCACCCGGCTGCTCCCCTCAGCAGTGTATTTTAGTAGATCTGCCTGTTCTGCTCCCCACTCTGTCTCTGGTAAATCCTCTCACCCCTCCCCATGCCTCTGGCCTACACTCCAGCTCTTGTATGCATAAATAAATAAAAATAAATCTTAAAAAAAAATAAGAGCAGGATAATTTTAGCGCATGCCAAAGTCTTAGAGTCTCACATTTTCAAGATGAAGGCATGAGGGTCACTGTGGGATAGAGTTTGTCTGGACAAGCTTCACAAAGAAGGAGGCTCTTGAAGAATGAGTAAATGCTGGGTTGGTGGGAAGTAGGAGAGAACTTAGGAATTCACAGGGCAGCACAGACAAAGGTGCAGGAGTGGGAATGTGTAGGGGAGTTGGGGCCATTTTGCTATGTGAAGAACTGGCCAGACGGGGAGTCACAGAGGGGAGGAGGCAGAGTGAGTTAGTGCAGCTGGTATTGAGCTCCTCCCTGCACCTGGCGAAGGAGGGAGGGTTTGGCCAGGCTTGGGGGGCGAGGAGCTATTGAAGGACATTACATCCTGTTGAAGGACCTAAGGAAGGTAGGATTTTGGATGAATTTCAGTAGTATAATTTTACATGGTTTTCTGCCATGGAGCAGAGTAAAGGAAGCCCACTGACAACAGACAGCTTAGGAGACTGCTCACTCTGTAGGCCTCTAAGAATATGTTTATCTGACAGATGACATGTTTTAGGATGATTGACCTCTGAAATGATGTTTATTGATTCTGTCAAAGGAATATATTTAGGAACTCCTCTTTGTAACTTAAACCCATTGTAAATTTTAAAATATCTTTTTGATATAAACTCATGCCATTTGCAGCAACATGGATGGAGCTGGAAGGGATTATGCTCAGTGAAATAAGCCAGAAAGAAAAAGAAAATATTGGATGGTTTCACTTATAGAAGGAATATAGGGGAACCAAATAAGAAATCAGGAAAAAAAATAACTATAACAAATTTAAAAACAAAATTAGCAGGCAACTACAAATCAGAGACATTCTGCAGGGGTGAGGGAGGGCGAGGGATCAAAACAGGGGCGGGAAGAGCACAAGGGACTATGGTGATGGTGCACAGATAGATTGGTGATGGAAATTTTACAGGGATTACACCTGAGAGGAGAAAGCATACATTGTACAAAAGGAAGAATGATGTAAAATACATATAAAATAATAAAATAAATAAATAAATAAAATGGAAAAAAAAAAAAAAACTTTTTGCTATGTGAAGAACTCTGTGTCTTCCCCAAAAGAAATATTGAGGTTCCCAACCTCTGGAACTGATATTTGGGGATAGGGCCTCTGCAGATGTAATCAAGTTAAAACGAGGCGATGCTGGGTTTGTGTGTGTCCTAACCCAGGGGCTGGTGTCCTTATAAGAAGAGGGAAATTTGACACAGTCACACATGGGGAGAAAGCCCTGAGATGATGGTGGTGGGGACTGGTATGAATCCACAGGTCAAGGAATGCCAAGACTGTGTCAATCACCAGAAGCCAGGAGGAGGCAAGAAAGAAACTTCCTCTAGAGCTTTCAGAGGGAACATAACTCTGCTGATCCTTGATTTTAGACTTCTAGCCTCCAGAACAATAAGAGAACACATTTCTGTTGTTTGAAGCTACCTGTTTTGTAGTACTTTGCCACAAAATTCCTAACAAAGGCAGCTAAAGAAATGACAAATAGACAAGTGGGTGTTGAGATGGAGGTGTGTCCACCTGCTACGTGCTCAGGCCACCCCAGCCAGGCCTCTGCTAAGTGAGGTACAGTTTGGTGCTCTTCTCTGCTCCTGGGTGAACTATGTTAGAAGCAATGGAGGGGGCCCCAGTGGCCCTCAGGTGGGTGGAGCAGCCAAGGCACATGTACCAGGTGATTATCTCTGCGTCACACCTACCGCCCAAGGCTTCCATGAGCTGTTCCTCTGAGGGCTGCGGATGATTCCTGATTAATGTGTACATGGACATGACCATCCCAGGGGTGCAGAATCCACACTGGGTGCCGTGGCTCTTGGCGATCCTTTCCTGGAAACACACATATGGGGTCACTGGCCCTACCTTCTTTGTGCCGCCTCTCACCAGGGGTTACATCCCCTATCTCCTTTGCCATGAGAAATCTACTCCCTGGGCAGCGCATAGCTCCCCTTGGTCAGGGCTGGCTGGCATCACCTTCCTGATGCCGCCCCTCAGGGAGGTGGCACAGAACTGTATTCTAGCATTGCAATCATTTCTAAAGGTCAAGTGCCCAGATCTTTCTAGTTGGGAATTAGCAGCATGCCGCCTCCATTCCCACAGTGAGAAGTCTCCAGAAATCAATAATTACAAGGCAAGTGTATATAAATTTGAACATCTTCACATCTTGACTGGCTTATTTCTGACTATGAGGTCACCTCTTATTGATAGACTTGGAGATGATCAACTGCTGACCTCAGTTTATTTCTTTAGATTCTTTGTGTTGGCTCAAAAGGAGGTCTGTGTCCAAAGGTCCAAGATTTTGTTCTGTGCCCTGGAACCTTGCTCTGTAGAGAGCTTCGCTCAGGCTGGCAGTGTTGGCACCAGCTGGGCGCTTGTAGGATGTGCAGAACCTTTGACTGCTGTGCCAAAGCTCCTTTCAACAAACTCCCAAAACTGATTCTTAGGCAGATTAAAGTTTTGCAGCTCTGCTCTAGATTTCAGAACACAATGTAATCCTAGGATTCAGGTTTATGGACCTTGCTGTGAACACACTCTCTGACGTCTAGCCAAATCTGCTCAGTCCTCTGTCTTGCAGACCTTCCTGAACTGCTCCTTTCGTGGTTAAACCCAGAGACCCTTGGGCTCTCCTGCCTGGAAGGACTCACAGCATTGGTGGATCTGGGCCTACAACTCTCCAGATCTCCATGACAGTAACAAAGAAAGTGATGTGTTTTCTGCCAATACATGTCACAGCACTCAAACACAGCCTCTATGTTCTAGCTTCAAGCTAAGGTTTGGAGAAGCGATTATCCTCAAGCTAAAGGAAAGTTACCTTCATTTTGATTTTACTCCCAAGATCTCCATGCTCCAGGAAATAATCCTGAATTTTATTCTGCTAGCCTCAGAGACTTTTATTCTATGCACAATATCCTTTGTACAATATTTATTCCAGGCCACAGTCCAATAGGCATTAATCAATGTTTTGATAACTCTGCTTATCATTCAAGTGGAAAGAGTAAGAAAAAGATATCACTTTAAAAACAGGGCTGGTTCTCCAGCTTTCTTTTAAATTACTTGGCAGGTTATCATCTTGAATAATGTGACCACAGCTCCTACTTGCCTGGCTACAACCTAGATACCCCAGGCAGCACGGTCAACACAGCACTGGTTGTAAAGATAAAGTTAAGGAATGAAAAATTTAGTATTTTTTTCACTGGGATGATTATGAAAACTCACCTGCACAGGATGAAGTCTGGTATTGATGCTTCCAACACCTTCCACAGTGGTGACAGCAGCTCCATACAGAGAGCAGATGGGCACCAGGCACGCGGTGACAGAGAGGTGTCTGCGTATGAGAAACACAAGGATAATCAATGGGAGTACACAGTCCTGCCCTGTGGGGGTACCTGGGAACTAAGGAGGGCAGCAGAAGCCCTCACCACCCCAAGCCTATCATTCATCCTGGGGGCTGGTGAACCAGAGGAGTGTCATGGTAGATGAATTTAGAGTCCCCACTGCAGACTATCACCTGTAAGTAACCGGGAACTTCAGGGTAAACCTGAGTATTCTGAACTATAGAAAACTTTTCAAATCCAGAACAGTTGCACCTGGGACCAGCGGGAATGGACTCTTGTCACCAGGAGTGTGGTTGGAGCTCAACCAGTATTCACGAGGGAGGTATCCCCACATAGGTTGAAGGAAGACCTATATCTTTCACCCACACCTGCATAATTTTTTTAAAAGTTAATTTTAAACTCTGTATATGGTCACACAATAATGTTGGGGCAGGGGGGCGCTGTATTCGCAGGCCATTCTCCCAGTGATTTTGGGAGAAACTAAAATCCTGGAATCTGGCCCTTACAGGCCTATATCCTTGCTCTGAAAATAGAAGGAGCATCAGCTTCAGAGCCAGAAACATGGATTCAAGTCCTTGTCCTATGGCTTACTAAGTGTATGATCTTGAACAAGTCACTTCATCTCTTTGAATCTGTTTTCTCAACTGTGAAATGAATGATTGGCCTTAGCAAGGATTCTTAAGCCGCTATGCACACACAGACTTTGAAAGGCTTGCGATGTCCCCGAAACTGTAATTAGTTTATATGTTTTCAAGGATAGATGATGCATAGCTTTAGCCCATTTTCAGAGGAGTCTAACTTCCAGAGATGGTGAGAATCCCAAGACTAGGAGGGTCTCAGAAAATTTTTACTGCTGTAAGATGAACATAGCAGTCTGGCAAAGAAAGCAGACCTCCTCTGGCTTCTGGGCAGTTACCTTATCTTCTTGGACACAGGGTCACACTCAGACACCATGACTGTGCAGGCACCGCAGCCTCCTATTCCGCAGGCATACTTGGTTCCTGTGAGGCGCACTGGAAGGGGTTGGTCAAGGAAATGATGCCAAGGTGGACAAACTGCTTTATAGCTGCCCCCTAAGGTGACTAGAGGGGAAGATCTTCTTTGAGGAACGAAGGACAGGTCTGCCTCCAGGTCTTGGTAAAGGACACTCTGTAGCTCATTAGCTGTGTGACATTGGACACACTTATGGCTCCTGGTTTTCTCATTTACAAAGAGGGAAAAGTACTTTCTATTGTATCTTTACAGGTTTATCATAAGCATCTTGTAGGCCAATGGATGTAAAAAGCTCTTTGAAATTTCTTATTTTGTTACAGAATATTATTTTAGGTCTTCTTTTGGGTTGCTATCATGTGATTATAACAGAAGAAATAATTTTGGGAAGGTCACTATATTAACTAGTTTTGTCCAGTAATTTGTAATTCATTTGAAAGCAAGTGAGTGAGCCTTGGGAGAAAGCGCATATCCTTATTTTAAGATCCTCCCTTGAGTGTCCCTCTTTTTTTTTTTGTCTAATCCGAATCTACATTCAACCTCCACCCCTTACCACTGGTATCTCTTCCCCTAATGATGATCTGTTTCCACAGATTATGGGATTGGATATAATTAACCAGACAAAGTAAGAAGACTGCAGTATCACTGATTTTTCTTTTAAGTCATAGGACTTATTCATCTAAATTAACTCATAACTTCAGCTGCTTCTCAAGGAGGTTATATGAATGGGGGAGTGGGCTTCGTGTTAGTGGGGAAGTCATGCTCCATTTGGATAGAGGACTCGCTACCCTTACTGAGCCTCACGAAAATGACTCTTCTCCCATTTGTCATTACAAGCTGAGAAAAATCTCAATGTAAAAAACATTGAAATTTCTTAATTTTCAGACATTGACAACTAATTAAAAACCATGAGGACTTTTAACCAAAACTAGACCAGGGGTCCATTCCATCCATTTGTAATTTCTTTCATTTTTCTTTGGCTTCTTTGAGAGATCATTTTGATTTACTAATTAAAATATGTTTGCCATGGTGAAGATTTGTGTTTTAGAATATAAAATGGTGGGGGAAAAATGCTGTAAGAAAACCGATGTAGGAAAAGGCAGTCTCTTCCTATGACACATGCTTTCCCTGAATCTGGAAAATTTGGTTTCTCTCTGTAGCAGGATACTCGCAACACAAGCCTCTGTTACATAACCACCCTCTTGGGGATCTGGAAAGCCCTTAAAGGAATAATTAGTGCTGAAATAAAGAGCTTAGCTTCTATTTCACTGCTATTAAACTACGATATAAAGAACTCTGGGGAAACTTCATCTTCTCCAAATAACCCAATTCACTTAATATCCTGAGATCATTGCCAAAAGCAAAGAGAGAGCCAGGGTCAAGGGACTAACTTTCATAATCACAGAGGCCCTAAGTTTTAAGACAAACATAGGCTTGGCCAAGACTTGATCAAAGGGTCCAGTTTGTTCGCAGGAAGGTCAGCAGTGTGACTTCTGGGTCTGCATTCCTCTCTATCACCTGCATTGGAAACAGGAAAGAGAAGGTTATGGGGTTGGAAAGAGTGACTCAGGGGAATGTTGTGGTCTGCTTGATTTAAGGGTTGGGAAAGGATTTAGGCCCAATGGAATCTGCCCCTGTTTCTGTGGTCTGAGGGCAAACAACTTTCCCAACTATTTTTTAATAGAGCAAAGACTCACCAAGCAAGTGTGGCAACAAAGGTTGTTTATGTGATTTGCTGTGTAAGGACAGCTTGAGTCTTCATGTTTTCTCCATGATTTAGCTATTTTTGTGGAATCTTCCAACCTACTGTTTTGTATTCTTAAAATATTTCAAATTGGGGAAAGACTTGATTGTGTGTGTGTAATGAAGGCTCTTGTGAGGGATGAAAGTTAGGTAGAAGCTTTTCATTCTGGCACCTCTGAGACATCTCTAGTGGGGAGTATATTTGATAACATCAAGGGTCGTAGGAGTGGGTGGCAGAGAGGAGATGTGGGAGGGAGTTGTCATCTGGAGAGACCCTGGATGGAACCAGACCCCTCACAGCAGAGCCTTGTTGCCCAGTTCAGAACTTAGTGTGGCTCTGGCAGGACACTAGAATTCCTCCCTCTCTCCCCTTGGAAAGTGAGGGAGTTAGCATCCAAAGTCATGGAGGGGCCTTCTTTGGCGCTTCCTTCCCATTTGCTTATTTGGGATATTTCCTTTGTCTTTCTCTTGGGGTCTCCAGTCATACTATCACATTAGTAAAAAGGAAGATACAGTAGACTATGTGTGTTAAGTTCTTCCTTTGCTCCCGATGAAAAACATGAACTGTGTAGACCTCACATAATAAACAATTCATAAGATGATTCTAAGTTGAGATATAAAAATCCAACTGCTCTTTGTACCTAGCAGGCTCCAATCAACAAAAGAAGAAGCCCTCCTCTGCCTGCCCTTATTTCCACCCCCAAGTCCTTTAAAAACATTTATCGAGAATATGGTTGGATAATATTTCTATTATCTAGCTGACCCCCACTCTCCCCTACACAAACCTGTATTTACCAAGCCCTTGACTTATTCCCTATTCTGGATGCAACTACTTCATTCTGGGCTCATGACACAGAGTGATGTGGGACAGAAAAGAGAGGAAGGGGCATTAATAGCCTAGGCCAGTGGAACAAACAAGTAAAGACTCAGCTCATGAATGACAGTTTTGGAAGAATGCATGGTGGCTGCTGCTGTGGCTGGATACAGGGGAGAGAGCAGGAGGGAAGTGGTGAGACCTTAGAGGCTCTATTCTTCCTCCTTTCCTGCACCCACTCTGGCACTGGGGGTTAGGATGGACATGACCAATCCCAATTAGGTTTGTCAGATCTGTGGGCTGAGTGGTCCTGGGAGGAAAGGTGGCCAGACCCCAGGGAAGTGGTCAACCTTGGGAGCTACAGAATGGTCCCCTTGAAATCCACAGAGACTCACAGAAGAGTGGATCTGGCAGAGCCTCTGAGGGTTAACTAGTGGTCTGTGTGGAGAGATGGGGCGATCTGAGGGAGAGGATGCCAGGGAAGGGAGGCAATGAATGAACTCCCTCTCCTGTCATGTTGGTGTCCCCTGGAACTCACCTGCCACCCAGGAAAAGAGGAGGATTCAACATTGACTGCAATTCAATTTCAACTAACTCTGTCTAATGGAGCCACAACAGAAAAATTAAGTTGAAAAATAGAAAAGTAAAGAAGGCTCTATTGCTTGTCCCTCTGAGTTTGAGGATCAAGATATGTTATTAGATTAATGGCTTCCCATGTATCGGGCACCAGGCTACGTATTGTTATAAGCATCAAGGGGCTTCCAATCAGCCAGAGAAGCACCCCTCTTTTAATCTTCACAATTGCCATAGCACTTGGATACTAGAGATGGGTACTCTGAAGTTTAGGGAGGTGAAATAACTTGCTTAAGTATATACAGCAAATCACAGAGCGGGATTGGAATCAAGACCAGCTGATGCCAAGGTAGCTGTGATTCACACCAATATTCTACCATGTCTCCACATTCCTAGAGGGTGAGCTGTGGCTGAGGGGGGACAGCTGCATTAATCTGGGTTCCTAGTTCCTGACTAGGGAGGGGCTTAACCCAAATGGGTCATAGGTGCTCCCCTCAAGCTAGGGGTTTCCTGCTGTCTCTGCAAGCCCGGGTAGTGTCACCCAACACTTACCTTCCTCCCGTTCACAAAGAAAACCAACTCATCCGATCTTGGAGGGCAAGGCATTGCACCTGTGAGTCAGTGTCACCTTATGACTCTAGGTGGGAATGCTCTTTGGCACCAGCCACAGAAATGAGTGGAAAGGACTTAGGTTTAAGCCAGTGCTATTCCTCCCTGTGCAGATGCAGGCAGAGTGGAGGCCCCAGAGCAGGGTAGTGGGTGGAGTTGCCCTTGCTTCCTGGCCTTTTAAGTCTAGGGAAGCCGTATGCCCCACCTCTTGCCTCACGCCTCCTTCTGCCTCCCACCAATCCCCACTTCGAAGCTTACTTGGAACTTAGCCTACACTTCATGCTTTTTCTGAAGTTGGAGGGCTTCCATGTGAAAAGCATAAACAACAATCTAAGCTTAAACCCACTGCACGTTGCCTCAGTCCCAGAATTATTTTCTGGATGGATTTCAGTCTTCTCAAAAGCAACTGGAAGTGATTTTTCTGAGACTTCCCACTTTCCCCAACTTTTTTCTTATTCCAGTTGAAGAAACATCTCCTGATAGGAAGCCATATGGACTACTTAAAGTGGAGGTGTGGGGAGTCACGTGTACCAGCCCCTTTATACTTTTCCTACTTCCTCCCCACCCACAGGATCATTCCACTGAAAACAGTGATCTATTCAAGGCAACTGCTTTATAGATTAATAAGGACTGAGAGGGGTGAGATCAGAACTTCAGGAAGTGGCAAAATGGGAGCTAAAATCAAGATGTCCTAGTTTAACAGATCTGTAAGTTTATGGACAAATGCTTCAATGAAACACCATTTTTGATCTTTTGAAGATCTCCAGTTTGACATCTGTAAATAAAATGAGAAGTTCTTATTCTTTCAGCTTAATGAATGTCCAGGATTCGGCCTCACAATGGGTAAGCAGGTAACTGCCCGCGTGGTCTGATGTCAGGAGAGGAGGGAAGACCTGTGTGTTTCTGAACCCTTCCTTCTTGAGGACATGGAGCTGGACTTGTTGTTGCTGGAGTCAGCCTTTGTCTAAAGGTGAACTTAGGCAACAGGACCTCGACCAAACAGCAAAGACCCCATGTCCTCCTCACTTGGCTCACTCAGGCAGATCTGCCTTCTCACTTGGTCCAGGTGTGACTTCAGAATCCTTCCCACCAAGAGTCACTCCAGAAAATAGCCCTAATCAAATGTGGTTGGCAGATTCCAGCTTTCTTTACAATTCTAACGCCTGGGTCCCAAGCTTATCCATGTTCATAGACCTGTGCAACCGAATGTGTACACTCCTGCACACATGTTTGTGGGTGTTTTGCAGGTATTGAAAAGCTTCTAAATAAATCCACCACAGATTCATAAGAACAGATGTTAGAGATCCTGCTGTGATTTAACAGGGACCTTGAAGTAGGTCTTTTTGATCAAGTCATTCCTGCTAAAAATACCCCCTCTTTGAGGCTTCAAATCTGAGGTTAAAACCCCTTCACCTCTTGTGCAGTCCTCCACAATCTGTGTTTCTGGTCCGAGGCTCTCTTGTCTTTCAAAAAAAATTTTCTTGCTTCAGACAAATAATTCTCATTTTCGTTCTTCGGTATAAACCTGGCTTTTTTTCTACCTGAAACCTCCCAGTGGCCTCCCATTGCACTTAGCAAAATCTCTTGTGCTTCCCTTGTTGGCTCCATGGGCTGGCCCTGCCCTCCTCTCTGCAAGCATCTTCAACCACTTTCTCCTTTGTTCATAACAGAGATTATGAACACTGGCTTTCCCTGCCTCTTGAATGCACTGTACTCTTTCCTAGAGCTTTGGAGCACGTTATGCATTCTGCCTTGACTTCTCTTCTTCAGACATTGACTGGTACCCTCTTGTTTGTGTTCTTCCTTGATCACCCAGTTTAAAGTAGCCCATCACCCTCCTACCATCTTGTGGATTGATTCAGCAATTTTCTTTTTCTCTGTAGCTCATTACTACCTGACAAGGATACTTTGATATCTTCATGAGAATGTAAGCTCCATGAGGGCAGCCATGTTACTTTCAACTCACCACCGTACCCCATGGCCTAGAATTGTGTCTACACAGTACATGCACAGTGTTGACTGACTGCAGAAGGCTCTCCGATGGCTGCAATGATAATAACCCAATTTCTGACCCTCTATGATCTCCCCCCCACTTTATCTGCCATCAAAAGTAGGATGAAACCTCCCTTTTCTCCTTTCTCTTCATTTCTAAAAGCATCTGCAAGTCAAACCAATGGCTTTTTAAATTTTCATTTAATAAGCCAGGAAATAGGAAACTAGTCTCTTATCAGCCATTAATGGTTATCTTTTTGGTGTTTGTATCTCATTTTCCCAATTAGGGAATAAGCTCTTGGAGGGTAGAAGAACTGACTGCATGCCCCACAATGCTCAACTATAGAGGTTAACAAATGCTCTACTGATTACCTAAAATTCTTACACAAAGGAAGCATCATTCATTCATTCATTCAACAGAAGTTATTGAGCATCTGCCTGCACCAGGCACCATGCACAGTGCAAAACAAGATCGACAGGTTTTTTTCTCCAAGGAATTCATGGATAATAAGAGTGAGAATTAATACGAGATTAGCTATCTACCATTGTGTGAAGCATATAAACAGGGATTTAACTTTGTTTTGGGGAGAGGGATCAGGGAAGGCCTGAGAAAAGGACATCTAGGCCTGAAAGATAAGCAGGAGTTTATTTCATGAGAATAGGGAATGAGGGGGCAGGCTGAGGAGAAAGTTGAACAGGGCTCTCCTTATGGCTGCTTAGGGAGCGCTGACGCAGGTATTGTTTTTCATGGTCTACAGTCTGTTCATCACATCACTCTGCCTTTTAAAAGAAGGAAACCAGGGGCCTCCCTGGTGGCGCAAGGAGTTAAGACACAACCTATGAAGCTATTCACAGCCTCTGCCACATGAGTTCTATCCCTGGCCAGGGAGATACCCACATGGCGCAGCAAACCTCTCCTGCCTCGCCTGCTTCTCCCCTCAGCAGTGTATTTCAGTTGATCTGCCTGTTCTGTTCCCCCACTCTGTCTCTGGTGAATCCTCTCACCTGCCCCCTGCCCTGCACCTCTGGCCTGTACCCCAGTTCTTGTATGCATAAATAAATAAATCTTAAAAAAAAGAACATGTACATAACACCATTACTGCACCTACAAAAATAAATTAAAAAAAATAAAAGAAGGAAACCAAATTCTATGGGGACTACACCTGAGGGGAGCGGGGAAGCAAATATTGTTTAAAAATGAACAATGATGTAAAAAATAAATAAAAAATAAATTAATTAAAAAAATAAAAGAAGGAAGGAAACCACTGAACCCAAAGACCACACATTTCCCATTTGCAGGAAAATGGATGCTGTCAACAGAAAGCATGGCTCATGGGCTGGAATCCTGCAACATATTGATAGTAATAAATTCTTCAGCATCAGCATACAATACAAGCCTCTAACAGAGGAGAACAGTGGTAGAGGAGTAAGGCTGGGTTATGGTTTTTGAGTTGGAAAATATAAAAGTACTTTGGATTAGGTAACCCAATACAGGGAAGCTGAGAACTGACCTTGACTGGCTTTAGAGGAGTGTTTTTCAAACTTATTTCAGCTGGGGAAACTTGTTTGAATGAAACCTTGTGAAGTGTAAACAAATTATACAAAAAGGCTGCTGCTCAACCCAGAGGGCTGGGGAGAGACCTGAAGTCCTCTGATTTTCTCTCTTTCAGAAACTGGCAAGGCTCTATCTGGGAAGTTCAGTTGAAAATTCACTCACTTCAGAGTGAACGCAAGGTTTCTCACAATAAGAAGGTGGGTGTAGCATCTGCCAAGGTTTTCAGATTCTCAAGACAATGGAACAAAGCAACTTCGGCTTTTTTTTTTTCTGTTTGTTGGTTTTGTTTTTCCTTAATGAAAAAGGAAGACGAGTTTCTTCAACTTTAAGTGGATTGTTCTGGTAGGTGGAAGAAACTCCACCTATATTGACCCAGGTGCTTGTATGTTTGTTATAAAAACATGTTTTATGAGTTACATCAAAGAATGCCTGTGACCCAATGAAGAATTAATATTCTCTGACATTGCCCTTCCCCATAATTCAACCAACCTATTTCTGGAAAAAAAACTAACAAATCCTACTCTGATGGAAATGAAAAAGTACCAGCTACTAGTTCAGTGCCCTGGGGGTCTGCTGTCTATTTTACACTTTTCAAACCCAAAGATGAAATGTGGGCCAGATGCTGGGCAGCGGGCACTTTCTAGTGCTCTTAGGTTGGCCACTAACAGCTCAAGAACGTGAAGACTCACCATCCTCCCCCTGTTCCTCTGTGAGGGCCATTCCGTTCCCTCCCTCTCCAATCTTTTGGCATCAGTTTGTGAAGCAGCTGCAGGGTTTATGGGAAGTTGGGGGCCAGTGGGGCCTCAGCCTAACAGGGAGAGGGGTTCTTTCCCTCACAGGCTGGGGTAGTGCCTGGAAATCTGCACCTCCAAAACTGTGAAGCTGGAGGAGAGTTTGTCATTTGGGATGGGTGTGGGGCATGGATAAAAGGTTTAACAGCAGGTCAGGAGGGCCATATGGGTTGGCTGCTCTTTCCTGCCCCTGGCTCTGGGTAAGTGTGAGGAGTCAGGAGCAGCATCAGGCCTCCAGGCTTCCTCCACTTTCCTCCACAGGGCCCTGACAGCCTTCCAGCTTCTGCCTTGCCGCCCATAAGCAGTGGATTAGGTTCACTTGCCTTGTATGGACTGTGGCTGGTGCCTCTTAGCAAGAACTGGACTGGATCTAGTTATTTAACAGTAAAGAAATATTATTTATTTCTAATTCACATACAATTATTTTATTATTAATGGGTAATAATAAAATATTGTCTTATTTGACAAATAAAAAAATGTAAGGGGGCCTATTATGGATTGAACTGTGTTCCCCAAAGTGATCTTATTTGGAAAGTAGGTCTTTATAGATATCATCAAATTGCGATGAGATCATACTTCTCACAGACCTGCTTTCTGTCAACCCGGGACTCAGTATGTTAGTGTTCTGCAGAATGTTATATTTCCTTGAACACTTCTGTGTGGTTGCTTACTTATGCAGGACAAATCAATTTATTATGCAGACCTAGTATCAATTACAGATAATGAAACTCAGGCAAGAGACTTTTCTCTGAGGCTTTATTTGCTATTAATAATAATGTCTGCTAAACAGTAGGCTGATAATACGAATTTTAAAAAGTGCATTTATATAAGTAAGAAGAGCATACAGAAAACATACAACATGGGATTCTGGGATAATTACTGATTTAAAATAGCAAAGTTTTATGTATATACAAAATCATTTGCTTTCTTGAATGTAAAATTATTCTTGTTTATAAAGGTAATTCATCCAATGTATAACCAAATGGACATACTGCTTATACCCAGGGAAGACTGCACATTCCATCAGGAGGAGTAACTTTGATAGAGAGTAGGGTAGACTGGACATCAACCTTCAGACCCCCTTGGAAAAAGAACATGTGCCTAGTCAGGAAGGGTGGTCAGCACAGGACGGCCAGTGGTACTCCCTGGGGTCTGCTAAAGGGGCAGGTGTCTCCTTCCTCAACTCCATGCCATTCCTGGGGCCGCCTCACTGGTGACTGGGGTAGGTGGAGGCTCATGGGTCTCTCCATTTCCACCTAAGGAGGAAGCTTCTTCTGGGTTCTGCATCACAGTGTCCCTCTGCCCAATTCTGTTCCTTAACCTTCCTTTCTCAGGTGTTGATCCCTAAGAAGCATCCTGCTCCCCAAATTCTGTCTCAGCATCTGCTTTTGGGGAACTCAACCTGGGATGTGACCATGTTCTTGTAGGGTGAAGAACATGACCAGTTTACATTTTCAAAAGTGTCAAATACATAGATACAGAGAACAGGTTGGTGATTGCAGAGATGGTGGGCAAGGTTATGGTGGAGGGGGTGAAGTATAGGGTCATGGGGATGGGAGTGGGCAAACCATGGAAATTTCTGGTTATAAAATAAACATATCATGGGGATGTAATGTACATCATGGTGACATTGTTAATACTATATCACATATGTGAAAGTTGCCAAGACAGTAAATCTTAAAAGCTCCCATCACGAGAAAAAAGTTGTAAGTATGTATGATTTGATAGCCGTGAACTAGACTTGAGATGGTTATCATTTGCAATATATACAAATATGGAATTACTATGTTGTGCACCCAAAACTAAGACAACACGCCACTTACATCTCAACAAAGAAAAAAGAGAAAGTCCGAAGAGTAGAGGATTTAAAGAACTTTCCTTAAAAGAAACAACACAGATACCTAAGACCTCCTGTCCAAACCTCTTTCTGACCTCTCCCATTTTGTGCTTTTGTCTATAGGCTCAAATGACTGAACCAAAATCATCTCCCTGCCCCTAACTCTCTCCACTCAACTCCACTTCCCTGGTGTTTCATAAAGTGGTATAAAGTATGGTATAAAATAAACTTTTGGTCCAGAAGTAAGGCATCCTGAGTCCCATGGCACTTGAAGTTGAAGGACACAGCTATTTCTTTTCTAACAAACTTTGTTGAACCCACAATTAATCAATAATAAAGCTTTTATCATTGAAAGGGAGTGTGACTGGTACACTGAGTTCACTGGTTAAAAAGATTGTGTCTTATACTTTCAGTGCAACTACCACTGTAGTAACATTTTAATATCAGACAACAGATGTTTTTCTAAATTAGTAATATGGATTAAGTTTGCAATATAGCAGACACTATAAATTGTCAGATTTAAAGGCATTATAGTAATAATTATATATTTGAAATCAATTATTCTTTCCAATGTATTATTTTTATAAACACTCCCTCCCCAACCCCAATTCTTCAAGTTAATTGAATACTACTGAAATCATCAGACTTATTTTGTAAAAATTCAGTTTCTGGGTTATCAGAAGCCTTGACACATGGCCTGTGAAATAAAATACGTTAAAAATAAATTTGTGTTTGTGATAAATGTATCCTCTATTTTACTGCTAGAAAATATACCAGTGACCCTAATTTCACTGTTCTGTTGGCACAATGAATTTTTGTGGGTTGGATTCCAGGCAACCTAGATTACTGAGTGAATTCCAACAGACACTTAAAAAATATATAAATAAATACAAACTCACATACTTCTCCTATACTAAGAGACCATCACTAGGGAGACTTTTCTTTGCAAAGAGGCCTTTCCTTTCTACTACTAATCTCTTCTTCCAGTCTGGTCACATACACACACACACACATAAATAATTGTAACGTTTATTATTTCACCACAAAATCACTATTAATAAATGAAGAGCTTTAATATCTAGCACACAGATCCCTGACAAATGATTAATGTTGTCTGTTTTCAAATCTCACAGAGAATTGAACATGTTCTCTAGTGTTAAGATTTCATTTCCTTAGGAAAATGTGATGTCAAACAGCTGAGAAATAACAGAAAAAGAACCCTGAGGATTCTGTGCTCCTTGGGTATGGCAAAGGAATGTGGTGATGATTTCACCTTTTAGACATTAAGTCACAACAAGGAACTCCAGAGTGACCTGAGATGGTGGTTAGTTGGGATGATTTCCTAGGTGAGGAAGATGCTGCACCATGCACTTGGCTGGAGGCTTTGGGTAGTTTTCTTCCTGAAGTCGCATCTAAATGGGCCACGTGGGAGTGGCAGGGACCTGTGAACTGAGTGGGCTTGCAGGGCGGAGGCTCCCAAGAGCCCTCTGTGGCGTGGTTCTCACTCCACACCCTGAGAAGGCACAGCAGTGACTTAAAGTTGGCCTAAGTAGGGGTGTTTACACCATAAATTGACAAGCACTATCAACCATGGATTTTTCCAGGCAAGACAGTTATTATCAGCATACCACTGGCTTTAGGGAATTCAATCCTGGGAGTTCGGGGCATAGATGATTTTGGGGTTGAGCAGGTTTCTGAAGAACCAAGCACAGGCAGTCTCTCTTAACTGGAGCAGGGTGAAGAAAACTCCACCATGTTTTTAAATCATGATGATGTAAATCTTTAGGGTAATGCAAATAAAAAGAAGAATTTTTGATTCTAAGCTTCATTATACCTTTTGGAAAATTAGTCATGCAGTGATCTAAACCACAGAGAATAATGAAAAGAGGCTAAAATTATTCTTAACAATTAAAAACCAGCCTATTTGCTCCAGTTTGAAAAATTTAAGGGCAACAATGCGGTTTTTTTTTTTTTTTTCATTTTTTAAGAAAACATCAGATTAAGACACGTGGATGGACCAAGGCGTAAATGTTGAAGGATCATCTCTGGGGATCTAAAAAAGATCAAGAGAAGAAAGATAATTATTGATAGAATGTTGTTAGATGAAGAAAGTTTCTTTCTTTTTTTTTTTTTTTAGATGAAGGAAGTTATTAACTCAGAAGAAAAATGACTTTAAAAAAGAACAGGTCAATGTCCATCTTATTTTCATCAAATTATGTAATTTTCATATTTCTTTCAATTCATGAGCCATACATTTTATCATAAATTTCTTATGTTTGGGATGAGATACAACATATTCAGAAACCCACTAATTTTAAAGGCAAGGCATAAAACTCAATCTAATTTATACCAAGGGCTCATGTAGGACTGTAGCAGGCAGTTCAACAGAACAGTCTCTGATGATGGTTGTAGGTGTATTTTTAGCAACTAGAAAATGAACTGTGTTATATTAGTGTGTGATTATAAGGCGTATCAAAGGTGCCCACTGACTTGATATTGTCATTTAAATTATTTTTATTAGTTTGCTTAATGAATACTTTATGAATAATTGACCAGGTAAAATATCTATTCAATTTAATTTAGTTAGTGAGGTAATTAAAAATATCAGTTTTATCAAATATCAAAATACCACATCAGTTGCATTTTCACAAAATATTTAAACTACCATGATCATTATTAACACTGGCTTAATTGAGTGTGATTTTCTCATCTGATACAATGAGACCATCATTTGAAGAAGTGCCACTTTCTATTTGCTTTGAGGCATATAGGAAGTAGCAAGTGGAGGCAAAATGAGATTTTTCTTTTTCTTGCATAGAAGAACTGTAAGTCAGAGGTACAGGGGGTGAGAGGATTCACCAAAAAGTGGGGAGCAGAACAGGCAGATCTACTGATGTATACTGCTGAGGGGAGCAGCAGGTGAGACAGGAGAGGTCTGCTGTACCGCATGGGTTAGCTCCCTGGCTGGGCATAGAACTCAAGCCATAGCAATGATAGTGCTGAGACCTAACCTCTAGGCCACCAGGGAGGCCCTAAAATGAGATTTTTCATTGGAAAAGATGAACCTGCCCTGAAATTTTATCATGGTCATCAAATCCAGACCAAGAACCTAGAAGGCCATATAAGGGGTGATCATCACAGGGTCCTCCTCAGAGCCCTACTTACCATGTCAGTAAACTGATCCACACAAGTCATCCTGATCAACTCAGGAGTTGCGGGGCTATTCAGGGTGAAGGTGTTGGTCAGCCCCCTTTCTCTGCGGGCAGCAGACACTGCATCATAGATGGCGAACAACACGGAGGATCCCAAGAACATTCCGGCCTCACCCAGTCCCTGAGAGGAGGGCAAAGGCCATCAGAAATGGTTCATTTAGGATTATTTTGTGTGTGTATAAATTCCAGAATTGAATTCCCCCAAATTGTTTTTGTGTGGGGTGCTCCTTGGAGGAGCACAGCACATCAGGATAGCAAGGCAGCTTAATATTCTCATTCCCCATCTGGTAAAGTCTCCAACACCAAAGCACCTGTGCACTCTCAGATGCTCTAATTTGGGCTCCAGACCATTTGTGTTTAACTCAAAACCCAAATAGAACCGCCACAGTCTTTGCATTTGTGACTGCAACTGCGAGTGATATGGCTGCCCCCGCCGCCTCCCCCACCCCAGAGCGGATGGTGAAGTTCTTGTATAAATAAATTATACCAATTATACCATTACAAATAAAAAGCTTCTCACGCATGCTGCTTCTCTGGCTGTGTGGGGGCTCTGAGTTAACAGGTGGTGGTGTTAAGTTTTGAATAATTCACCAATGCCTCTTTGTACTGATTTTTCTTTTTCTTCAAAATAGTCTAGTCCTGGTCTGTGCCAAGGACCTTAGAGGGGAGACAGGACTAATGGCCTGATGCAGGTAAAGTCTAGCCCAGGCTTTGTTTTCACTCTGCAGCAAATGTGGAGCTGGTGGAAGGCCAGCTGTCCTCTGCGGTGAGGAGGGGGTGGGAGCAGAGAGGCGGCTTGAGCCTGGTGCTGGGATGGCCCTTAGAAAGGCCCCTGGCCAAAATCTGGGGTTACATTGGAGAGAGAGGCCATCTGGACAGGCAGACTTGCCTCTCTCCCAACCTAGAACTACTATGAAAGAAAGTGAATTCCCTGAAAACCCCAGGTCAAACTTGTAACCTGTTCAAGCAGAATAGAAGTGAAGTTAGAGAAGGTGTGATTTTGCCCTAGATCTTTATACATCAAGTGAAGCTGGGGGCGTCGGGAAGCTTGGAGTCCAACTCCTGTCAGAGGCTGCCAGAGGCTGATCCAGTGGCCTTACAAGACTGGCATCCTTATAAGAAAGGGAACTCAGGACACACACGAAAAGACTTGTGCACCCACAGAGGGGTGACTATATGAAGACACAGGGAGATGGGGACCAGCCAGCTACAAGCTATAGAGAGGTGGCCTTGGCAAAAATCAAACCTTCCTTGGTGACGTCTACTCTCCAGAACTGTGAGAAAATACATCTCTGTTGTCCAAGCCACCCAGTCTGTGTATTTTGGTGTGGTAACCTCGCAAAGTAACACAGTCTTTAGTGCTTACCTTTTTTTTTGGTTGTTGTTTTTTATGACAGTCTATCTTTTTTTTTTTTAATAGTTTATTTTATATAATTCTTACATCATTCTTCATTTTTGCACAATGTATGCATTTTCGTTTTGGTTATATTCCCTGTACAATTGCACCCCCCCCCTTATTTTGACCCTAATCCTTCCTCTCCCGACCCCCAACCCCCGCAGTGCGTCTCTGGTCCATAGTTGCTTGTTGATTTTAATTTTTTTGGTATTAATTAGTCTTTTTCCTGGTCACTTATTTAGGTTTTCTAAATTCCTGCTATGAGTGAGACCATCCGGTATTTTTCTTTTTCTTTCTGACTTATTTTGCTGAGCATGATCCCTTCTAGCTCCATCCATGTTGCTGCAAACTGCACGTGCTTATCTTTTTTGATTGCTGAGTAATATTCCATTGTGTATATGTACCACATCTTCTTGATCCAGTCATCTATTTTTGGGCATGTGGGTTGTTTCCATAGCTTAACTATTGTAAATAGTGATGCTATAAACATAGGGGTGCAGGTGCCCTTTGGAATTATTGTTTCTTTGTCATTTGGGTGAATACCTTGGAGTGGAATTGCTGGATCATATGGAAGCTCTATCTTTAGTAGGTCAAGAAATTTGAGCTCTTACCTTAGACGAGTAGATGGCTATGGGGTTTCGGGAATGCACCAAAGTGACATAGAACTCTTCTGGTATTTCAGTGACGGTGGGGATTTTGTAGTCATCTGGACTCCGAGAATAAAGCACGCCTTCTGGGGAGTATTTCAGTTCTTCTATGGTATATAAGCCCATGCCTTGGATAAATGCTCCTTCAACCTGCAGGCAAAAATTTCACGGTTTATAAGTACATGATGCGGGTTGAATAAATATTCCAATGGGACTGAAAATGGAGATCCGAGCCACAGTTAGCAGTTCCGGAAAGCACTGGGGTGGACTTAACAAAGGGCCTTTGGGATCTGAGCCTTCTCCCCTTCCTGATCTCATCCCTCTCTCCTCACCCAGGTACCTCGCAGTCTATGTACCTAACACTCATCTAGTTCCAAGTCACTCTCTGGACCCACCAGATTTGTTCAGGACCTCAAGTCTTTGTAGATGCAGTTTCTCCTGATTCTCTTCACCACTCCCCACCTCAGCTTGCCTACCCGGCAAACTCCTAGTCATCCTCCAACATGCAACTGAAGAATTACTATCTCTTTGGCGCCTTTTAGATCCTCCCAAAACCCCTGGGTGGATTTAGGAACTGCTTCTGCCAGAAGCATTGTGTATTGAACATATCCCCCATCCTGGTGGCTCTCAGAGGGTATTTTCTTTGCTTAGCTCTTGCTTGCATTCTCATTTTCCTGTTCTCGAATTTAGAAGCCACAGTGGGAGCTGGCCTTCATGTATTCTGCTCTTTGTATGGAGCTTGGTGCTTAGATTCTCAATAAATGTCTGTCGAATTAGACAAAAAAGAAGCTAACGTTAAAGGAACATGCACTAGAGTAAATGGAACCAGGACACTGTAGTTTATTATAATACCTGGATTTCCTTGCTTTCTATTATAAATTACAGTGGAAAGTAGGTGAGTGTTAGATAAGGTGGGTTGGAAGAAATATCTTTATTAAAATATTTTTTTTTTATTAAAAGCTTTGTTAAGTTCTATTTACAAACTACCATGCTCTAGGAAAAAGACCCCTTTTAAAGGATTTTTTATGATCTCTACCTGGAGATTATACAAATTGAAGGAAAATTACAATTTGCATTTTTTAAATGCTAAAATTGGATAACATGTGAATAATAAGGCAAATTTAAATGCTAAATTTGAAAATTCTAAATAAAAAACATCAAAGAAAAAGAAAAACACTGAAGTGCAAGAGTTCTAGTCTAAGCCACTTCTGGCTTTCTGTCCTTTTCCTGTGGGACAAATGTAGGGTTTTCCTGATCATAACATCTCCCTTTCTGCCTTTGCTTAAGCAATAAAGAGCAAGATTGAGAGGGGAGTAGGGTGAAAGGAGAAGGGGAGGCAGGGCTTGGTGCCAGTTCTCACACTTCACAGGCTTTAGGTGGGTTTTAGGTTCCGGTTAAGAGTGCACACTCCAGGTCCCAGGCCAGCGAAGTTATGACGAGCAAGCCTGGGTCTATTTTTATTTATTTATTTATTTTATAGAGGCATGTTTTATTTATTTATTTGTTTGTTTGTTTGTTTTGTTTATACATGCACTGGGTACAGTCAGAAGCGCGGGAGGGTGAGAGAATTCACCAGAGCCAGAGCGGGGAGCAGAGCAGGCAGAAGGACCGAAGTACACTGCTGAGGGGAGCAGTGGGCGGCAGGAGAGGTCTGCGCGCCATGTGGGACCCTCCTCTGGTGGCCGGGGAGCAGCCGGGGATCGAACTGGCACCGCAGAGGCCGCGGGCAGCTTCACAACCCAGCGCTCAACCACTGCGCCACCGGGGAGGCCCAGCCTGGGTCTATTTTATCCACATTTGCAGAATAAGTGTTTATTTTGCTAAGTCTGAGGACCACATTTTGAGAAATACTGAAGAGCCTAAAAATTCTTCCTTATAAAGCCCCTGGGCCAATCTAGGTAAACAAGTCTCTCAGGACTTGGGATGGTGAGAAGCTGTTGGCAGACAAAAGCACCATGTCTGTTAGGTTTGATGCCAAGTTGCTCAACCTCCAGATGGTTTTCAGGTGCAGACAATGGACCAGCCAGCTCACCTCACCTGGGAGCAGCTTGGCAGGACTGGATGGGTTAATGTGACTGGCCTGGTTGGCTGCATTTTGAGAAACAAGAATAGGCAAAAAAGGCAAAGCTACACCAATAGCTGGAAAGATTTTAACTTGAAGTTTAATAAGACTTTGGGTATATAAATTCTATTTATTGTTGAGGTAAAAATTAGAACTAAATTTAGCTACTGGGGAAAGATTGCATTTAATAATTTCTTTTTCCCTTATATTTCTTTAAGTTGCACGGTCTGCCTAAATTCATATTAATATGAAAATGAATGTAATTTTATTATTATGTGCTTATATGACATTACCTAATTATGAACATTAAATCCATTGAGGAAAAATGAAAGCATGGAGAATTATATCACACATATTCCTGCTACACAAAGACAATTGTTTACTTTTTCTTGATATTTTCTTCCAATATTTTCTCTATTATTTTCACTTGTCATGTATTTATTATATATTCATATTCTTCTAATATGTATCTACTTTATCTGTGTAATTTATATTACCCAATATGTTATGCAGAATACTTGCACTAGGAATGAACAATGTTTGGAGGACTCTGGAATGGAATTCAGCAAAAGCCCCAATTGGTGATTCTGCTATCACGCACCTGTCCAATGTCCAGGGCTGGGTTTATGCTGAAAGCAGCATCCATGAAGATGTCCGTCCTAAGGAGCTGTGCCAAGAGAAAATGTATAATGGAGTCAACTATTTGTTTAAAATTATGTATATATCTATGTATCAATAATTTTACTAAAGTTATTGGGAGGATCAAATTGGTTTTTCCTTACAGCATAGAACACATCTATGTTTATGTTTACACTATTAAGATTGTGAATACAAATGTAGCTTTTTACCTTATGAGCCCCAGTCAAACAGTCAATTTCAACCTCAGAACAGGATGCTCCATAAACCCAGTATGGGTAAGGCTTGCCTTCCTCCTTCTTCCAGTCCATAAACGTCTCATAGCCTCTGAGAAGGGAAGTCAGGAGTGAAAAGAAAATGCACTTTTCCCACCAGTGGTCTGAAAGCCTGTTGGGCTCTGGGCCCTGGGGATCAGCACAGCACCCCTCTGTGACTGAAGATCCCCTTACCTGTCTCCCTCTCGGGGGACCATGGTGATAGGAATGGTAAGAGTAAACTGCAGACCCAGGGAGACCGGTGTCTGACCCCCACCCTCCCGCATGCAGACGCTAGGATCGGTCAGAGAGCGTGTAGATCACGATGGTGTCCCTGCTTGGTAAACAACAGTGGCCCTAAAGCATCCCTGGCCTCACCCAGCCACCGACCCGAGGCTGAAGGGTTGATGGTGGGCAGAGCTCCAGTGCTCTCTGCACATCTGTTCAGATTGATGAACATACCCCAGCATGGCCCAAGTGTCAATCTCAACCAGGATAAAAAATGTCCCTTACTTGAAATATCCAGTGGCTGAGAGATTGATGGATTCTTGAAAGGCTTTTGAAATCTGGAAGAGATGATTAGGTACAAAGAAATATGTTTAGGAAAAGTAATGAAAATGCCTTCTGTACTGCGCTTGCCATCTCTTGTTTGCACCTGGCTCAGTGCTCTCTTTCACCAAGAGTAAGACTTAAGAGTGTACAAGCCGTAGGACTTTTCCAAGGAAGGTGTTAAAGGCTGCTGCTGGCTATGCTTTGTAACCCTCTATTCTTTCTGGCTTTATTGTGTAAAGTTTCTTACTTTTCTTCTTTTTTTTTGAATTAGGGAGGGGTCCAGGCCATACTTATGTAGTAATGTACAGTGGTAGGTATGTAAATCTGTGTATGTGTATATAGATGCGCATCTATATAGATACACATGTGTTTACATGTATGTATGTATCTTCACCCTGCTTAGTACATTATGTCAGCTTCCCTGATGGAATAAACGGGGTAGGCTGGAAAGTTATAATAACATGGTAATTGTTACAATAATTATTAAAAATAGAATAATCCTTTGATTATTAGGACTGCTATATTTTCCGTTGCTCTGGTGAGAAAACCAAGAAGGCCTGGGGTAAGTTGTCCCACAGACCCTAGTAGTGACAGAGCAGAGACAGTGACTGAGGAGTGTTTTATTTTGGAACCCATGCTGTAATCCTGCTCTATAAGAATTCAGACTTTGAAATCATGTCAAGTTTCAATGAACACAGACACCTCTTTTACTCTTTTGAAAAAACAGAAGTAAATGCTATTAAATGTTTTATTCTAGAAAGGAGACCAATCAACTCAGGCACATAGGACTTTTATTCCTCTGGATATAGCTGCCTTTTCCTGGTTGGGATAATAAAGAGAATACTCACCCACTCCTCCCATTTTCCTTTAGGGTTTTTCTTGATGACTGGCTCAAGTCGGGACATAAGAATTTGGCAGGCATTCTAAAAATAAATATTTGAAATGGTACCAGAAGTTAAAGACACAAGAATAATGAAATGTTAAATACTGAAATCAATTAAAATGTTGACTGTCAGCTTCATAAATCCCTCTGGGCAGTTTCTTAAACTTGAATAATGCATGGAATCCGTTCAAGGAAAAATATTCTTGGGGATCTTGCAGTGTTGACTTAAAATTATTTTTATTATAGGGCCTCCCTGGTGGTGCAGGGGTTAAAGTGTCAGCACTATGAAGCTAGCCACAACCACTGCAGCACAAGTTCGAACCCCAGCCAGGGAGATGACCCACATGGTGCAGCAGACCTCTCCTGTCTCACCTGCTGCTCCCCTTGGCAGTATATTTCAGTCAATATGCCTGTTCTGCTCTCCACTATGTCTCTGGTGACTCCTCTCACCCCCTGCACCTCTAACCTATAACCCAGTTCTTGTATGCATGAATAAATAAAAAGAAATCTTAAAAAAAGGTTCGATTTAGTTTTCTGATACAACCAGTCACTCTAGTAGCTACATAGTAGTAAGGGTCTTCAATACCCTACTTTCATCAATGGATAGATCAACCAAATAGAAAATTAATAGGGAAATAATAATAATAAAAGGGATTTAGGCCACATAAACTTGATAGACATTTACAGGGCACTGCATCCCAAGAAAGCTGAGTACTCTTCTCATGCAGACATGGAACAACTAACTACTGAATGACTTGGATTAGTAAATGATTTCAATGGAAAGAAAGTACTGGAAGGAAACTGGACAGAAGTTACCCACACCTCCTTTATACCTGCAGGTGCAAGTTGCAGGTAGACAAATTACAATTAGTGGACAGTAGTGGGCACCCTACAATTTGAAGCACAATTTGTTGCTGTTTTTTTTTTTTTTTTTAATAGGGGCATGTTTTATTTATTTATTTGTTTGTTTTGTTTATACATGCACTGGGTACAGTCAGAAGTGCGGGAGGGTGAGAGAATTCACCAGAGCCAGAACGGGGAGCAGAGCAGGCAGAAGGACAGAAGTACACTGCTGAGGGGAGCAGCGGGTGGCAGGAGAGGTCTGCGCGCCATGTGGGACCCTCCTCCAGTGGCGGGGGAGCAGCCGGGGAGCAGCCGGGGATCGAACCGGCGCCGCAGAGGCCGCGGGCAGTGAAGCACATTTTGGACTGGACATTTTTAGTTATTGAAAGGAGACAGTCTGTGGCTAAACACGATCACTGGAGTTTTAATTATCTTAGAGTAATTAGAAAAAATGTAGGTAAGTTTTTTTGAAGGGGAAGGAAGAAGCTCACAGGGGAAGCGAGAAGCTCTTGAGTCTTGGTTCTATCAGGAATTAGCTGAGGGACCCAGCCCAGCCATTTGACCTCTCTCAGCCTTGGTTTCATCTTTCATAATTGGGGTAGGATAAGATCACTTCTTGAATTGTCACTGGGTGAGCAAGAAGTGAAAGAAAATTCACCTGCACGGCCTTTCCAAAGATATCTGTCCCCATTGAGCCCGCCGTGAAGACTGGATTGGGCACAGTGTCTGTGCTTGTCTCAGACAAGTGTATATAAGATGTGGGGATGTTCAGTTCCCGACTGGCCACCTGCCAGAAGAAAAAAAAAATTATTTCATATTTCATTGACTTCTAGCTTCTGCCCTCCCTTTTCCTTTCTTAAGGCATGTGGCTATGTAGAGACAAATATTTAAAATAGCATCTTTGGCTTTATATGTAGATTATGAGTTTGAAATTTTTAAGTAGCACTGCAAAAGATACATTGCTTTTCAGAGACAAGCGGTCACCAAAAAATCTCTGTTTTATTTTACACCATAAGCTAATGGCACTATGGTCACCCTGGGACATCCAGGTTGGCATGACACATGGAAGTCAGAGGCCTGGTCTCACTATTTTATCTTCATCTTTTCCTTGTGGTTTACAGACAGTTTGGCAAATTTTTTCTCTCATGTGACCTTTTGCAGGCATCGGGTTTTATTATAAAGAAGCCAGATACATTCAAAGAAGGTCCTGTGGATTTTTGTGTAATTCCAAGCACACTATTAAATAATATTCTCTCCCTAAAGGAAATCTCTCTTCTCGATTTTTCATTGGGAGGTAAGCTTTGTCCCTCTTCCCCTCACACACATTTTGGATTCAAATGTCATATTTGACAAATTCGTAATATTAAAAAAAAGAAGGGAAAATTTCCCATTGCAAATAATTTCTTGTTCTTTCAATTGTACTGGAAATACTTCTTTGAATTAGCACACATAATGGCCAATGGAGTTTCTAAGCTGATTGTGATTCGAGGGAACATAATTTCTCATCCTATTAAACATACTCATTTCTAATGGAAAATTTGAATGAACACAGTATTGTCTTGAGCCATTGTCATAAAATTGGGAAGTACGTTATCTTTGAAAACTGGAATCACATTTTTCAGAAGACCCATGGACTTGATTCTTTGGTAAGCAGGAAGGATGATATATTTCCTCAATTCTAATATCCACTTCCCACTCTCACATGCAATTTTACATTACTAAAATCAAGACATGCCTTACAATTGATCTGAGCATTTGGGGAATGATATTTCTCCTGCTCAGCAAGAAGCTGTACGCTTCTTTGTCAGGTGCTATAGTCTTTTACAGTAAGAAATGGACACTTAACTCACCTGAATCATTTTGGTATAAAGGCCTTGTCCCAATTCGCAGCCACCATGAATCACCAACACAGAGCCATCGAGATAGATGTGGACTAGAGCTGCACCCTGGGAGAAAATAATTATAATAGTAGTTTGGAAACCAGTGCAACCATATGTTACTGGGAGTTTAGCTGAGGTTGTCAGATAAATAGTTTTGCTTCATTGATTCAATAGCTCATTTTCTATAACATAGAAGAAAGCCATTATTAGTGTCTGTTGGAAATTTCCTTCAACAAGACTCCAGACTTGAAAACCATCAATGTCATGGGGGGCATGGACAAACTGGGTGAAAGGGGTCAATTGTCTGGTGAAAGATAGAATTGGAATTTTAGGGGTGAGCTTCATGTATACAGAGAGTTGATTTATAATGATATACATTTGAAACTTATATAATGTTATAATGCAATTATTTCAGTAAGAAATTCTTCTTAAAAGAGGAAAAGAAATATGTCAAAGTGGATATGTGAATGGTGGCCCATCTAAAGATGAGAGCCCTTGGGGGGCTGCCTCTCCAGAGTCCCAACCTGTACAGCAGTTTATTATACTTCCCTCCCTGGATGTGAAAATTAATTTTAAAGCAAAAGGACTAATTTATTGATGAGAGTCTCCTGGGTCTGAGACTGTATTCTCAGGACTACATTCTCAGTTCTCTATCAGAACTTTTTAACAATCTGGTTTCACCTAATGATGCTCTAAGAGGAATCAGGGATGACCATGGACATGTAAGAATGAGCATCATGAGACCATGTTGGACTTCACGTTGATGATGATATAAACTTCCAATAGGGGCATATTAGAGATAAGAGCTGGGGATGGGAGACATCCTTTAGGAAAAAGGCTTCAAAATGCCTGCACAGCAGCCATCAGAATCACCTGATTTTGTGAGCAAAGATTTAGCTTTAGAAAAGTGACATCAGTCATCCCATTAAATTAGTGTTACTATTTTGAATATTACTGACATTTATAATAATATTTCTACTTAATTTTCCAAATTTGTGTTTTATGTAGGCATAAGAGTTATATGAAGACTTGGCCCTTGTTTTGTGGTTATAAACAAATAGCATTAAAATAAATAATGAGTTGAGCAACTATTGCAAGATCACAGGATTTTTTCCTTCCAAGGGTCTGTATATGTTACTCTGGCCTGGACAAAAGACTAAATCTATTCCAAGAGGTGTTGTGTTCCTAGCCTTCCCCCTTCTTCCTCTTCTTGTTTTCTACTTTATTATCAGGCTCTCAGGAAGTGTGTGATAAGAAGTTAATTTTAGTGAGAGATAGTCTGGCTACACCTCACTCACACCATGTAAGGGCTATATCTTTCCTTGATAGAGATTTGGTTATAGGGACTTTTATTGATGGACTGAGAGTGAGAGAGAGACAGACAGAGAGAGAGAGAGAAACAGAATTTCCACAAAAAATAGTTTAATGATGAAACTAAAGGGAAGGAACACTAGTTCCTGAGTCTCATATAGTAACTCCAAGTTTCTCTGTGAGTGGGGTAACTCCGTCTATTCTTGTGTATTTTTGAAAGCTCTGTCTTCAAATGACCCTATTCTTGTTACTAAGAAATTATAAAGGACAGAATGGAATCTTCTTGTTTCCTCCACTTCTTGCAAAGACTTGACATTCTATCCCATCCCCCAATGCCCAAGTTCGGAGCTCTGCCCAAAGTCAGCCCCCCAACACCTGCAACCCCAGCCTCCCAAAGCAATCTGTTGAATATTTTCTGAGGTCTCTGATGCTATGTACCATCAGGTCAGCTCTGAAACCTGTGCCTTCAATTGTTGCCCAACTGCGCTTTGTTTTCTGCCTAGGAAGTTGCCCTCATTTCTTCTTATTTCCTCTTTTCTTCTTATTGTGCACACTTGTCTCTTTGTGATAGTGAGTCATTTGGAAAAGGACTCCTGGCAAGAAGACAACCTCACCTGATTGTAGTAGGTCACCTCTCCAACCTCACCTGATTGTAGTAGGTCACGGGGATCCCAATTGTAAATTTCATGGGGACCACAGCAAGCCCCTTCTTCTTCCAGAAATTCTTTTTGTTAAATTCCTCAGCAGCCAATTTCCTGTTATAGAATGAAGATTTCTCCAGACATTCTTTCCAGCATCTTCGCAAGAGCTCTGGATTAAATGTTTCCTTAAAGGCTGTTTTGCTAATTTTCTTATACATGTTTATTTCTTTAACCTGAATGGCAAGAAAATAAAATAGATTTCAAGTATAAAAGCTTATTCCTTATGTGAAACATACATTTTTATTATGTACCTGATATAAAGGAGGTTTTTGTTAAAAAAAAACTAAGTGACTGTAAATATGTAAGTGTAAATGTACATGTATAACAGAAAGATCAACAACAAAAGTAGCTAATACATAGATGATGTACTTTATTCCTTTGAATAATGTGCTTCGAAGTTGACATAATACTACACGTAGGATGCATATTTGAACCAGTGAGTGATGTTAGAATTTTTTAGGGAGGCTCTGACTGATTACCTCTTCAGGGAGTAAGTTACACTGAAATGCCACAGCAGTGACATAAGCTTCAGGTACCACTGTACCCTGGGGAAAGCCAAATCCTCGAAAGGCGGTATTAGATGGCAAATATGTTTTGCAAGCTCTACCACGACATCGGTAATTAGGAATATCGTATGCATTTTCAGATTTCAGCACAATGAACTCTACCACCTAAATGAAAACAGAGCAAAACTTCATATTTATCAAATATTCAAAACCACGTACCTGAATTTTATCTCTAATTAGAGCCTCTCATTAGAATTTATCTAATTTGTAATGCAAATATTCAAGCAAGTAAAATATGACACTTGCAGTTCAATTATTATAGTAGCCTATGGGAAGGGCATGTTTGTTATTTACCATCTCGGACTCATCAGGAGTGCATCCACCATTGACATAATATTCAATATCAGCCGCTTTGATCACACCATTGTTCATGAATCCAACCTGGAAAGTAACATTACAAGTCATGCCATTGTTTTCAATAGTCCTTTACAATCAGACCACACTGTACACAAACGCCTCTGATCACAGTTGCCAACTCATAGCTAGTTCAGGCACGTGGTTTGACCTGACAGTCATCAGAGGAACAGTGAGGATGGTGAGAAAGTTGACCAAGAGCCCATTAGAAAACTTTAGTTAGTTTTAGGCAACACCCGCATGTCCCTTCAAGTGCCATTTAGTCACCGTCTTTATTATTGGTTCTCACTGGACAATATTTTAGACAGAACCTGAAATTTTTGCTCTCACTCACTTTGTACTTTGCGAGGAGTGGGTGTCGGCCAGCAGTTATCAGCATGTCATCACCACGCTCGAGAATAAACCGGATTGGGCGGCCTGTCCTGTAGGAAATGACTCTGTTACCATGTTGGATGCATCATAAAATTATAGTACACAGACATGGGGAAAAGGGGTTTGAGATAATCTAGCTTAGTGGTTTTCAGTAGAGGTAATAATGTGCTTTAAACAATATTTTGAAAGTTGGTGGGGACATCAGAACAAAAAAAGTCCTATTGCAATTTTCATTCCAGTTTAGTGATCTCTGAGAATTTAGATATTAAAGTGATATATTATTTGGTTATAAGTTTTATTTCTTTTTCATATTACTTTAAGGAGCTGTATGATAATTTTGCAGTTATGTATATAAGTAGGTAACATCACTATGAGTTTCACTTTGGGATATTGAGCTATTTGCCATAAGGGATATTGAGACCCAAAGGGTTGAGAACCAGAGCTCTGTTGAACTCAGCTTTCCTTGCATTCAAACTTCCCTTTCATTAAAGCTCATCAAGGACTCCTCTGGCTTCCTCTGATGAAACATTCCCAGTGCCTGCACATCTGTATTTACAAATCAGCCTTTTCTATTGTTTTAAAGCGATACTGAGCTAAGACTTCCACAGTTTTTCTTTCCAAAGCAGTAGCCTGGGATAATTTAAGTTTGTCCTTTCTTTACTTAGTGAACAAGCAGTTGCAAAGTTCACAGAAGTCATGGCTACTCTTGTGTCTGGTTATTCCATCCAGATGCTGCAGAGGCTAAGCGAACATCCTGGGCATCTTCAGACCCTGCTTATCTCACAACAAAATGCATGCCTTGTAAGGTTGGAGTTTTAACCCTCCCTCCAGTCACCTCAGTTTAATTTAATGATTCAAAATACAAACATTTAAAGAGTGAAAGTCAATGCCATTCATTTAAAAATAATCCATAGGAATGTGCATGCTATGAGTCAAAAAAATAAAGTCATTTCACTTAATTCACACAATAATTTTGAGAAACAAGTAGATATTATTTTTCCCACTTTATGGATGAGGAAGCAATAACTTGCCCAAGCTTGACCTGGTGAGCAGGTAGAGCAGGGTGTGAACACAGGTCCTCTGGTTGTGACCTGGTGCTTCTTCATCCACAAGGTAACCACACTCTTTGGAAATGAAAGGCTGTGAGTACTGGGATCCAAGGGGCTGCAGGGTTGGAAGGATGCTGGTGGCATCTGCACCACTAGGACCAATGACACTAACAGCTGTCACTGTGACTTACTTGTTGGCGGCCACGGCACTGACAGCTCCTAGCAGAGCAGGCTTGGTCACTTTCCCCCCAAACGCTCCTCCAGCTCTTTTCATATGGCAGGCAATTCTATTCCTTGGGACCTTTAGTGCTGCAGACACAAATTCCTGGAGGAGGTAAGTCCCCAGAGTCACATAAGAGCGATTTAATACTTTATTTCCTCAGTCCGATACCTCCCCTCTGCCTAGTAAGAGGAATTCAGTGATTCAACAAATATAACAAGTACAACCATCAACAAGATTTCATTTTAAACATCCCCCAAGAAACCTGATTGCTCTTAAACAGTCACTTCTCATTTCCCCACAACCTCGACTTTCTCCAGCACGAGGCAACTGCTAATCTGCTTTGTGCCTAGAGATTTGCTGGTGCTGAATCTTTCATATAAATAGAATTATGCAACATGTGGTCTTTGTGACTGGCTTTTTTCATTTAGCATAGTTTTCAAGATTCATCTATGTTCTAGCATATGTACCAGGTTCATCTCTTTTTGTAGCTGAATAATATTCCATGCAGGTATTACCCATTGAAGGACATTTGTGCTGTTTCCACTTGGGGCTATTGCGAACAATGTTGCTATCAATATTCACATATAAACTTTTGTGTGGACAAATATTTTTCTAGTCATGGAATTTCTCAGTGTGTTAAATACTCTTTAACATACTGAGAAACACTGTTTAACATACATGATTGGTTGTTAAACACTCTTGAACATACTGAGAAACTTGCCAAATTGTTTTCCAAAGCGACTGTGCCATTTCTTCTGTCGCCAGCAGTGTGTGAAGGTTCTGATTCCTCTGCAGTCTTACCAGCACTTGTTATTGTCTGTCCTTTTGATTACAGCCATTCCAGTGGTGTGAAATGGTATCATGTTAGTTTTGATTTGCATTTCCCTGGTGACTAGTGGTGCTGAGCATCTTTTTATGTGTTAATAGTTATCCAGAGACTTTCTCTGGAGAAATGTCTACTTAAATCCTTTCTGAGAACTGCTGTTGATACTGTCCCAAGTTCTGGGCTGTGGGCTCTGGGTGCGGAGAGCCCTAGTTACTACTGGGAAGAGCCTGCTGACCGTATTCTAGAAGGTACTGAACTTGACTGCAATGGTGACCTCGGGACATAGATGTTAGCCATGTAGAGCCCACAGCCACTAGTCTGCCGAAAGAGAGCTCAGAAGTGGTCACAGAAGTGATCACCTCCTTCCATGTACAGAAAAGGACATTGTAGGCACTCATGTAGCCCTTTGGGGCACAGCCTATATAGCCTCAGTCTTATGTCCATTTCAAAACTTGCAACTGGGGAGGTCCTGGCCACATCTCAGCTCAGCATCAGTCACTTCAGATTTTCCTTTTTGCCTTGAATGGCAGCCGGTAGGTTTCTCCTCCCACTGTGGCTACCCAGTACTTTAGGGCTCAAAATACCAATTCACAGCGCTCCACCAGGAAGCCCCAGCTTTCCCCCTCATTGATGCTTGTCATTAATCCTCCTCCCAGAATAATTGTCTAAGAATGCACGTGTGCCTGGCACTACTCTGGGACCAACAACTCATACTTCAGGAGAGGAGAACGTCTGTGGATTTGCTTTACTGGCCCAGATGCAGCTGCAGCTTCTATCTCACCCACTAGAACAGGGCTGGACTTGCCATGCTACTGCTGGGCTGGAAATGTCTTGGAAATGCAATTGCTTCACACATGTAGCACCAAATACATAAAAACCATAGAGAAAAGCAGAGCAAATGGGACACAGAAGAAAATGTAAATGTAACACTAAGGCTCTGATCTCTCTGAGATTAAGTTTTACATGATTGGCTGTTATAAGGGAAAGATACACTTTGTTCTGCTTTGGGAAATAGCAGTGCTTTCAGATTTCTTTGAGAGGTCTGCTCTTTTAGGAAATATTAGCCCAATGTCCTCATCCTGGACTTGAGCTAACATCAAGAGTTCGGGAAGTTTGAGAAGCAGGTGTGTGAGGAATCAAAAGACCCCAGGATCAAAGTGCCCTGATCTAGGGACCTCAGGCCACATGTCATGTGCAGTCTCAGTTCCCCAAAATATCCTGTTACCTGCACGTGGGTTGGAAACTGTGTTCCAAGATGCAAAACCATTTCTTTATCTTCTTGTTTTGGGATAGCCAGGATAGATTGGGTCTCCATGTAAAAATGTTCCTGTCCTTCCACATGGACCTCACCTATAAAGCAAAAACACAGGACAATGTTTAGTTGGAAGTCCCAACCTGGGGATGCTCAGCAGTGTTTGGTTTATATCATGGGGTTAGGCCACTTTTTCTTTTTCTTTCTTTCTTTTTTTTTTTTCTTGGTACAATTTATGAGCTCATAAAAAAGGATTTACAAAAGAAACCTTACACCCCATTGTAAAGGAAAAAGAAATCATTTTAATCTATACATTATAACTTGTTAATCCAGCATGATCTCTACTCCGAATGCTTACCACCCCCCTCCTTAGCTTGATTTGCTTCATATCTATTTCCAACGTGCAGCAATCTTCAACAAGATAGTCAAAATTTCAATGTCATTCTTCAAAGAAATAGAACAATTATTGATGAAATTCATATGGAATCACCAAAAACCCCGAATAGCCAAAGCTCTCCTGAAAAAAAAAGAAGGGAATGGAGGCATCACACTCCCAGACTTCAAACTCTACTACAAAGCCATAATCATCAAAACTGCATGGTATTGGAACAAGAACAGACATACAGACCAATGGAATCAAATAGAAAATCCAGAAATAAACCCACAGATTTATGGTCAACTAATCTTTGACAAAGGAGCAAAGACTATGCATTGGAGCAAAGAAAGTTTGTTCAATAAATGGTGCTGGGAAAACTGGGTCACTACATGCAAAAGAATGAAGCTTGACCACTACCTCACACCATATACAAAAATCAACTCAAAATGGATTAAAGAACTAGACATAAGACCTGAAACCATAAAATACATAGAAGGAAATATAGGCGAAACACTACGTGATTTGCATATCAAAGACATCTTTACAGACACATCACCCAAAGCAGTGATAGTGAAGGCAAAGATCAACAGCTGGGACTACATCAAATTAAAGAGCTTCTGCACAGCAAAAGAGACAATAACAAAAACAAAGAGAAACCCCACCAACTGGGAGAACATTTTTGCACCCAACACTAATGATAAAGGACTGATCACAAAAATCTGCAAAGAGCTGATGAGACTCAACAACAACAAAGAAAATAATCCAGTCAAAAAATGGACAGAGGAACTAAAAAGAAACTTCTCTGAAGAGGAAATGCGAATGGCCAACAGGCATATGAAAAAATGTTCAACATCACTTGCAATCAGGGAAATGCAAATCAAAACTACCATGAGATACCATCTTACACCAGTGAGAATGGCACATATTAAAAAAACTAGCAACAACAAATGTTGGCGAGGTTGTGGAGAAAAAGGAACTCTTCTGCACTGTTGGTGGGAGTGCAAACTGGTCCAACCACTATGGAGAGCTGTGTGGAGATTTCTGGACCTACTAAACATAGAGCTTCCACAGGATCCAGCAATTCCACTCCTAGGTATTTACCCAAAGAACACAGAAACATCAATTCCAAAGAACACCTGCACCCCTATGTTTATAGCAGCACTGTTTACAATAGCTAAGCTTTGGAAACAGCCCAAATGCCCAAAAATAGATGACTGGATCAAGAAGATGTGGTACATATATACCATGGAATATTACTCAGCATTCAAAAAAGATAAACACATGCAATTTGCAGCAACATGGATGACGCTGGAAGGGATCATGCTCAGTGAAATAAGCCAAAAAGAAAAAGAAAAATACCGGATGGTCTCACTCATAGCAGGGATCTAGAAAACTTAAATAAGGGACCAGGAAAATGAATAACTATAAGAAAGTGAAAATCAAAATCAACAAAAACTATGAACCAGAGACACTTTTTGGGGGGTGGGGGGCGGGAGGGGAGGGATTGGGGTCAGAATGGGGGGATTGCAATTGTATGGGGAATATAAAAATAAAATTTATTAATTAAAAAAAAAGAAAAAAAATTAAAAAAAAAAAGAAAAAAAAAGTAAGAGATACTTTGTTCTCAAAGAGTTTTATCAAGTTTAGCATTTTCAAAGAGCCCTATGAGACTGCTCAGCATGGTGGTTTTTCACTGAAATTTCCTATTAGAAAGATGGCAAAACAGACTTGGATCTTCCCAAGTCTGCAGGCTGCCTGTATTCATATCACAGCTCCGCTGGGTAAGTAGTAAAGGCTGAATAACAAGTAGGTCTCCTCCAAACACAGCTGGGTGAGAGAGCAGCATTTTTAGAAAGTAAACGGAATCATGAAAACCTTCCTAATCGTGTGATTTGTTCCAGGGCTCTTTGGAGACTTAGGAAGGGAAATAGGAATCCTTGTGGGCAGTACTCTTATTTACAGAGTTTTCTTCTCCAGCTGTCATTCCATAGCGAGGCGACTTATTGTATTTGCTGCAGAATCCAAAGCATGAGGATGTCTACTTTCATAATCAGAGCTGGTGATTGCCTTCTCACTTCCTGCCAAACGGATCAGACCACACTTTTAATCCTGGTGGCTGCACATTTTCTTGAACGATACCTGCTCGATTTATGGCTTGTTCTCTCTGGTACTCCTCCCGCATCATTAGGGGCCGGAAGTAGATGGGGTAGAAGGCAGCACCGATCAGGGAGACAAAGCCGCCGAAAATAAAGGCGGTGCGCAGGTTCCTGGACAAGGTGCCGGGTCGGGGCAGCCTGACCCGCCGCGCTGGGCACCCGGCGCGCCCAGACTCCCGCTCCTGCCCTAGGCCACTTTTTCTAATTGGTCCTTACCGTGCCCAATCAGCTAAGCGACCTTGGGTCATTCACATCCCCTCCCTTGGTCTCAGTTTCCTCATCTGTTGAGTGATATCCATGTGGACTTAGTGCATGGCTAACATGGTCACATATCCAGGCTCTGCCCTCTCCCTGCTCAGCTAGTCTGACCAAGCTATTAAAGCCTCATTTTCTCATCTCTAAAATGTGGGCAGGTGCATCTCAGGTGATATGAGTTATGATATGATAATTGAATCACAGAGAAGACAAGTAACTTGCTCAAGGACACAAAAGTTTGAAATGGCCAAGCTGAGACTTTTCCCCACCCTCCAATCAGCTCATTCTTACTCGCTAATCTGAGATTTTTGGTTTGTTCAATACATTATTTTGTAGGCTACACCAAGAGAGTTATTTGACCCTAGTTTAAATATTTGGAAGGAGATATTATTTAGACTTCACAACTAACCAAAAAACTTGTGTGATGTTAAAATAAGTGAATTGTTTTACCAGGAGTCAAGGGATTTCAAGAATTTTTTTCTTGGGACAATAGAATGTGAGTCATGCAAAAAAATTGTTGCTTTCTGTATATGAATACTGAGTATGCCTAACATTTCACAGAAAATCAATTCATTTAATCCCCATAACTAATCCTACAAGGCAGGAATTAAGAAATAGATGTGGAGAGGTTAAGAATGACTTAAAGATGACTGAATTTATTTTTCATTTTTCTGGCTCAAGATCACTTACCTTCAATGACTTGATCAACATTTTTAAAGGCTTGCTCTACATCTCCTTTCTCAATTTTTTTCTCAGGACAAAGAAATGAATTGTGCTCTAGGGCTTGCTGAAAGCAAACAAAGAAAAACAAACAAAAAAGTTTTTTTTTTTTTTAACATTCTTATAAGCCATTCATTCCTCATCAAAAGCCCATGCTTCCCCTCTATTTTATCTTCATACACCTAGACCTTTTGAACAATGTGGAGTGTCAGCTGAAATAGGGTGAAAATTGGTCACGAGGATTGGCGACACCTTAGTTTTGAGGGGATCTAAGGAGAGATGAGGATACCTAAGACTAGGTACCACCCTTTAGGTTGCTGAGTGGTCACCTTAGGTCATTGGTATTAATGTGCCAACTTTGTGGTGGCGGTGGTGAGGCAGATAATAAACAGAGGTCAAAAAGGAAGGGGATGGTGTGGCTGGAATGTTCAGAGATATTCCAGTGAAGTTAACTTAAACTGGGTGCTGAACTGGATGGGATTAAGGCAGTTAGAGAAAGGAGGGGGAATCATTTGAAGTTGAGAGTGCCTTGTAAAACAATAGTTTGAAGTTGAAAACAGGCTGAGGAATTAAAGTGAGACTAAGGCCAGGCTGGTTGGGGAGCAGGCTTTCTATCAAGAAACAGTTGAATGAGCTTGAAAGGTGATTGAGGTTAGACTATGAATCTTTTCTAAGAACCTTATTAAGAGAACAATGTTGTATAGGAAAAGTGATGTGATGAAATTTGTGACTTAGCAACGTTCATGTGGTGGGTATGTGGGTTGAAACGCAATACAGGAGTCTCTTTAAGTGATTATTGTGGCAACTCTGAAAATAAGAGGGTGACGACCTGGCTAGAGGGTGGGATGGGAGTCAAAGGGAGAATGGAAAGAAAGGGGAAGACTTAAAGGATACCCCAAAACTTGAATTTGGCAGCTGTTGGGAAGAACTGAGGAAAACCAGTGAGAATGCTGAAGACTACAGCCTACTTGGTTGGCCTTCCTATAGCTTAAGTACACACTTATCCATCCACCCCTCCATCTTGCACATTGAGTTCCCCCCTATGGGTGTAGTGCTTTGCTAGACACCAGAGACATGTTCCTGACCTCATTAATAACCAAACTAAAACAACACTACAGCGAATATTTACTGAATGTGTTCCATGACTCAGGTATTATTCTAAGTCTTTCTCTTGGTTTCTATTGCATAATACTCACAATGACTTCCTTATGCTTCCCATTTCACAGATGAGAAAACTGAGATATGAGGCGTTTAAGTAACTTGACAAAGCTTTCACTGCTATTAACAAGCCATTAAATGGCAGAGTCAAAATATGAATCAGTGTTGTATCTTTAGAGTTTGTGTTTAACTAGGAAGTGGGCAAGGAGGCAGAGGGCCCAAAAGCAGAAATTCAGTAGATGTCACACCTTTTTCTGAGTTTCACAGTGCTCTGGATTTGCCCACTAACTAGTTTTGTATCTGAGGTCATAAGGACATTCCTCTGGTGTTGCTTATCTGTATTCTTAGGTCATGCTTTGGCAAGAGGTCACTTGAGTAGAAGTGACTGTGGGAAGAAAAAGCGTGTTCCAGGCAGGAAAATTCTCACTATTCTGTCTTGACGTGCAGAATGCTAGAGCCTTCTGTGCAAAATGTAGATAATACCAAAGTATAGATGGAGCCCAAATTATACTATTTTATGACTCCAGGGGCTGATGCCTTGCTCATTTTAGAAAACATAGTGACTTGACTACCTCTATTGTGATAATCTTTGGTTCAATGTCTTCATAAGCGATCTTGACTTTTTTAGCAGCCTCCTTTGCATGAGCATAGGTATCAGCAGCCACAGTACAGACGATCTGACCCACGCAAATGACCTGCAGAAACGTCACATGTAATTAAAACAAAATTGTTAAAAAGGAATTATAATCTTTTACTTACCCAATGGGTTCTTATGACCAAAATAAAGATTATATTCTACATATGAAAATAAATTTAAAACAGTGGCTTGAGTGGGATGTAGGGGGTACACACACTGAATGTAGAATTTAATTTCTTGACCTCTGATTTTCTTTTTTTTTTTTTTTTGCTGCTCCTCACCATTTCCATATCACACCAGTGATCCAGTCATCCTGAAATTCCACTGTTTCTTCCAATGTTCTATGTGCTACCTTGTTTCTAAGGCTTTCATGACGGTTTAGAAACTTTCTTAGGGCTTTTATCAGAATCTTGAGGGAGCCACAATTCAAGAGAGAACTTGAGAACCACTAAGTTGGAGTCATTATTTCCCTGCAAGTCTGACTACAAAGCCATGGATGCTGTGGCCATAACCAATAATCCATTTCTGGCATTTCCAGCAAAGGACTTGAATAATAAGCCTCACACAAATCACACACCTCATTCTGTGCATAGAATATCTCTCCGTGATGGTTATTTTCTCCTGGAACATCCTCTGCTGTTATCACATCAACAACACCTGGAAGTGCCAGGGCTTCTGAAGTGTCAATTTCTCTAGGAGGGAAAATTTGAAAGTATACATTAGAGCTACAGGAGTAAGTTCATGGTACAACAAAAGTGATTTGTCAAACACAGGGAAAAGCAACAATGGATCTCATGAGTGAATCATGGGGCAATAATCTATACTGAAGAAGTACTGGTATTTAGCAGGTGTTCTGACTCCTGGCCACAAATTCTTTCAAGATAATATATAAAAAGTGACAGATTCTCATCCAGTAGAGCAAATGAATATTCTTACTTGACTTAAACATATAGATATGTAAAATAAGTCCTCAATTTGAATATGAAATTGTGAATACATTCTAGTAATATATAGGAACACCTATTATTTTCTTACATGATCTTTGCATAAGTTCTGGTGCTAGTGACTACAGCCAGGAAAAGTTCTTCATCAACGGGCGGCATGTCATCAATATAAACAGCTTCCCCTGTAGTGTGTTTAATGGCGGACTGGTGCATCATTGGGTGGCCAACTGGATCTTGTGGGGGTTGGCAGGGATCCACACACTGTTAATCAATAAAGCAAGCTATTTTATCTCTACATTGTCATACCCTGAAAACTGAGTCTGATATATCTGGTTTGCTCATAAGTCAAAAGGACAATCTAGGTGTTCATATCGGTGAGTCAAAGTTAACAACCATACATTGAGTACTATGATAAAATGGTAGAGAATAGATTCTGGCTTTACGTCCTTCTCCCATGAGGGGAGACATTATTTCTGACCTTAAGGATCTACAACCTTGTTGAGGAATCAGAACACACGCGAACACACATTAAAATAATGTGATCACTTCACATAGCAATAAAGAACAGTTTACACAACTACTATTGTTCAAGGAAAATATACAAGTTCTTGGGTGATTTTAATAAAGCAGGGAAGGCTTTCTCAAAGCAGTAAATGTTGAGTCAGCTTCAAAGGAATGCCAGGCATTAACCAAGAAAAGGATATTTTAAATAACAAAACTGAAACGTGGAGAAGGAAGATTCAGAATCTAATTCCTTGTGTAGCCTTAATTAAAGCACAGACAATAAACAAAGCAGGTAGTGTGTGGGTGGCAATGGGTAACATCAGCTAGTTCTAGTGGACTTTATCTTTACAAGTAAAAAAAAAAAAATAACGGTGTTGAAAAGAGGGAAATATATGCAGAATGCACATATCTGAATTCATGGACAGATTAAAAAACAGGCAGTCCCATCTACCTACCTGGAACATCTGAATTCCTTGGGGTGTTTCTATGGGGAAATCTTGCAGAGCACTCATGAACTTTTCTGGGATATCAGGAAACTTCTGGGGATCCTGAAAAGAAGATAATTTCATATTTAATCTCACAATCTGAGGGACTAACTTGGAAAAACACATGTAGAAGTAGGGTATTTCAATTTATTCTCCCAGGTGTTGGATGCCTGTTCTTCCAGGAGAGAGTACTGAGTTTTGAGCTCCCTAGGCTCCCTAAGTTGTTTGAAGAACAACCACATTTTCTTAGCCACACACAAAAGTGAACACTTACTTCCAGGGGAGGACCTCCCTTTATGCCAAGGTCTCTTTCTGAATGGGTGGAATACGTACACTTCTAAAGAGAGGCTTTCAAATCCAGGCCAATCTTTTTGGCATTATCTTTAAGAGGCAACTCAGAATAGGCAAAGAGAGTCAGCTATACGGATGTTCAATTACAGATGATTTGTGTTAATGGAGAAACTAGAATGAATATAAATATCCAACAACAGGGAAATGGCTAAAACACTACAGCACATCTGTAAGTTACAAATATTCTGTAGTCATTAAAAATGATTTTATAGAAATGAATATTAAAAATACTCATGAAATATCATAAATGAAAAAATGGTTTACAAAAATTCATATACAAGATGATCCCATTTTTTAATAAAAAAGATGTATTCCAAATATTAATAGTAGGATTGTTGCATTAAAGTTAATTAAAATTTTTTTCTTCTGTGTTTTGACATCTTTTATAATGTTACAATGTATAACAGAGTAAGTGATTATATGATTATAAGTAATAGATATAAAACAAAACATGCTTATTAGATTATAGATTATAATGTATTAGAAATATACTGGCTTTGTATTTATATGCTGAATATATTATAGAATATGCAATAAAGTATATAAAATATATACTAGAATGTGATATCAATATTACTAATAAATAATGTAAATACAAGTAATGAAAAAAAGCAGGCAGAACTAACAGAGTAAAGCTCTCAGCCATGGAAGAAATATGGGTGCATTTCTTGCTATTTTGGGGTCAGTTCATGACTTGTCATCAAGGGAACACTCACAGTCATGGACCATACTCTGAGAAACAGTGTTATGGAGCTCATTTTAAACTAGGTTAGGTAAGAAAAAAATTATTATGAAAAACTAGAAATAATCTAAAAGTCCAAAACCAAGAAATAGATTAAATAATGGTACAGGTATCTATAAACGCGCCTTGCCACCATCACGTCATGATGTCACTGAGTGTATATGATGACTAAAGCATGTTTATGTTACGATATAAGTAAGCTGTGCTAGCCAGGTCTATAGAAGTGGATGTGTGGGACACACACACACACACACACATGTCCATAAAAAAGGTGCTTAGAAGACACACACCAGAGTATGAATAACAGTTATCTAGGAGTGATAGGATTACAAATGATTTTCTCCTCCTTTTTGCCTTGCTCACACTTTCTAAAGATCAAAGCAGGTATTATTTTATTAAGAACATTTTCTTTGAAGAGGAAAAAGTTATAAATGACTTACTGAAGACTTTTTGCAGCTTACTGTTGATCAACCTGACATTGTGAATTTGTATTTGTTACACAAGTTATAGGGCAAATGGAATTGTGAGGTCGTACTCCCCTGAGCTGTTGGAGGCTAGCAGCATCCACACTGACTCCCCCCCACAATGGTGTGGACTCACAATCAATGTCCAGGGACCAGCTATACAAAGAAGTCATTTACCATTTTATTCAGTCCTCGCCTAACTTTGAGGTAGAATTTGAAGAGTAAGCTGATGATGAGGGTTCGCCTGTACTCTACCATGCCGCCCTCTGCATCTGCCGGGATGTGAATCTCATCCAGGACCAATCGACACGCATCACTCAGCATCTCATCATCCCATTGCCTAGTAGGAAAGGATAGAAACATTTCAAGGAGATGCAAGCACAGATGCTAAACTGACACAGCAAGGAAAGAGGAAGTCTAAACAAAATACCTTGACGTCTAAACAAAAATACCTTCAATATTTCTGGAACTTCCTTCAGAATCTGAAGCAGAGTTTCCCAAATTTTCCTTGCTAAGATTATTCACTATTATTTTTAACCTCATGGCCTAGGAATGTTGATGCATCTCAAATAGCTTGGATAAAAAGTACTATAGTACAAGTTTCCCAAGATCTGGATTTAAGTTGTATTCATTGCTGAAGCTTTAGCAAGCAGACCCTGCTTGACACACAGATGACACAGATAATGCTGGGAAGTAACTGTCTAGTAAAATTTTTCACAAATACAAGTTCCCACAGAAATGCTTTGGAAGCATCAAATAAGTTCAGTATCTGAGAAAAAATGGTATTACTTTCTAATTATTGACAATGAATATGATGGGTCAATAAAAATTATAAAAGCAGAAGTTAGAAGAATTTTAAAAACGTACTTTCCAAATGCTAGAAATAATGAGACTGATCAAAGGAAGGCCATTTAACCTTTTGGCATATTTGACCTAATTTATGTGGCTTAAGGACATTTTCAGTTGTCTTGGATAACTGAAACATTTACTTCTTTTTTACAGGTTAATTAAAAACTTGAGGACAATAGCTAATTAGATTAATTTGTACATTAATCTTATTACAAAAACGGCAACAAAAATTCATTGTAGTCTACTTAGCTATTAAAAAAAAGATGAAATCTTGCCATTTGTGACAAGAATAGAACTGGAAGGGATTATACTAAGTGAAATAAATCAGAAGGAAAAAGGCATATACTGGATGATTTCATTCATGTGTGGAATATGGAGGAACAAAGCAAAGGAACAGACACAACCAAATCAAAGCACCCCCTAGAAATCTGCCTGCAGAACTGAAACTACCAGAGGCAGAGGTTGGGGAGCAGAGGGTAGAGGGTGTGCAGAGGGCTATGGTGGAGGATGGTGGGTGCCTGGATTGTGAGGATGGTGTGGTAAATGCATCTAAGGAGGTATGAGCCTGTACCTTCTACTCATCTATAGTGTTGCAAATCTCAATGAAAAAAAATCCTTGTATCTTGAAGGAGGTTGGATTTTGGATGACTTTTCTTTATACTTTTCTATAGTGCTTAAATTTCTACAAGAACCTTTAGCTATTGATATATTGATCTTTTATTTTCTTACATTGTTGTTCATTTTTGGACAGTATTTGATTTCTCCCCTCAGCCGTAGTCCCTGTAGTTCTCCCACCACCACAGCACCCAGGACCTATCACCACAGTCTCTCGTGCTCTTCACTCTGTTGTTTTGACCCCTTTCCCTCCTCCACCCCTGTTGTGTGCCTCGTATCTATAGTTTGCCTGCAAATTTTGTCTTTTTCCTGACCTTTTAAGGACATCTATATATTTTATAATCAGAAAAATATTTTCCAAGTGTTACTTTCATTAAAATGTTAAAACCAGGGCCTCCCTGGTTTTAGCAAAGGGTTAAGTCTCAGCACTATGAAGCTCTCCGCAGCCACTGCAGCATGACTTTGATCAACTGGCCAGGGAGCTACCCACATGGCACAGCAGACCTCTTCTGACATGCCTGCTGCTCCCCTCAGTAGTGTATTTCAATAAGTCTGCCTGTTCTGTTCCCCACTCTGTCTCTGGTGAATCCTCTCACCCTCCCACACCTCTGGCTTGTACCCCAGTTCTTTTTTTTTTATTAATTAATTATTTATTTATACAAGCACTGGGTACAGTCAGAAGCACAAGAGGGTGAGAGAATTCACCAGAGTCAGAGGGGAGAGCAGAGCAGGCAGACTGACGAAGTACACTGCTGAGGGGAGCAGCGGGCAGCAGGAGAGGTCTGCACGCCATGTGGGATCCTCGCCCGGTGGCTGGGGATCGAACCGACGCTGCAGAGGCTGCAGGCAGCTTCGCAACTCAGCGCTCAACCGTTGCACCACCAGGGAAGCCCTGTACCCCAGTTCTTGTATGCATCAATAAATAAATATCTAAAAAAATATTAAAACCGCAAGGTCTGAGTCCCATGTTTCAGACATGCTGTGACATACCTCCCAATGAGCTGCTTGCAGGTTTGGCTTGCAGAGACCACAGTGGGGCCAACACTTCCAAAGAACATTTGAAGGTCCTGGATCGTGTCTGTGCCACCTTCAAACTCCACACTCATGCCAGCATTGACAATGGCAAAGGCATTCTCTTGACGCTGGGCCAGCCGGAGCCCTGACATGAAGCGCCACTGGAAACAGAGAAGCACCCAGTGGTCACCGCTGCTGGACAGACAGCAGCAACTTTGATGATAATTTATAGTGAAAGTGTCCTGTGAATAACAGAGCTCTCAGGTCTTTACTGCCTTGTGTGTTTTCCATGTGTTAATATTGAACCCTCTCAACAACTCATTTCCAATTTCCTGATGAGGAAATTGAGAGGTTAAGTAACTTGCACAAAGTCACACAGAAGGTGGCAGAGCTGGGGTTCAAATCCCAGCAATCTGGCTTTAGATCTGCGCTTATCTGCTCTCTCCTCTGAATCACCACACGTGGTCTCGGGCAAGTGATTGAAACTGTATGGGTCTAAATTTCTTTTAAGGGGAAAGTTGAGTTTGATCACATAGTGTCTCCTATGCTGCTGAGATGGGTGGGGTAGGGGGAGGATCACGAGGTGGGGTGTATCTCACCACATATCTTCTCTTTTAGTTTGATGTTTTAGGTAAACTTCATTTGAAAAAAAAAAAAGATTACTACTATTAAAAAATAGAAAGAAGGCTTGAAAATCACTGGGACAAATGGTCTCCAACATTCTTTCTAGGTCCAAGTCTGTCATTCTAATTTAAGCCTCATTACTAGTCTGAGACATTAGCTTCACAAAGTGGGAACACCCAGATCAATTGACAGGCACAGTAATGTGTGGCTGGCATCTTGTTAGGGACAGGAGGAGATTAAACTCTACCACCAGGGGCCCTGCAAGGATTAAATATTTTTGATCTAGAAAGCAAAGGTGTTAAAGAAGTATCTGAGACACACTGATTGTATTTACTCTACTATAGTGATTGGTGGGGATTTTCCATTCTTGCTGCCACCACCCTTCTTACCTTCTTTATAACATTAGCCTCCTAAATGGTCATTCAACCTTCAGTCTATTTTCCACCAATGTTTCCTCTAACTTTCTCATGGACTGTTATTCCTAAATACCACTTTCATTCAGTTTTAACTTAGCTTTAAATCCTTCAAAGGTAACTCTCTGTTAGAAAACAAACATATTGATGGAGCAACAGACCAGCTTGGTGATGGAGCCCTGCTCCCTCCCAGGCTCATCCTATGAGGCTGCTCCAGTCACATCATAGGACTGCCCAGCCTCTGCCTGCCTGGCAACCTGGCACACCCTCTACCCCACCCCATGCTGCTCTGCCTGGAACAACTACCCCCTTCTCTCCACTATCTGTGCTGAATTCCCATTGGGTTCCCTTCCTTTTGAACAACACCAGGGGACGGCTCTCCCTTTCATCTGAGCTACTCATTTCCTTTCTGAATAATTAGCAAATTGCTACTTCAAGTCCTTCCTCTTAGATTTAGATTTTTCAAGGCCAGGACCCCATGGCTTATGAATCCATGTCCTATCTTCTGGGTGGAGCACTGTGCCTGGCATATAGTGTTGTGGACAGTGAATAGATACATGCTCTTTTGGTTGACTTGGAAATATCTTTATGATAATGAATTTTTAGTTCACCAGGAACTTTCTGTAGATAGTCTGTAGATAGTTTTACTCAATCTTGGTTAAGTTACATATTTCTCTGAAACCAAAATTTAAACTCTTCACACAAAAAGCCCTTGTTTTGCAGAAAGATAAGGCTCATGGAAATGTTTTAATTTGAACAAAAGAAAAGTATAAATATAACAATAGTGAACATATAACTGAATGCACATTCACCTTCAAACAGACACAGTTATATTTTTTTATGGAAGAAAGGGCTCATGGAGATGAAGTAACAAATCCCAATGTGGCCCTGATATGAAAGCAGATCAAATGATTATGTGGGAATTTCCTGTGAGCAGTCCCCAAAGTCTCCCTGAAACCGTTAGTTGGAAACTGAGAGTACCCCAATTACAGGAACCTGTCTGCACTTTGAGGCCAAGGGCAAGTTGGCTCCTCTCGGTGGGGCAGCAGGTCAGGAGAGCCTTACCTGAGTGGAGTAGGGAATATAAACAGATAGTACAATCTCCTCTGGCTTAAGGTTGGCTTCTGGTAACTTGCCAAGGAAAGGTCCATCTAAAGGAATTTGCCGTTCTCCATCTGTTAGAGAAAATGATCTTGATTAGTATGAAGTATCAGATAGGCAAATACGCAGCAAGGTATAGATGTGATGTATCTGGTAGAAAGAGAGAGGGCTGGCTGAGAGCCAGAGGATGCGGCTCTAATTCCAGCTTCCCAGCCGGGTCACCTTCAGCAACTCATAGGATATTTGGGGCTTCTGGCAAGCTAAGAGTAACACTAGAAAGTTGACTACAGAGCTGAGGTTACCACAGGAAGCGTGGAGAAAGGAAGGTGAGGAGGGAGCACCGCAGACTATGGTGGTGGACTGAGGGTGTCCTGGTGATGGGTGTGAAGGGGTCACAATATCTGAGGGGGGATCCTATACTTCTAATATGTAAACAATGATGGAAATCAATGTTACCTCAATTAAAGAAAGAAACAGTGCGTGTACACACACACACACACACACACACACACACACTCACACACATAGACACACATCTGGGCTTCTGGTTCCTCAACTGCAGAATGACAAGGTTGATCTAGAGAAGCTGAAAAGTCTTTCTGGATCCTTTTTTTCCTCCCTGGTTCTTATAGCTCATTCCACACCATACACAGATTTTGGTTTTAAAGAACATCAAAGCTATTTGGAAGAAAGTCAGTATAATGTAGGTTAACAAGTGGATACAAAGTATTTCATAAATGGAAAGACTGAGATCCAGATAGTGTTAGAGGTGGGCTAGTGACAGTGGCAGGACCTGATGTATAACTTTTTTCTTGAACAGTTGACCACACTCTTACTTAATTTCACCATATTTAAAAAATGTGATCTTAAAGAGAAGATACCAAACATCGATAACCCTCTGAATAATATGCTTTTATTTCTTTAAGTTTAAATCATTTCACCTGCAAAGCTCAAAATGCCTCTGGATAAAGGGAGACATAATGAATAATATGCCCTGGCAGCTTGATTTCATTTAAAATGAAAAGTCCTATGAAAAATTTGCCATATTTATAAAACTCTGAAATAAAATATGCCATTAAACTTTAAGATCACAGAGAAGAGCTTTCATTAATTTTTTCTTTAAAATTTTTGATAGTACAATTTGGACTGTTCATAAATGTGGCCAAATAGTTAAACTGTCTGATGCAACAACTTATCTGACCTACAAGATATCGAACATCTGGAGAACAGGATAATCAACTTCAGTTTCATCTTTATATTTGAGATAAGATAAATCTAGCCTATATATAGTTGATGAGTTTAAGTCAGATGCTCTGGGGTCCCTACTTCACAGTTCATGGAAGGAGCTACATAACTGACAGTGATAATTATAACATATGATGCCTAAAGCTTGATCTCTTACCTTTAGATACCAGATTGATGACAGCATTTCCTGCTGCTAAAATAGGATTTAGGTCAGAAAAATCAGGTCTGCTCACCACATGTCCTCCAAAAGTCTAAAGTAGAAAAAAAAGATGGCATTTTAAAAGCTACACTTCATTATTTGACAAATAACGAACCATGTATATAGGAAGCTTATGTAAAATTTTAATTCTTGTCTTTGTTTTATAGAAAGAGCTGGCAGAGTTTTGATGCACCTAAACAATTCAGACAAACTATTATATAAGATTCCCATGCCTGAACCCAACCCAAAGTTAGTGCTTGTGAAAATATTCCTGTCCATGTGCCATAAGGAGGGAAAATTTCTTTGACAACTGACCTAGTATGAGTGTTTGCTAAAGCAGGAAAGGAGATGAGCAGAGCCTGAGAAACACGCAAGACCTGGGATGGGAGCATTCACATCCCAGCTGTCTTCTGTGCTGCTGTGCTCAGTTCTTCTGTATTGCCACAGAAGAACAGTAAGTCTGCTTCACAGCCTTGGCCGGGGCCACTCAGTGGGGCTAAGAAGACAAGGTGATAGGGAGAGGAGCAACTTGGTTCAGAAAAAGGGCAGAGATGCCAAAGGTGAAACACATGGTAAAATTTGAGAACTGGCAGAAATAAGGCCAGAGATAATCAAGAGAAATGCTTTCCAGCAATGCTCGACTCCCCAGTATGTGTGAAATGGGCAGTATTTTGAACCAATTCCCCTGAAAGCATAAACAATAAAAAGCTTGATAACTGGAAATATAGAAGAATAAACATGTGGGGGCACATATTTAGAAACTAACCTCAGTGCAAAGATTAAAGAGGAGAATCAGTCACAAAAGGGGATTTTGGAAGTGTAGACTCTTGTTTATTATTCTACCTTGGGTAAGACATATTTTACAGACTGTGAAAGCTGCATAGGATCTTATAGACAATCCACTTAACTGAACCACCATTTTTAAAATGAAGAAACACTGACTTCAAAAGATCATATGGAATGATCCAGCCATTCCACTCCTAGGTATTTACCCAAAGGACACAGAAACATCAATTCCAAAGAACACCTGCACCCCTATGTTTATAGCAGCTCTATTTACAATAGCTAAGCTTTGGAAACAGCCCAAATGCCCAAAAATAGATGGCTGGATCAAGAAGATGTGGTACATATACACCATGGAATATTACTCAGCATTCAAAAAAGATAAACACATGCAATTTGCAGCAACATGGATGGCGCTGGAAGGGATCATGCTCAGCGAAATAAGCCAGAAAGAAAAAGAAAAATACCGGATGGTCTCACTCATAGCAGGAATCTAGAGAACTTAAATAAGGGACCAGGAAAATGAATAACTATAAGAAAGTGAAAATCAAAATCAACAAACAACTATGAACCAGAGACAGTTTTTGGGGAGTGGGGGGCGGGAGGGGAGGGATTGGGGTCAGAATGGGGGGTTGCAAATGTATGGGGAATATAAAAATAAAATTTATTGTTTAAAAAAAAAAATCATATGGAGCCTCCCCGGTGGCGCAGTGGTTGAGCACTGTGCTACAAAGCTGCCCGCAGCCTTTGCAGCACCGGTTTGATTCCCGGCCACCAGTGAGGGTCCCACATGGTGCGCAGATCTCTCCTACCGTGCCCGCTGCTCCCCTCAGCAGTGAACTTCATCAGTCTGCCTGCTCTGCTCTCTGCTCTGACTCTGGTGAATTATCTCACCCTCCCGCGCTTCTGACTATACCCAGTGCTTGTATAAATAAAGTATAAATAAATAAATAAATCTTTAAAAAAAAAAAAACTGAACATAACTAGAGGACTGTCTATAACTGTGGCTTAGCTCATCTAATCTAGAGAACATACCGCCATATTCCTAATCTGAGCTCCGGCAAGTGTTCTCAGATGCTTCAGGAGGGCACTGAAGGTCTTTGTCTTCTCCTTTGGTTGGTCCGAAACAATAAATTGCAAGGCATCATTCAACTGGGCCAGGCTGTATCCTGCGCCTATTGTCACCCCTGAAAGTCAGATAGTGGACTATAAGCTTCAAGTGAAGTGTGACAAGATAGAACTGCAGGGAAACAATCTTTCAAATATATCTTCTCTTCTCATATGAATTTAGAATGACAAAAATCAGAGATTATTAAAAATATGGCTGGCAATTTTCTTTATTACCAAATTTAAGTACCAAATTCTCTTTCTCTAATAAGTCAGAAGGAAAGAGAAAAGTATCTCTTTTCTAAACTAGGGTTCAGAAAAAAAAAAAAGACAAAACTAGTAGGCAAATTATAAATTCAAGAGATATACAGCAGGGGAGGGCCAAAACAGGGGCGGGAAAAGCACAAAGGACTATGGTGATGGTTCATGGGTGATATAGTGGTGGGAGATTTATGGGGACTAAATCTGAGGGGAGAAGTCAAATATTGTACAAAAATGAACAATGATGTAAAGTAAATAATAAATAAATAAATAAATATCACCCTCCCCCCAGAAAAAAAAAAACAACAACCCAACAAATTCTCTTTCTCAGTCATTATGCCACACATTGTAGGACATGGGAACCATAGATATCTAAAATATGTTATTCCATTTATTCTCAATTTAATGTTTTCCTCAATAAATTAATCAAATGCAAAAATTTCAGCCAAGGCCTTATAAGACTTTAAAAGATGGTTAATCTTAAATGGGAATTGACATGCAAATTTGCACTGTCTTTTGGGGCTTTCTCCATTGTCATTTCTTTCTATTGTTGTTCCCTTTTCAAAACAGCAAAAGCACATACTCCCTTGGGGTCAGTTTTATTTGCAAGTGTGTTTACAGGGAACACTTTCAGCTGTGACGTCATCCAGTTCATGCATTCTCAAAGTGGGCAATACACTAGAGAGGGTGAAAAAAATCTTGCTCTTTATATTCTGCTCATACATAGATAAAAAGCCTATCTGTAGTGTTAAAATTTCATGGGAGGATGATAAAGAAAAACTGTCTGTTGCTTCTTAGAGGCACAATAATAAATAAAAGGTTGGGAAACACTCATGGAGTTCTAAAGGCTCTACTTATTCTGTCCCTTTAGCTTGGACTTCCCTTCTAGCCCTCACTCCATCTCTTTCTGTGGGACTCTTGATAGGGGCTTGACAACAGCTAAAAAGATGAATGGGCAGGCTGACTTAAGATTGACAGATCAGAAGGGAGCAATTGATTTTCCATCTAATATCTGTTTGCTCACTGGGGAGACTCTGATTTTATGTAGGATTATTAGCTCCTGTAACCTGGTAGTCATTCAAATGCTGAGTTTGGGTACTTCAACAGTGGAGCATGTTTCTCAGACATCTTTATTTCTTGCATTATGTGGAAGAAATATTTGACTAAGAGTATGAAGACCTAGGAGCTACTCCTGCGATGGTAATGTGTTGGCTGTGTAAAGTTGAGGCAAGTTCAATGGAGTTGTTAAGTCTTAAAGTAGAGAAAGTTACTTAAACCCTTTGATTCTACATCTTCTTTAAGAGAATGGAGATGCCAAGGTTACTCGCTATGTCCCCGTCCCAGGGTGACTGTGAGAATCCAAGGAAACAGGGGATGAAAGCATCTGGTAAATTGTAAAGAATATAAAAATAAATAAGGTGGTGTTCACAGCTAAATTTTCTAATCTTATTACCCACACTAAAAAAAAATTGTTTTTTTGGTGAAAGTGTGTGGGGTGAGTAAACTTTGTGATTCTGGCAAGAACCTTTCCCTTTGTCCAGCCAATATCTCAGATCATTCCCTTCAGTTAATCCTTCCATATCAGGCCAAGCCACAAGGCACCTGCCCATAGTTATGACTCTCGGGGCAATGTAGTTCTGGGACACAAAGCTGAGTGGGCCAGCTGGCAAAAGTTCATAAAGGATACACAGTATATACTTAACAAATACATATTTTTTGAAGGTTTCCATACACTTTTAAATATCATTTTGGTCCAAGATGTCCTTAAATATTTGAAGTGTTATGAGTGGTTGCATATGTCCATTTTGTGTGGGGAGAGGGTATATGTTTTAACCTTTAGGTTCTAAAGGAGATCATTACCCTAAGAGACTAAGGAATGTCTGCATAGCTTAAACAAAACATTATGATAAAAGAATTGCATAGAATGCCACCTAGAATATCATCTCTGCTATCAAATCTGTTTTTCCGGATCATAGGCAGAATTAAGCATTTCCCCCCCTATATATTTGGAAAGCAATGTGTTCACACTTTTATTATAAAAGTCATTACAATTTATTTTTAGTTATTTGTTACAGTTGCTACTTGCTGCTAAACTTTCCCACTGTTACTAAGTGTTTTTGAAAGAGTAATTGAAAACTAGAGGTCAGTTAGTCTAGGAAGTGCTCAAATTAGCATAGTGCATGATTATCGACAGCCTGTCAGTAGCTACAACTAATTTGAAAAAGAAGGTTCTTGGGGCCTCCCCGATGGCGCAGTGGTTGAACGCTGGGTTGCCAGGCTGCCCGCAGCCTCTGCAGCTACGGTTCGCTCCCCGGCCACCAGGCAACGGTTCCACATGGTGTGCAGACCTCTCCTGCTGCCCGCTGCTCCCCTCAGCAGTGTACTTCATCGGTCTGCCTGTTCTGCTCACCGCTCTGGCTCTGGTGAATTCTCTCACCCTTCAGCACTTCTGACTGTACCCAGTGCTTGTATAAATAAATAAATACATCTTAAAAAAAAAAAAAGAGAAAAAAAGAAGGTTCTTACCGTCATTTGTGGTGTTCACAAAATGTAGCTCTGGAAGCCTGAGTGGAGATATGAAAACTGGATGGAATTCATTTCTGAATTTAATATTTGGTCCTTAAGGAGAAAAGTATTAAAGCAGTTAGTCAAGGAAGACAGTGGGTGCTAACAGATGTCATTTACTGATGATCCTGAGTTAAAATTGTGATGCCAATGACTCATTTGTAAAATGAAACAGTGGAGTGCTTCAAAAGACCATAGGTCATCATTAGTAAAAATGCATGACATTCGGATTTTAAAAAGACACGTGTTCCGGTTACCTAGTCTTGCCGAAAACCACCTACCCACTGTGGTGTTGCCCATGATGATGGGGGCTTGGGGGAAATTGGCTTTCAGCTCCAGAAGGTCACTCAGGGTCACAGGAGTATACCAGGTAGTCTTCTCCCCTTGGAATGTCCATCTTCTCTTGTTTGGGTCTTCTGCCATTCTCTGCAGAGAAGCAAAATCAATAGGTTTGCAAGCACAACTGTTGAAGGACTGTTCAAGCTGTATTTCCACTGTTCTGGGTGTCCAATTAGCCTGCTGGTCATTGCAACTTTTTGAGGTGACACAACTTCAGGGGATCAGGAAAGGATGGCCTAGTTTGAAACTACCTAGACTGATAAGATCTGTGTGGGCTCCACAGAATAAATGTTAACTAGGTGTCTGTCCATCAACTGGATAGAGCGGAAACTCCATCTATATTAGTAAGTATGTGAGGAGGATGTTACAAGGTATAGTAAAAATACCTTAGTCTGGAATTAAGGGGCCAGGCTTCTTGTTCTAGTTCTGCCCTAATAGTGACTCAGAGGAGCCTCATCTTTGGGAATTAGTTTTTTTATTTTTTGGACAGGTATCACTCAGAGGCAAAATTATCCTTAAAAATAATCCCTTGAGTCATTCACCAAACATAATAAGGGGGATATATATATATATATATATATATATATCTCCACAGTGTATTACATATATCCATACATCTATAGGTATTCACCTATATCTATACATATAATCTTTAAATGATAGTGAGTCCAAGTTCCCATACTCTGAGGGGCATGTGGAGACGAGACTCTAAAACCACGATCATGTCCATAGTCATGGAATGGAATGGTGGGCCTACCACACTGTTTATATATTATATTCTCTCTTTTTTCCCACTGGGTTGACATCATAGAGGTTAATTGTAAGAACAATGTAATCCCATTGTAATAAGTATTTTTTGATTTTTACTTTATTTTACAAAATGCCTTTAACATCATTCATGAGGTGGCTGTGTGACCTTGGGTAAGTTACCAACACTCTCTGAACTCAATATCTTATACCAAGGAGGTTAAACTGAAATATCTCTGAATACTACTCTTCTAAGTTGTTCTCTTCAAGTTACCTATAGTGGAGCTGAACCAGTCCTTAAGTGTGGGTTACTGCCCTACTGTGTGCTCCATGCTGGGCACAGTTCCAACTTTCAGTGTCTAATCCCCAGTGTTTCTATAGTATAATACAAACAGGCTTAAACCGTATCATGTCATAAGACAACAAACATAAAGTAACTTACTATTAGCTCAGGTGGAAATATAGGTTCCTGGGATGGATCCAAGGGCTGGAATTCATCTTCGTTGTACAGTTTGGTACACATCTCAACAAAACACAACAAAATACAAATGGATCTTGAGCTTCTTTGAGAGTCTGTAAGCCAGACTTCAGGGTCTGGGCCCACAGTGCTGACTCTGCAGTCACAAAATGGTGGGGCCCGAGCAGGGGGTGTCCCTGAGAGGAGTCCTTCCTGTCCCTACCTCCACCTCCTTCAGAGGACCATGAAGGGTTCCCAGCAGATTTCATGTCCTCTGGGGTCCCTCTTTTAGTGTCAGAAATTGGGTTTGGAACTTTAGTGCTGGACTTCAGAGGTTACTTGAAGATAATGATTTGCCCCGAGCATGAAGACACACTTCGGCCCCAGGCCTCTTAGTGCTGGAGGGGCAGGGGACAGGTGTGGGGGAGAAACCAGATTAAGGTGTAGGAACTTGGGATTCTTCTGAAGGAAAGTATCTGTGGTGGCCAGCCTCGATAAAGTCAAGGGTTTGCTAATTTGGGGGGTAATCTTCAAGACTGTTTATGCCTTGAGTTCACTAGCTTTGACGTTTCTCACTAAAAGAAAACTTGAATAAATTTGGATGTATATTGTATTCTTCAGGCATGTATATTGTATTCTTCAGGCATGTATATTGTATTCTTCAGGCATCCCAGTTGAAGTGGAATACCAGATACTTACTTTTTCCGGCTCCTCCTCAAAAGGCCTCTCTTCCTGATCCATGCAACATTTCCCTGATCCTTTCAATTGACAAACAGTTGATCCCTTAGGAAGTAATGCAGTTTAAAACAAAATCACTTGTCCATTCTTTAAACACCAACCCAGCAAGAAGCACCAGCCATATCTGGGCCCACAAGAGCTGTGGAAGAAGTAACAGAGTTCCTCAAGGACTGTGGTGGGGGTGGGGGCGTGGGGACCGAGAACAAACTTCTCCACTGCTGGACAATTAGGGCAAACTGAAGGGAGCATACTCGGGATGGAATCTTGGTGATGGTGTAACTCAGTTCTCATGGGAAGAGGAAAGGGGTTAGAGAACAGGGCTCAGACTTCTAACTGGGAGTGAGGTAAAAGGCATGTAGTTCAAGGTGGGAATATGTCCTTCCCCTTTTCCTGTGTCAAGAATTGTATGCTAACTAACCAGTTTTATCAATGTAAAATAGTTGGGTATAAAAGAAACTCTTTGTCTCTAGACCAGTGCTCAGACCTTATGGGACTACGCAGTACTGAGACCTCATGCATGAGTAATAAAACTTTCCTGGCCTCACCACAAAAAAAAAAAGGTGGGAATGAGAAAACCAAAAGTGTTGGCTGGCTCTTGAAATATGGTTCATATGAACTGCCTTTAAGACTTTCCAAGTATAATTATAAATAAACTGAATACCTGAGCATCTATGGACGTTATTGGAGTTATTTTGGACTTTTGTATCAGGTTTAAAATGATTTTAGTCTAATTTCCAGCACATTTCATGCAGACCCCAAGTGCTGAATTCATCGGTCAGTTACTGCAACTCTTAGACTAATCATTTCAGTATTTGGAATTAACTTGTATATCCTGAATTGTTTCTGGTCATCTAATATTGCATAAAATTTATTTTTACCTGGGCCCCTCTGGTGGCACAAGGTGTTAAGCACCGCACTATGAAGCAATCCACAGCCTCTGCACCACGAGTTCGATCCCCGGCTGTCCAGGGAGCAACCCACATGGTGAGGCAGACCCCTCCTGTCTCGCCTGCTGCTCCCCTCTGCAGTGTATTTCAGTCAGTCTGCCTTTTCTGTTCCCCACTCTGTCTCTGGTGAATCCTCTCACCCCCGGCATCTCTGGCCTGTACCCTAGTTCTTGTATGCATAAATAAATAAATCTTTAAAAAAATTATTTTTACCTAAAATTGGATGCTGGAAAAATACATTAACTGAAATCTTATGAAAGGTATGTCTCCTCTTGCCATTTAACTTTCTAAAAACTTAATATATCCCCAAACTATTCTTCTCTGCCATACACCTTAATCATTCTTTTCCAACTTCCTCCTTCTTATCTGGTTTCTTGATCTCTCAACCTTGAAGGTGACTTAGATTCCTTTCTCATCCTTCATTGTCCAGAGTTTATGATTCCAGAACCCCTCTATTTCCTGAAAGCTATTTTTCTGGGCACCTATCTCCCATACTGGTCTGGGTCCTCCTTCCCCCATGCGTGGGATACTGTGCCCACTCTCCTCGTATCTTTCTAGGATTATCCTTATCACAGGCAAGGTGCCAAGAATTTTCATTCTGAAATATTGTCCTTATTGTGTTGACTTCTGCTCTGAGAAAGACAGTAACTGTATATTGGTATAGCTAGCTGAAGTCTAAATTCCTTGGTCACATCAATTTTGTATCTTTCTCTATTTCTTACTTTCATGAATTTTTTTACTTGGAATTTTCTACTGACCTTTAAAAAAAAATCTATCCATTTCTGTCACTTGCTTAAAGACTTAGCTGGAAACTCCTGTTCTCTAATAAGCTTCCTTTATGTCTCTCCTTCCTGCTCACTAATTCTCTTTATCCCATGTTCCCTGAAAACTTACATACTTGGTATATATTGAACTTCTAATAGCTTGCTTTTCAATTATGTTTTATTGTTTCTTAGTCTATAGTTTATTTTCTTCAATAGACTTTGCATTTCTTGAAGTTATGGACTATATACTTCTTAGGGAAGTGCTTAATTTAGGGCTACAACAAGATATATGCCAAAAGTTTATTTAAAAAACAACAAAACAACAGTGGCATTCAATATGTAGAGTAAAACAATGAACATTAGAAAGGTCAACATGGGATCATTATTGATTATTGAATGCAATAGATGATTTTATACAAATTCTTATTAATATAGTAAATCACTGAATATATAATATGATATGATATGACATGATATAATATAATTTTAACTTACCACACTGAAAGTTTTTGCACTTTCTATTATTGGCCGGTATCCAGTACAGCGGCACAAATTACCTGATTGAGAAGAGATCAACTTTTAAGGAATGATATAGAAATATATTGTTCATTTATGTTTCATGATTCTTCTGTGTTTGCCAAACCAGCAAAATGACTCTTTCAAAAGTAGATTCTGTGATTGCATTTTCTTCCTGAAATACCACAAAGATATCCATAGTTTTCCCCAATCAGCTCTTTTACTTCATTTCCCACCCTTGACTTAGCTCATGTAACCTGTCACCCCATAATATCCCATGTGTAACCTTTGCTAAACTTTTCTCATGCAATATCCTTTCCCTCACATGTCCTCTTAGGCAAAGCATGCAATTTTTCAGGGCCCCACTCGCCCTATTCTATTGGGGTCTGGTTTAACACCCTCCTCAGAGCTCGTTAATTCACCATCTAGATCCTTCTGTAGACCTTTCATTGACTGTGCTGAGCGAGGCAGGGTCATTGGATCTTGAGCTTTTGGAGAGGGTAAGGATTTCCTAGATATTCTTGAACCCTCTCGGCACAGCACAGTATGTGTTCAGCAAGTTCAGTATTGTTTTAATCAGTCAACATTTCAAATGCAGGGTGTAAAAGGTGAGGAAACCACTTTCTAAAAAGTATATTTAAATTTTGTAGCCATGATAAATGATATTTAAGAAGAGGCTCTATTAACATGGGGAAGTCTTATGGAATACTGTTAAAATTATATACGTAATATAAAATTAAATATATAACAGTCACAGTATTTAAGATAAGCAAGCAAGAGCTATGCATAGAAAAGACTGAAAGAAAATACAAATAGCTGATTGTGCCTGTATCTTGGCGGCAAAGAGATGAGTTTTTTCCTTGTTTTTAATTTTTTTGGATTTTTATAAAAGGAATGATTGTTTTTATACTAGAAAATTTTAAATGTTTAAATACAGTTTAGAAATTTAAGAAATAATGTATGTATATAGATTGAACAGGTTTAACCACTTGAAAGTAAAGTGTTATGTGGAAGTTTGAGGCCAGTGAGTCATGTGGAAAGATGGTTAACAGACACACTCCTTTGTTTTTTATTGGAATAAGAATTGTTTAGGAAGAAATTGAAATCAAAAGATTGAGCAGCCATTATTTATTTATTTTTGCTAAGAGGAAAGAACATAAAAGGTCAGTTTACTAAAAATGGACTACCATATGACCCAGCAATTCCACTCCTGGGGATCTACGCAAAGGACATAAAAACATTGATTCAAAAGAACACCTGTACCCCTACATTTATTGCAGTACTATTTACAATAGGTAAAACCTGGAAACAACTCAAATGCCCAAAAATAGATGACTAGATCAAGAAGGTGTGGCACATATACACAATGGAATATTATTCAGCAATCAAAAAAGATAAACTCATGCCATTCGCAGCAACATGGATGGAATGTGAAGGTATTATGCTCAGTGAAATAAGCCGGAAGGAAAAAGAAAAATATTGGATGGTTTCACTTATAGCAGGAATATAGGGGAACCCAATAAGACATCAGTGTAAAAAATTAATAACAGTACAAAATACAACAAAGCAAAACCAGACAATTGTAAATCAGAGACATCCTGCAGGGGAGGAGGCAGGAGAGGGATCAGAGGGAGGAAGGGAGGAGCACAAGGGACTGTGGTGATGGTGCACGGGTGCACTGGGGAAGGAAACCCTATGGGGACTACACCTGAGGGGGTGAGAGGAAGCAAATATTGTTTAAAAATGAACAATGGTGTAAAAAAATTATTTAATAAAAAAAACACACACACAAAAATCCCTGAAGCTGTTGACCTAAAAAAAAAAAAAAAAGGAGCTGAAAAGTCTAGAACATAACTTCATGGCATGAGGAAAAACACTTAAGAGGCAATGAACACCTTCTCTACAGTAAAGCAAAAGCAAACATGAGAGATCAGAGGAAGCTAGTATCAGAATTTTTTTTTTTTAATATTTATACACGCACTGGGTACAGTCAGAAGCGCGGGAGGGTGAGAGAATTCACCAGAGCCAGAGCGGGGAGCAGAGCAGGCAGAAGGACCAAAGTACACTGCTGAGGGGAGCAGCGGGCGGCAGGAGAGGTCTGCGTGCCATGTGGCGCTGCAGAGGCTGCAGGCAGCTTCGCAACCCAGCGCTCAACCGCTGCGCCACCGGGTGAGGCCCAGTATCAGAATTTTTTGTCTTAGTGACATAATTAGTCTGGTGAGCCCCACTACAAGGCTCACCAACGGAAAGTTAATAGCACCCATTACAGAAATTCTTTTAAGTAGAAAAAAGAAGAAAATTAAAAATACTTTATTTCCTTAGTCTTGAAGGGGAAGAAAAGGTTAAATAAAGTGGTGATTTACACAAATGGACCTTTTTAAAAGGAATGTGTCATACATGACTGCACTTCTTTGAATTTTATTTTACATAATCATTTTTCTTAAAATACGAACATGAAGTTTATCAGTGTCTAATGCTGATAATTATAAAAAAGAACTCCAGTACATCAATTGTGAACAAAAATATACTCTCCACCTAGGTATATAATACACCTAGAATAAAGTTATCTATTTCACCAATTTAGCCAAATTTGACAACATAATTTCCTGTTGGTTGTGTTAATTACAGGCATGAAATCTGGGCAGAAGTTCCATTTCTGTAAGACTCTGTGCACATTCAAAGAAAGAAACAAAAAGTATGGCAAATCAAAAGAGCTCTGCTTTTCAAAGTCCGTATTACCTCATCTGTGTAGATTACTTCATAGAACGAAGTATCTATTGTTCAAACCCTTTCAGGTTTGGTTAAAATTACCATTGAATTCATAGGGCAAAGTTTTAATAGCACTGAATGAAAAGCTAAAAAAAAAATTGAGTAAAGAAGTTCTGGAGATAAGGTAAAATATTAGAGAATATTTACAGATCAGTTACAATAAAATTTAAGTTAAATTTTTGCCTCATTTTATTTTATATTTTTTCATTGTAAAACTGAATATATATCTAACTCTGTTTATCAAAAGGAACAAAGAGTTTTCTTACAATATTCAGAGGTTTGCTTTCACAACTTTCTTGCAAGAAGTTGTGACCAGTTACTTGAAAGTAGGCATGTTTGTTACAAAAAAACTACACTTATTAATGTACTTTCTTTTGGTAGAAAACTGTGTTTGCTTATTTAAATTTAATAGTTATTTTGTCTTAAGAGATTGAATTGCTCCCCAAGCTTACCCGTGATAACTAATTGCTATCTATGACCTCCTTGATATTATAATGAACTCAACCAGAACATAAAAATGTGAAGTATCTGAAAGTCTATTTTCTTTGTAAAATTAATTTTAGTAATTAAAGGTAATAAATTATTCTACTAGATTAACTTGATTGAGCAAAATCTCATTATTCTGCACTACCCAAATTTCCACATTTGGAAAAGATCATATTAAAAGTGTTAGAGGACCTCCCCTGGTGGTGCAGTGGTTGAGCAGTGGGTTGCGAGGCTGCCCCGCAGCCTCTGCAGCGCCAGTTCGATCCCCGGCCACTGGCGAGGGTCCCACAAAAAAAAAAAAAAAAAAAAAAAAAAGTGTTAGAAACAGCTCATTTGACTTTTGCATGATGACAAAGGCCCCCATTAAGGAAGAAAAGTTTATAATAAAATCAATTTCTGGCATCACTGCTGCCAAAATGAAGAGAGCTCTTCCTGGAAAGGATTTGAGTTAAGTAAGTGCTAAGAAGGTCTGCATCCTGGCCAGGAGATTGGAAATCCAAAGTTGGTCACACCTTCTCCCTCTGGTCTGGGGTCTCCTTCTCTAGACATGTGGGCACTTCCACCCTTCCTGCAGAGGACCAGGATGGCTCACCTCCAAGAGCTTCCATTATCTGCTCAGGGGTCGGCTCCACATGGTTCCTCAGCAGGGTGTAGATGGACATCACCATCCCGGGGCTGCAGAAGCCACACTGCGTGCCGTGGCATTTGGCGAGTCTTTCCTGAGAAGAAGTGTACATTATTTGCACTTGAAACCTCTCGTTTGCCTACTTTGGTCACCAGGCAGGAACAATGCTTATATATTTCGCTTTCCAGAAATACCTGCAGGGTAATAGATGTCATTCTGGGGAAAAAACAGCAACTTTCATTTCTTGAAATCATATTTGTTATTTTCCCCTTCAAGAAAAACCTAGTGTCAGGCATTAAGTCACTTTACTCTTTAGATGCTGGTTTCTTTATAGGTGAAATGGGAAGCGTAGTTCAGAAGAATAAGCAAAAAGCGTTTATGTCTATATGAGTTTTGGTCCTTCCTGCAACTGATTAGTTGTATGATCTTTACTGACTTACTTGACTTTTTCTTCACCTTTAAAATTAGGATAATACAATTCCATAGAACACCTGCACCCCTATGTTTATAGTAGCACTGTTTACAATAGCTAAGCTTTGGAAACAACCCAAATGCCCAAAAATAGATGACTGGATCAAGAAGATATGGTCCATATACACCATGGAATATTACTCAGCATTCAAAAAAGATAAACACATGCAATTTGCAGCAACATGGATGGCGCTGGAAGGGATCATGCTCAGCGAAATAAGCCAGAAAGAAAAAGAAAAATACCGGATGGTCTCACTCATAGCAGGAATCTAGAAAACTTAAATAAGGGACCAGGAAAATGAATAACTATAAGAAAGTGAAAATCAGAATCAACAAAAAACTATGAAACAGAGACACTTTTGGGGGGGTGGGGGCGGGAGGGGAGGGATTGGGATCAGAAAGGGGGGGGTTGCAACTGTATGGGGAATATAAAAATAAAATTTATTATTAAAAAATAAAAAAAAATAAAAATAAATAAAATTAGGATAATAATGGTATCCACTTGACAGGAGGTGGTGAGGATAAATGAATGACTATATGCAAATCATTGCGCATAGCCTCTGGCAAGCCATTGTCATGCCCTTCACCATCTCTATTAGAGAGCTTTTGATGGTTAGATGACATCATCTATAGAAATGCTTTGAATATTGTAAATTCATATTTAGTAGCATTGTGTCATCCTCATAATTAATTTATTTTTAAAAATTTATTTATACATACAAGAACTGAGGTACAGGCTAGAGGTGTGTGTGTGTGTGTGGAGGGGGTGAGAGGATTCACCAGAGACAGAGTGGGGAGCAGAATAGGCAGATTGACTGAAAAACACTGCAGAGGGTGAGACAGGAGAGGTATGCTGCACCATGTAGGTCTCCTCCCTGGCCAGGGATGGAACTTGTTCTACAGAGGCTGCAGGCAGCTTCATAGTGCTGCGTCTCACCCCCTTGTGCCACCAGGGAGGCCCCAAGAGAAGGAATTTCATGGTGATAACATAGCTCATAATTTTCTTTCTACACTCTGCTTTTAAAACAATGTCTGCAGAAATTCCTATTCTTGTATATAAAAATAACATTACCATTTCTTTAAAAAGTTTTCTAAGCTTTATTGAACACTTTGCATTTGGATTAAATGTGTTTTATTGTAGCACGGTATACAATCACTCCTGAGACATTTGGGGAGTGATTTGTACACACAATTAGCCTTTTTATTAGAATTCAGTCATTTTGAAATGTGGTAGACAACTAGTATCTTCTAGGAACTTCTAGTCTCCTATCTCATTTTCTTTTATCATACTGGACTGTCCTTATTTTAGTTTAAGTCAAGGAGAGGTCTGAGAAGTTAAGATATATTAAGATATATCATTAAGATACATTAAAATGAATGCAGATTTATTATAGTTCTTTGGGTTAAGATATAGTTACATCAATGAAGGGATATATTTTATACACCAATCTATGAAAAGATCCATAACTATGAAACACTGAATTATAAAATGAGAATTTAATAATGTACAAAGGATCTCAAGGTTAATGACCTAATGGGAGTCCTTGGAATACTCAGAATGTCTATGACAGTCCCTGCTCCCAGCCGCACTGTGCTCTCACCTGCACAGGGTGGATCCTGGTTTTGATACTTCCTACCCCTTCCACGGTGGTGACCGCAGCCCCATGCAGAGAGCAGATGGGCACCAGGCACGCAGTGACTGGATAATGACTGTGAGGGAATTATGTCAAGAAAACTCATTGGACTTGCAGGGTAATGTAACTCAGGCAGCTATTTCAGGTCAGGAAAGACATAAGACTTGCACTTCCCTGAGCATACAGAGACCCCTAGATATAAAACTATAAATGTCTGGATGTGTCTGAGGAAGGGCTTACATATGACTAGAACTGAATAATAGAAAGAAAAGTTGAGAAAAGAATAATAAAGAGTTTTAGGTAGGACCTCAAAGAGACTCTCATTCTCCATTCCTCCCCTCGTTCTCGGAAAAAGAAGTCTTGTCCTCATCACAAGATGATGTATTAGCTTATATAAGCTGCCATGGGGTTGTTGAGTGCAGTGACTCTCAACTGTGCAAAGTTTTAATAGATAATCTGATTGCACATTCCCTAAATTAAATCAGAATTTCCGGGGTGAGAGCAATTCATCATTTTTAAAACTCCACGCGGACTCCAAGCATGACTGGCCATCTCTCCCGCACAGTGTCTATAGTAATGACTGCAAGTAGGCAGCCCCATAGTCTCAATTCACTTTTTGGGAACGGGGTCCAGAGTTCATCGCTTCAGTTTTGCCTCTTAATTCCCACACTGGCTAAGTTCTAATCTCTTTTCAGGTGTGGGGATTGTCCCTTTCCCTTTATTGTCCTACTCAAGCTGAGAAAATGAAGAAAGGATAAGAATGTAGTTCTTGGCTCCAGCAGCCTTTTGACTCACAGAAGCGAGTCCCCAGTTGGACCGAACCGAATAGAGGCCCTGGAAGAGCATTTGATACACAGAGTCAGGGCAGGTCCATTGGGTGTCTTCCAGTTTCCCTTTCATAAAGTTTACCTCCTCTAATCTTATCTCAGTCTCCTCTTCTCTCAATAATGCTTCCTCCCCTCTTTGCCCTGCTAGCCTGACCTCGCTGCTTTCTGGGAGCTAGAGGTGAAGGCTCCTTCACTTCCAGCTGCCACTGCGCCCCTGAGCTGCAGTGAGTCTCACATCCACTTCAGGTCCAGAGGGTGAGGGATCTTCCTCCCCTGCACCCTGGACACCATCTATTCCTGTCTTGCCATGGTCTTGCTCCATCATCAATTGTCCTCCTAACCTGTTTGCTCCTAAGATCTCATTTCCCTAACCTGCTTTGAATCAAGAAATAGATTCAAATGTTTGCTGTGCTAAAAACAGAATCTCAAAACTTATGTCTCTCCCCAGCTACATGCCCATCTTTTGTGTCTTCATCAAGTTTCTCCGAGAGCTATCCACAATGTCCCAGCCTTCCAGTCAGTCCTGTACCACCTCTACTGTGCTGCCCAGCTTTCTATCTGAGGACATTGCTTGGAGAGCAACTTAGCAGCACTGAGGCGCTCTGGTATTTCATACTCCTTCAGCTCTGCCGGCTCTCTGTCTCCTTGATGGAGGTCTCTTACTTTGCCAGTCTCCCTGGCTGTATTTCCGTGGGGGTCCACACTCATAAGCCCCTCCCGCAGCTCCTGTTGCCTTCCACAGCTAGCACTCAAAGCTTGCTCCTGCCATCAATCGGCCATATGACCCTCGCAAGTTAACTCCCCTTGCCTCTCTTTCCTCTTTTTACAATGTGAGTGATTGTGATGTTTATTTTAAAGTTGTTTGTGTTTGGGGCACCAAATGTGATAATATAGTAGTCCCTTGCTATCCACATGAGACCTGTTCCAAGAATCCCTAGGATATCTAAAACTGCAGATAGCCAATCTACAAATACTGAGTTTTTCCCTGTACATACATATGATAAAACTTAATTTACAATTAAACTCTAAAATTAATTTATAAATTATAATGCATAAATTTATAATTTAATCACCATGGTTCTGGAGCCATCTACCAGAATGATGTTATCTCATCTCTGTGTTTAAGCCACTCTTGCCTGAAGCCCCACCTCCCCAATCTCCAAAATCTACTTAAAAGCAGAGGACGTGGGTGCATAGCAATCGGGAGCATGCCCTGAGAGACTGGAGCCCAGGACAGATATATTCCCATAGGAGCTTAGGAGTGCATGCGGGCCAGGAAAGAGGGAGGGGCTGTTTATCCAGGTGTGCCCAGAGCAGGGCTGGTTCAAGGCAAAGGATACTGGATCTTCTTGGTCTTGGGATCATATCTCGACACCATGACGGTGCAGGCGCCACAGCCTCCTCCCCCACAGCCATACTTGGTGCCTGTGAGGCGGACTGGAAGGAAGGGAGTCAAGGAAATAGCGCTCAGGCCACTTTGCTTTTCAGACTTCTCTCCTCCTGCTATCAGTAACAAGTATCAGGTTTTCTTGAGTTTGTACCAAGTTTTCTTGCTTAAATGCCCAAAAATAGATGACTGGATCAAGAAGATGTGGTACATATACACCATGGAATATTACTCAGCATTCAAAAAAGATAAACACATGCAATTTGCAGCAACATGGATGGCGCTGGAAGGGATCATGCTCAGCGAAATAATCCAGAAAGAAAAAGAAAAATACGGGATGGTCTCACTCATAGCAGGAATCTAGAAAACTTAAATAAGGGACCAGGAAAAAGAATAACTATAAGAAAGTGAAAATCAAAATCAACAAACAACTATGAACCAGAGACACTCTATGGGGGGTGGGGAGAGGGGAGGGGAGGGATTGGGGTCAAAATAAGGGGGTCGCAATTGTATGGGGAATATACAAATAAAATTTATAATTATAAATTAAAAAAAGAGAGATTGTTCTGCTTTCGGCATATAAATGAACTCATTGATGAAAGACTGCTGAGGAGAAATCCTTGCAGACCCACCTGCACACTGAATTATCTAAAAACCTTGGGGACCAGATGCATTTCTGAATACAGAATGTTCCAGATTTTAGAAAAGCATAAGATAGCATTCCCAAGGGGCTCTAGGCAGCAACTTGTAATCAAACACCAGAATATCTCTGCCAGGAACCATATGGATATTCAAATTAAGTGAGATCCACAAAGACTACAAAGAAACTTGTATCTGGTTAGGTGAGGATTTGCATCCAAATGAGATGTGCAAACTTACTGAATTCAAAACTGTGAACCTGCTGGTTCTGGATTCATGGAATGTTCTCACTGAGGAGGTGATGGGAGGTGTGCAAAACTCAGAAAATCCCCGTGGGAGGTTTAGCTTTCCATGGTTCAGCAGTGTGAAGGCTTCTGCCTTCTGATGGGATTAGAGATTAATTTAATCACTTTGGTTCCAGAGCCAGTAATATCAACAGTCCCTGTGTACATTTTCTCCATAAGAAATTTGCATATTTCATAAAAAGAGAACAAATAATATATGGAAATTCTCTGCTTTCTTTTCTATAAGAATCTACTGAAATTCACATTTTTTTTCTTCTTCTTCTAGCTGAGGTTTAAAAAGGATTTCATGGGTGGAGGTCATAATTGACTTGGGTGGAGGTTAAGACTAACTTTATCTTGGAAACTGGACCAAGAGGCCCCTGGGGGTAAGAGCTGGGAAGTTCTCTACCAAGGTCCAGAGGGGCCGCACATCCCCCTTCTGTTATTGGTCCCTAGGTGGAGCCAGTTCTGTCTGCTCAGGCAGTTTGGATTTTCCACCTCCAGTCAGGGGCTGGATTCACGCTTGCAACACCTCAGAAGAGCTCAACGGAAAGGGCACGAGAGGCCAACTCACCTGTCCTCTTTGCTGTTGGCACCCTGAAATGTCCAAGCAAAGCAATCCAGGTGTTGTGTGATTCCAAGAGGGGAGGCCACACTTCACTTTCTTGGGCCTTAAAATAGTGCCTTGATCACATGTTAATGCTGGCCTAAGTGAAAAATTTTGTCCTCTGACCAAAAACAACCAGTTTGATACTCCCACCACCCTCACCAGAAGTGCCTGACTCAAGCAGTTACTTCCCTCCTCCGTGGATGCATCATAAAGGCCATCATTAGGGAGGGTTCCTGGATAAAATATAGTCTGCAGGCGAAATCTGAATTTCAGATAAGCAACTAATACTCTCTTAGGCAAGTATGTTCTATGCATTCAAATTCAGATTTAATGGGGAGTCTTCTATTTGCATGTGCTAGGTCTGGCAACCCTCCTTAAGTTCAAATATAAACTAGACATCGGAAACTTGTTTTTTCAAGTGGAAAAGTTTCTCAGTGTCCCCAAGATACACAGCCCCACAGCATATCCAGAATGTCCTGAGGTGCCAATGTGTACACTGGAATTCTACTGGGATCTGGTCACTCATCAGTGAGTTGCCGTGTCCACTATGCAAGACAGGGCATGTGACAGGGTCAACCTTGATCCTTGGCCTCCAGGACGTCACAGCTTATTTCTCTTCCTTTATCTCTCATCACTTCCTCCCACCACCTACAACTCTTAAACCACTGTATTCTCTTGTCTCAGCTTCCCGCACTCCTTTCTTCCCCTCCTGCTAACAGGAATACCCTCTCCCCCAAACTTCTGTTTGTCCAGAAGATTCTTCCTCAACCCTCATCTCTTTCTTTCCTCCCAAGCCCAGTGTGAGTGCCAGCCCCTGTGTCCCCACAAGTCACTCTTGCCTCCTCACCGCTGTCTCTCCCACTAGACTGAAGGCAGATGCTATCTCTTCCAGCTGACCTCGGAGCACCTGCTAATTGGTCAAGTCTGTTAGCTGTGTGAGGAATTATCTCAAAAACTGTAATAAGTGTTAGGGCTTCAGTGATGAGCACGTAAAGGGTATAGGCAAACAAGACCAATGGTTAGGGAACCTCTGAGCCATCCCATTTCCTCAGTTTTATCCTAGGGTCAGAATCTCACGGAAACAAAGCAGCTCTAAAATGACATACCCTCCTTGTCCCAAGTAGCTGTGGGCTCTTTGGGGTGCATTATCTCACTCTGCAGATCAGATTGCTTCACACCTGGCCAGGAGGTGACAAGGGAGAGGTGATACAGGATCACACCCAGCAGGTCTGGGCAGGGCAGGGCGTGGGGTGGGTGACTCAGGGATGGCAGGTGATGGGCTCACCTCCAAACACATTTTGTTCTTTGTGACTATGTCCTGTTCTGAGAATGACACAGAGGACAGGTCCCAAGTCAGCAGTGAATTAAAGTTTTGTGGGAGCCTGAGGAGTCTATAGAATTACAGATCTACCTTAAGGAGAAGAATGTAAAATCATGCATATAAGTTTATTATTATTGTTTTTCATCAGCACACAGTTTTTTCACAGCAAGTTGATTGAGGGAATGAAAAAAGGAAAGAAAGACACCTGCACAGACACAGACAGGCAGGCTTAAAAGACAAGAGTTGCATTTTTGAAAGGCTTAAGTTTAAGAAAAGAAATGCCCGCATGCACACAGGCAGGCAGTGAGCTGCCCAGACATAAGTTTATGTGCGGAGCTTTGAACGCGGTCAAAAAAGCCTTATAAAAAGCAAAGGCGGCTGGTGCTGGTCGGTGCTGATTCCGGCAGAGAATCTGCGCTACCCACAAATATTCAAGTTACTCACAACTTGAGGAACAAATTAAAAATAAAGCTCCTGACTCCACTCTGGAAAGGAATGGGCAGAAGGGGCGCTGGGGAGAAGGGGTGGGGCCCGAGACAGTGTTCCTAGGGCCCTCTGGTCAGGCTTATTCAGGAATCCACTTTCAGCTGAATACAGATTAATTTCTTCATTTAAGTTATTGACAGAAAGCCTGGGAAAGTATGTAGTGGATTTAGAACTGACAGAAAAGCAAAGTGATGGGTGACTACTAACGACATTTTGAAGCTGAATAAATTGGTGATGGAGCAGAACCAATGAGGAGAATTTGGATATTGTGTGTGTGTGTGTGTGTGTGTGTGTGTGTGTGTGTGTGTGTGAGACTATAAACCCAGTTCCTGGAACGGGGCCTTAGGGAACGATAATGGCTATCGTAATAAAATGACTGGGTAAGAAACCAGACCTTACAAGCCAACACAGGTCATTTACCTAGAGCAAAATCAAGGTGCCTCTCTTTATAAGTCATAGTATGTTCTCTTTTTACCACCCAATCCAGATTGATTGCAGCCAAATATAAGGATATGGACTTTCCTCAGGTAGAATAGCAGATTCACTTCAGGATCAGCATTCTTCTCTATGACCTATGTTGTGAATGAGAGAAGGGATTTTAGAAAGGTATTACCAACATGTTATACAATTCTGTTCATTATTTGGGGGGTTTGTTATTGAAAGAAGGTGGTTTCATGGGAAAAAATAATAAACTTTTCTAACACTTGGGACCAGAATTTTCAAGAAGTTATGGAGAATTTTTTCAATGTCTGAATTTTCCAATTTTTGTGACAATTATAAAGTCTGGATTGTTTTTCCTTAGCATTACTGAGGAAGGGCCCTGAAGGCGTTCCTGGACCCAGCTGCAGTGTGGGTGTATGTGGAGGCTTTCCTACACCAACAAGCGAGCCTCAGACACCAGCAGGGTATCTAAGTATCTAACTTAATTCAGCTCAATCCTGACACTATCTCCCCATAGACAGAATCAGATTCCACAGGGTTAAGGACTTGTTGCCCAAGATCACCCTCTTCAGATACCAGCTGCAAACCCAGGCAAAACCAAACCTGTGACCTATGCTTCTTACCCAGGATTCCAGATTAGAGAGCCCCATAGCCCTTCCTCTAGCTTCAGCTGCTAGTCACGAACTCAGGTTATTGCCCATGTTTCTGACTGACTGGGATAAATCAGAGAGGTTCCCATAACTCCCTTCTTCGTTTTGATTAATTTGCTAGTGTGGCTCACAGAACTTAGATCTTTCTGCTCATTAGATCACGAAATTATTACAAAAGGATATAACTCAGGAGCATCCAGACGGAAGAGATGTACAGGGCAAGGTGTGTGGGGAGGGGTGGAGCTTTCATGCCTTCTCCATGTGCTCCCCTCTCCCAGCAGCTCCACAACCTGGAGGCTTTCTGAACCCCATCATCTTAGTTTTTATGGAGGTCACATTAGTTAGGCACAATTGACTACATCACTCATGATTGGTGATTGTTTCAACCTGGAGCCCCTCTCGCTCTGTGGGTGGCACCGGAAGTTTCTACCCTCTAATCACTTAGTTGGTTCTCAGGCAACAAGCCTTCATCCTTAGGTGCTTCTGAAAGTCACCTCATTCATATAACAAAAGACACCTTTCCCATTCTAGACATGAAATTCTGAGTTTGGGGAGTTGTGAGTTGGGAATTAAGGGCAAAAGCAAATTCATATGAAAATTATAATTTGATCATCGGAATGATCAAAATGATCAAATCACCGGAAATATATATTTCTTAGCAATAAGTATCACAAACCCAGATGGGAAAACATGCGCAGATTACAAAATTGACCCAGATAACTCAAGGCCATATATAGTCATAAAAATGGTTAGTCAGAGATTTCCTAAGGGAGTCGCAGGGAGCATGTTATGCAGGAGGCAATTCTGTCCATACTCCCTCTCCATCAGGTATCTCCACTCTGGCTGTCAGATTGTGCTCCAGGCTGCTCCGATAATCAAAGCCAGCAAATGAGATGAAAGCTGTGTGCTCTCCTGGCCCAGGAAGTACCTCTGCTAGGAAGAGTCAGGCAAGATCAAAGGGAAGAATTGGAGAGAAATTTACCTGGAAGGATAGTGACACTGAAGGATAGTGACACAGAAATAGAGGGCATCATCCCACTAAAAGTGTTATTTATTTTTATCACCCCTGACAAAGGCAAGAGACCTGCATTATTCTTCATATACTGCCTCCTATTTCCAAATCTCCTTTTGAGTCCTCAGAAGATCACTCAGCCAGATCTGAACTCACCATCCAATCTTCTTGGAATTGTAGCATGCAGAAGGGACTAAGTATGGTGGCATTACAGAAGCAAAGCACTACAGTAATATTTGCTGTAATACCCTCATTGTGTGACTTTGGAAATTTTTTCCAAAGGTAGAAAAATAGGAATTAGGGGAACAAGATGATAGGTGGGCTAGGACTACTATTCCTTTCTCCCGTCTGCCTTGTATTGAGGGGACACAGCCTGTTAACATTATTCTCTGCTATAAAGACATCAGTATTCCTGATACAGCATTCCATGTAAACAATACTTCCTCCCCAATCAGTTTTAGCTGCCTCTCAGTGCAACGCTTCTTTAATGCTTCCATCCATCATGATATTGTCTCAGGCCCAATATATGATATATGGCATTTGGAGAATGAAGATTCCAAAGGAGGAGGCAAGTCTAGATTTGGGGTATTTAATTAAAGGCTGTCAACTGCAATTCTGATATATCAAATGCATCCTATTTCTGGCCATTTATTTCTTTATTTATCTATTTATCTAAAATATTTATTTATTTATGCATATAAGAGCTGGGGTAAGGGCCAGAGATGTGGTGAGTGAGAGGATTCACCAGAGACAGAGTGGGGAACAGAACAGGCAGACTGACTGGAATACACAGCTGAGGGGAACAGCGGGTGAAACCCTGCACCATGTGGGTTTCTCCCTGGCCGGGGATCGAACTCGTGCTGCAGAGGCTGCGGATTGATTTATAGTGCAGTGCTTGACCCCTTGTGCCACCAGGGAGGCCCCTTCCTGGCCATTTAGAGACTACTTATATATCATGTAAGAAATACTGTTCATACCATTAGTCACACTACTATCCTGTCCTGGTATGTTCTATTTTTTCAACAATTTATAGACAGTTGGGAAATCTTAATTTTTTTTAGTAAGCAAATGAAAAGCATACAAGTGCTTCAGTAAACTCTTATAATCAGAGAGGCTAATGAAACCACAACAAGACACCACTTACATTAACCTTAGCCAACCTCAGATTAGCTAAGCCTGGGAAGTTTGATTATACCAAGTACTGGCACTTCATAGATTGGCACATCTATAAGGCAAGGAAACAGCATCGTTATGCAATACATTGCAAGAAATTTAACCGGTGCAAGCCTGTGGAAAGTCACCTGGCGTGACATTAGCAGGCTACAATCTCACTTAGAGATTTCCTTTCCAGAGCCAAAGAGGAGGCACATGGTAGGCTGTTCATTGTAGCATTTCTTGGGTAGTGGAGAAATGTCCCGTGTGTATCTGTCACTGTGGTAATAGAGAAGAATGAAGGATATGGTATCCTGGAGAACTATGTGTGCAGAAGGAAAGAGCCAAGTGTTCAAAGAGCAACACTGATAGATCTTATAAACTGTGCTGAGTCACAAGAGAAGCAAATGGAGATTGATAAAAAATAATACCACTGTATAAGCAAATAATACACACATCTGTATTTCTAAATAACCATATGGAAAGTAAATAGAATATATATATATATTTATATGTATAAATATTTACACACAGATATATAGACTATATCTCTATATCTCTATATGTAATTTTAAAAGCACAAGTGTATATATGCAGGAAGGAAATAGAAGATAGGAAATAAAAAGAAAAAATAAAATAATATAAAAAATAGGGCCTCCCTGGTGGCGCAGCGGTTGAGTGCTGGGTTGCGAGGCTGCAATGCCTGCAGCGCCGGTTCAATCCCCGGCCACCGGGCGAGGGTCCCACATGGCGCGCAGACCTCTCATGCCGCCCACTGCTCCCCTCAGCAGTGTACTTTGGCCCTTCTGCCTGCTCTGTTCCCCGCTCTGGCTCTGGTGAATTCTCTCACCCTCCCGCTCTTCTGGCTGTACCCAGTGCTTGTATAAATAAATAAATAAATCTTAAAAAAAATAAATAATATAAAAAATAAATGCGAAGTCTTGTCCAGATTGTGATAATGATGTATTATTGATCAGGGAGTATGCTTTGCCCAACCTATGTCCCTCAGTCTAAAGAAGGTCAAACAACCACAAAAATAAAAACAAAACCATTTTGTCATAGAATTGTATTTATATATACTTTCTTCTGATGCCATCTGTAACTTGTCTTACAAATTTGTAAAACAGAAAAGGGTAAAAACAGCAAAATATAGGCTGCATTTGAAAGACCGCAAACTTGAAGAGGGATAACCATTCTAATGTGCTTCTAGAGATTAAGCCAACAGAGCAGCAAGACCCATTTTCTTCACATTTAGAAAGTTCTTAGGTTTTGAATATCTACAATTTGTTACTCAGCAGTCGTTTTTCTGATTTTTCCAGTCAGCGTGTTCAAAATCCTGCACTATCAGCAGACAGTATTGCTAAACCCATTTTCTTCACTCTTTTCTTTCTTCTTCACTTTTTTTCAGTTCATAGTTTTCCTAAAAATGATGTTTCCCTGCTATCTTGCCTTAATTAAAAGTTGTTTTCTCCTTTAGAGATGAATGGAATCCAATAAAATTGAGACTTGGAGAAATGAAAGCATTAACACAAAATCCTTTTCACAATAAATATCTATTTTAAATTTTTACTAGGCTTTTTTCTAATTGTTCACAAGCACCTCAAGCTTTCTATTCATTTTGTAAATTAAAGTACTGGGTTGAGAAGGGTTGGCATAGCTAAGCTTTAGAGTTGCCACATCTCTTCCATGGTGCAGAAAGCAGTCTATTAATTCCATCAGACAGACAGAGACGCTTCAGTCTGTCTCCTCAGTCCGAGGAAATTAAGTAAGGCAAAGGAAAATTATTGAGTCTTGTGATTTTTATTGTCCTCAGTGTCACAAATGCCTCCCTTTAAAAAAGCAGTGGTGAAATCAAGTAGAGCTAGTTGAAATAAAGGGGGAATGACAAAATTTTCATATCTGTGTCCTGGAGCCCAACTGTCAGAATGCACCCCCATTGTAATATAAGATACAAAAATGAAGCTCTTCACTGATTCTGAAAAAAAGTAAAGAACTGGCAAAGTCCCCTGGCTTTCAGAATTTTGTACTAAACCTTGAACTAATGATCCATGTTCAAGGCCACATCTCGATATCTGACTTCAAAAAGACACAAGAGAGAGAGGTTAAGGAAATAAAAAGCAGCATCCTAGTGTCCAAAAAAATTAGCTTTACTTTCATCCCTGGTATATGAAAATTCAAATTAATCAGCACACACACTTACCTTTTTTCCATTCACAAAAAAAATGAGCTCATCAGAACTGGGAAGAGAAGGCATCATGCCAGGGAAATATACTCCACCAGGAGAGAGCTTTTTTTGTTTTCTAAAAAGCAGATATGTGGGAACAAAAACCTGGACGCCTAGGAGCTTTGGGGAAGCCCAAACTGCAGCAGCAGGCTGACAGGGGGTGATTTATAGCCTCACTGCCAGAAGAGGCGCGCCAACTGCAGCCTCCGCCTGGCCCAAGAGCACCGCAGAGGCTCTTGGCAAAGGCCCGCCTGGCTGCCGCCTTCCCATGAGTCAACTTGAGTATTTGCCTGTGCCCTTTGGAGTCCAAGAGTGGTTTCCCTAGGGGTATGAGCTGAAAGCCAGGGATTAGCAAATGAAAGTGAGTTTTAAACATGTTATTATTATTTTTATTAGACTAGCCAAGCTATCCATCAATAAAAAGCTATTAAAATTCATCAACCTTTAATTCTTTCTTGGGTTTTTTCTTGTGTTAAAGGGCAAAGGGAAGATTTCATCATGCACAGAAAGTAAAGACTTCATAAATATGTTTTTTAAACTTGATTATAACCACCTTCAAGTTCATTTTCTTTCCTTAACTTTTTGGTTCTCACTTATTCCCTCAAATGTAAGGGTTCAGATCATCCCCCTGTGGAGGACTGTGGGCATGGCCACAAGCTTGCATGTGCCGAGACTGTTCTGAAGATTCCTTTACTCCCCCAACAGCTTCACTTTATGGATGAAGAAACTGAAGCACAGAGACATTAAGCAACTTGCCGATCTCACAGGGGCAATGGGTGGGACAGTTGCCCCAGAACCCCTCTCTCTAACCTCCTTCCTGTGTTCCAGATGGCAACATGGAGGAAGTGAGGCCGGTCACAGATTTTGCAAGAGGCCTTGTAGGCATGGAAAGGGTTTTGTCGAGCATTCTGAATATGATGAGAAGCCATTCCAGGGTTTTGAAGAGTGGGTGACAGATTTTGATTTAATTTTAAAAAAATATTCTTTGCTTCACAGAGAATGAAGGGTTTTGGCAAGCCTGGGGAAGGAGACATGATTAGATATTATGATGGTGATAGAGTTAAGAGATGATGAGGTTTGGACTAGGCTGATAGTGGGGTGAGACAGATTAGAAGTGAGTGAGTGAGAAGGGGTGAGACAGATTAGAAGTGAGTCACATGTGACGGATTGGGGGACCAGAGTGTCTCTACAGCATTTGGGCTGAGCAGTGAATGGGCTATCTTTTACATCATGCGTTCTGTTTGAACATGTTAAATTTGAGAAGTTTAAGAAACATGTAAGTGGAGATGGTCAATGGGTTGTTGGATTTTTAAAGCTACTTTCTTTGCTTTCTGTCTTTTTTTCCCCCCAAGATTTATTTTTATTTATTTATGTGTACAAGAATTGGGGTGTAGGCCAGAGGTGTGTGGGGGTATGTGTGTGTGAAAGGATTCACCAGAGACACAGTGGGGAGTAGAACAGATGGATTTACTGAAATACACTGCTGAGGGGAGCAACGGGTAAATCAGGAGAGGTCTGCCGCTCCATGTGTCACCACCCTGGCTGGGGATCGAACTCAGGCTGCAGTGGGATCGAACTCAGGCCATAGTGGCTGGTGATAGCTTGATAGCACTGAGACTTTAACCCCTGCACCACCAGGGAGTCCCTGCTTTCTGTCTTGAGGAAAGGAAGGACTCCAGATTTGGGGCAGAATTTCACCTCAGAGACTCCAGCACAGTGTTCTTTCCAGCCCCAAACAGGGGTTTGAAGACTGAATAGGAGTTTACCAGATGACCAAAGAAAGGACTATTTGTGAAAAGTCAAAGAAATCTGAAATCATGTATTACATTTCAGAGATTTACATGTAGTGTAACGGGGTGGTCCCCAGGAAAGGGGGAGGTTCCAGGTTTCCTGCCCCACCCAAAGGGAGGGTGGAGCTGAGCAGGGAGAGAAGCTGCAGAGGAGAAAAGGAAGGAAGGAAGGAAGCAGGATGGAGAGCCAGAAGGAGACCTGGAGGAGGCACGTGGAGCTGAGAGACACGTGAAGAAACTGCGCTTGCCTTTTGGTCATGGACTGGGTGACACAGATGTGGGTGAGAGACCCGTGGGGAGGTGACAATGGCAGTTTTTGTCTTGATTTTGATTTTGTTCTTTTCCCTCCAGACCTGTCTGGTTGTTTCTGATCCTTTTCTGTGGGTCCCCTCTGGAAGATGCTTTAGACTGTGGCAGACTTTGGGACCTTGCTCTAGGCCAATCCCATTTGGATGGAGTTTTACCACAAGGGGACGGGTAACTTCGGGTTCTTGATTTAGAAACTGTATTCTTTGTCTTTTCTGTATTGTTCACTAATTGTATTAAAGTTCCTTCCCACTAAAGTCTCATTTGTTTTGTGTTGATGCGGCGGATGGCAGAACCTATTTTGAGCAGGCAGGTTTGTGGGGTCTGGGGTGCCCCTCTCCCTGCCCTGTAACAGTAGTTATATTATATATATGTGACTTGCATGGGATGAGTGACAGGAATTTGAGTATCAAATAAAATCATTCACCCATTCAAAAATATTTGTGTACCTGACAAGAAATCTCTTCTCATGTAGCATAAGGTGTGTGTGTGTGTGTGTGTGTGTGTGTGTGTATGCGTGTGTGTTCATGAGAACCATAAAGTACTATACAAAATACCACATATTTCTAATACGGGGGAATAATAAGCAAGCAGAGAAACAAGATAACTTCAGGAAATGGTAAAAAAATCTGATGGACAGGGTAAGGGGCGTAGGAAGTAATTTGAAATACTCTTTTACGTACTATTGGGTAGTCGTTGCTGGAGTTGTTTGAACTGCATTCTAAAGGCAAGTCTGTGGAGAGAAGGTACAGAAAAAGAGTGGCTAGTTCAGTGGCCCCAAGGAAAAAGGGAGCTTGGCATGCTTAAAAGACAGTCACTATGGCTAAATGTGGACAGCAAGAGGAAGAGAGTCTGAGAGAAGGTCTGCAAGATGGCAGGAGCCAGGGCAAAGCATCTGCAGATTTGTAGGTGGGAAGAGAGTTTTGAACTAGGACGTAATGTAATGCGATTTGTGTTAAATCATTCTACTGTACAGAGTACCAGGCAGTATAGAGACCAGGTCTGAAGCCACTTCTCTGTGCCCTGATAGAGATTGATGGGGGCTTGAGGGAGGGTGTAGAGTGGTGCATCAGAGATAGAGAGAAGGGGCAGATTTGGCATGGATTTGGAGGTAGAACCAAGTGGATCAGTTGATAGATGAAATAGGGGCAGGGAGTAAAATAGAAGTCCTAGGGTTCTGGTTTGAACACTGGGGTCATTCTCTCTTTAAAGAGATAGGAACACTGGGAACAGAGTACTGGGAAGTGGCCCCTCTTGCATCTATTCAGTTCAAGTCGGCTATTTGACTTCCAACGGATGTCATTTGGATATAGGCATCCAGAGGTCCTGCATCTAGACTAGGAGGCCAATTTGAATGTCATCGGTTCATGAATAAGATAAGTGAAAACTCTGTAAGGACTATAAAATGTGAGGGAAAAAAGTCACATTCTGTTGTGGCAGGATCATTTGAAATATTAGCTGATGTGGATCTCCCTTGCGATTCCTTTCTTCACTCTTCAAACCTGGGTGAGAGCATTCCACAGCTGGGACTTCCTAGGAGGTTCTTATGGCAGGAATGCAAAATGAATTTACTCAAGGCTCAAATGAGTTTCAAAACAGGTCTTTGAAACTCTTGGCAGGGACATCAGGCACAAAGGGGAGGAGGGTAGCCAGGGCTGCCTGAGGTCCATGCCTCTCCCAATGTGCAGGTATACTGCAAGCACTTTTTACTCCTGGGCTTCCTCTAATGGAAGTCTGTGAGGTGGAAGAGGACCTGAGGTAGAATTTATGTATGTGTGCTTGTGTTTAAATTTGTGTCATACCTAACCTTTACTCCGTACTGAGTTCCAAAGGAGAATGCTCCCCTGTGTTTGTTCATTTAATTTTCCTGCTATTCTCTGAGGTGGGACTATAACCTCCACTTTACACAAGAGGGTTCTGAGACACCCAGAAGAAGATGGAATCCATGTCTTGTATATCTGAGTCTGTGTCCTGTGAAATTCCTATTTATGTGTTCACAAGCTTGTTTCCTCAACCGCCTAGTGAGACTGACTAATTCTGTTTCCCTGGAATGCTGGAATAGTCTACCCTAGCAAAGTAATGAAGTCCCCATTGCATGTGAAATAGAAACGCTTACAGCTTTTAAATGTCGGGGCAAGTTATGCCCTCACTTTTATCCATCCTGTTTTCACAAATCTTAAGGCCTGACTCTTGAGGCCTTCCAGGAATCTGATTGGTTGGCTTGATTTTACTACTGGTGAGACATGCTTGGTAGGACACCCAGCTGACCCTTCTGAGATGTGTTGGCGATTTCAAACCCAGACTATTCTGATGTCTTTTCGAGCAGATGGAACTGCCACGTCTCCTTGGTGAGTAGAAATGCGTATATATAGAACACCAACTGTTCTTACAGATTTAATAGCACACAGATCCTTCCGAGCCCTCAGGCTCCCTGTTCAAGCTTGTAATCAACCAGAGATGTGGTCACTCCGGAGCAGGTTTAAATCAGTAATTATGTCCTGGAGTTAGATATTTCTTAAGATCTAAGATAGTGGGAAATTTAGATCTTATCTTCTCAGTGAAATAAAACTATGGATTCTTCATTGTCTGGGTAGTCTCACCCTCACTGGAAATTCAGGCTTTTGGGGAAGTTTGGGTGCCTTGTCTACCTAGAACCCTCAGGTAAAATTCCTCTTTTAAGTCTAAAAGCATTCTCTGCAGAAAACACACAACACTTGCCGTGTGTAATAATCAGATATCCAGACAGAAATAAGGTTCCTCCACATAGAATTGTTACCCTTGCAAAACTTTACTCCTGTCCCTCACTATGAAAAAAAATAAATAAAATTGAACATTTCACGGGTTCCTGTGGCAGGCTGTGCCTCCCATGCTGTCTCTTGACATGGTCCGGGCATTGGGGGAGACTCCCGAGAAGCGGGGAGTTTCTGTGCTCCC